CCCTGTCCCTACAAATAATTAGCACCAGCATCACAGTAATGCAGGACTGTTTAATTTACAGTGCTGAAATTCTCAATAGTTATTTCTTTCTATAATGCTTTCGGAATATCCTAAAACAGAGCATAGGTTCCCGGTAATACTATTTTGAAATACCAGTATTTGTTGACCTGGATATTATTTTATTGTTGACTAAATCAGTTTGGCTTCTGTACAGAGAATGGCTGGAAGCAATTGCAAGGCAACAAATCTAATCCAAGTGCTCACATGATGCCATAAAACATGACAGTGAAACTCCAGTTATTTGAAAAACATCATCTGACAACTTGATAACATTACAGCCTTGAAATCAATCCCTGTCATTGGCGCCCATGAAGGGGAGGGAGAAGGAAGAGTGACTCTTTTTTGTTTCATTTACTTCATTTACAGGCCCATTGCCAAGGGGGCTAGTTGCCCCTCCCTCCCCATTTTTTGCTAAGCATACCTTATATATTGCCACCCCTGTGATAACTTCCTGGATTTTGTTTCATAATGATCCTCTTAAGTATGTGGTTAAATATAAGGTTAATATAGTTCTATAGACACTGGTGAACTGGAGGGAGGGGGGCAAAATTAGAAATTAAAATTAATTAAAATTAATTAAAAAGAAAATTAGAAAATATCTTAAAAGGGGATTGATTTTCCCATAGATATCTTAAGAGTGGGGGTGGGGGGAACACTTAAAAGTCGTGGGGGGAAGGCGGGAGGCACCAATAGCTGATTTACAAAGCTACATTTGAAAATTAACAAGTTATTGCACAATCACTGCAAGTTTGAATGGTGTGTGGAATATTAAAAACAGTCTTTTCGATGTACATATACACACATATGCAATGTCTTTGTCGTAGTGATTCCATTATGACTACACTGTTGCTATGTGTGTCTTTGATTCACTTCTTCGTAATTGGATACTCACTCGTGTCTGGTGTAACAGTTAAGAGAAGCACGCACGCACATACGCACACATGCAGACTAAAGAGTATTTTGTTCTTGGCTGATGCTTGGTTATCAACCTAAGTCAAATTGGTTGTGAATTCTCATGTGAGACATAATAATAATAATAATCCTTGCATTTGATATAGCGCTTTTCACGTCGGGAGGACGTCCCAAAGCGCTTCACAGAACACACTGTAAAGTGAATTGACTGTATATTTGTGGGCGAACGCGGCAGCCAATTGCGCACAGCAATGTCCCACAAACAGTCGTAGATTGAAAATGACCAATTTATTATTGTTTGTTTTGGAGGGATTATTATTAGGCTCTGTGTGGAGTAAGGAAACTTGCCCAAGGTTTCGCCCTCTGCCTGGAATTGAACTCAGGTCTCTCACTTGCAAAGCGAGTGCTCTAACCACTGAGCTACAGGACTCCACGTACAGGAACACTGAGCTACAGGACATGGGGCTGATTCTGACGATGATACCTTTGCTACACGTATTAGGAAACTAGGAATTATAATCTTTATGTGGTGTACCCACAATAAATTGTTTCTTAATGTGCTAGAAACGATGGATAAGTTTGTGGATAGAATTCACCGAAATTCGAAAGGAACTGCAGTTATTTCTGCAGAAATGACTTGTGGCTCAGTACAAATTTGGGTTCGACAAACTCGGCCACTTCATGGTTGTTTGTGGACATGAATGTGCGCAAATTGGATGCTGCGTTTACCTCCAAATACACAATTTGCAGTAAGCTCTGTGAAGCACTTTGAGATGAGGTGTTTCGCTGATGGGATGATGCTCTATATCAAATGCTGAGATTGTTATTAATATAAATAAAAGAGAAATTTGCTCAGTGAATGAACACTGTTCTGTTCTATGTTCCGCCCTATCTGCCCCACCATCAGGGGGATGAGCTTTCAGTCTTTCCGCTCCCATTTTCTGGAACTCTATCCCGCAGACTCTCCTCCTCCCTCTCTACTTTCAAAACCCACCTAAAAAATCTTACCTCCGTGCTTTTGGTCACCTATCCTCCCTTCCTCCATCCTCTTCAGCCTCTCCCCTCGGCTCGGGTAGTTGTGTAAAGCTCCCTACATGAAAGGTGCTATATAAATGTAAATTGTATTGCATATTGTAATTCTTGTGACACAAGAAATATGTTTTGACATGGAGTTGAGAATATTAAATAATTATATTAGTTTCTCATTTCTCTCCACATTGTATCCATTCACTTGGTCTGCCATGTTTTCAGTTTTCAAAAAAAAGGTCATACTTTTTTTTAAACAAGTACTTTGTGGATACAAACAATTGCTGCATGAAAACATCTTAGGAACAAAAACAGGTTTTATTTAGATAGAATTGTAAGATATAACAACTCCCCTCTGAATTTATGTATTTTGCAGCTCTGAAATGAATATCTTAAAAAAAATCGATAGGTTCATAAAGTTAAAAGCTTTTCCAGAAAATTGAGACAATTATGCAGTCTGGCCGTTTATATGGTTAAAGTTCTGCTAGTGTCAGAAGTACTAGTTTATCTAACAATGATAATTGATTCAATATAGTGCCTTATCACATCATCAAAGCGTCTCCGTGTATTTCACAACATTTATTGTAAAGTGGAATAACTGTATTTACTGGGAAATACAGTTGCCAATTTGCACATAGCAATGTACCACAAACAGCCATGAAGGGATTGACCATTATCATTTGGGGGATTGTCAGCCAAAACACAGGGATAAACTCCCTTCTCTTTTTGAATTGTGCCACAGGATCTTTAACATCCAACTGAACAGACAGATGGGACCTCAGTTTCACATCTTATCTAAAGGACGGCACCTCTGACAATGCAGCACATCCCCAGACAGAACTGTTATCCTGGTGTCCTGACCAACAAATCCCCCACATAAGATTGGTCACTCACTCCTCGGCTATTTGTGGGACATTACTGTGCGCAACCTTCTGCCGCGTTTCGCTTACAAAATACACAGTCACCCCACTTTATAGTTTATCCCGTGAAGCGCTTTGAAACATCTCAACAACGTGATAAGGTGCTATATCAAATGCAAGGTTTATTATCTCAAAATCCTGATGTGGGGCTTGAACCCACAATCTTCTGAGTCAGAGGCGAGAGTGCTACTGACTGAGTGCTGCTACATTTAATTGTCTGCAAATCTTTTAGGTATTACAATTGTAAAAGCTAATATGAGGAAAATTAGCAAGATTTTTCATTAAAAGATCAAATTTCTCAATCTTTGTTGGTCTGCAGTAAGATTATTTCCATAGAGACAATGCCTGGTTGCACATGAGCAAAGAAAAAAATATCCTACAATTATCCAGGTGGAAGACTTCACAGCAACAATGATTGACTCTACAATGCTTTCTGTGAAACCAGTAGTGAAGTGTTGCTATAAAATGAGATCAGCCCAGCTTGTTTATTACAGGTTCCTTTTGATTTAGGAAGTTGGAGAAAGACAACAGAATTGACAATAAAAAAATAAATCAAAAGGAACATGAAATAAGCTGGGTTGGCGTCATTTTACAGCAACGCTCGACTATTTGTTTCACTAAGTGAAGTTGCTGGGATACAGTTCTCTGGCACCTGCAGTTGACACTGTTTTTATTTTGTGGTTATGGAATTACAGAGTCTGGAGCTGAAGTGGAGCAGGTGTTTTTATAATGTTTCCAGATCTCCAGGGATTGTCTGCGACAAATCACTGCACTTGATTGGAATTACTGTTGAGCATTTCGAGACATTTGACATTAAAAGTAAAATGCTAATTTTTTTCTTTTTTCTTGAATCAAACTTCCGTGCCAATACAGCTCAGTGCTGCACCCACTGGGCGGTGCATTTATCTTCAAGGTCATCAAAGAACTTATTGCTTTCTTTTTTTTTGACTTGGGGGTGAGGGAGGGGTGGTGAAAGGGGGAATTAATCAAGTCACAAAAATCCCCAATTAAAAAGTGCAAGCGCCTCGACCCCGGTCTGTGCTCTGGTTTAAGGGCATTCACATAACATGCAAATTCTGTCTCTCTCACACTAAAAGGTAGTGTAGGCATCGGTTCTGTTTGGAACAAAGTAATTATCAGTGCCACATGATCAATCTGCCGGATTGACATCCATAACCAAACGCAGTCAAAACTGCACTCAATCTTAACCAAAAGGCTGAGAAGTGATCTGCCTTCCAAGGAAATATCAAAACAAAATTGATTTAAAAACATTTGTGTTTTGATTACATAAACACTTCTATTAAATCCCTTTTAAATAGCTCTTCTCCAGTGATAAAAGGCTTAACTTATCCAGTCTATCTTGATAGCAGTAACCTGGTATCATCCTTGTAAACCTATGCTGTACTTTTTCCATCGCTGCTATATCCTTCTTGTATTAAATACCTCCACGACATGCCCCACCCGCCCTTATGACCTACTGCAACAATGCTGCCTCAACCACCCAGCAAACCATCGATCTGCTTCATATCCCACCCAACCTACACCAATAGCGGTTGACGAGCTTTCAGGCATTATATTCCCATTCCCTGGAACTCCATCCCAGAGTCCCTTTGCTTTACTTCCTCCCTCCCTACCTGAAAGCCTACCTTAAGACCTTTCTTCTCCCTTTGCATCCCCACCCCCAGCTTGCCACGCCTCCCCCCTCCATGAGGGGTTTTGAGATGTCCTCCCAATGTGAAAGGCACTATATAAATGTAGAATAGTTATTGGGATGGAGGACATGAAATAGGCAAAGAGAGAGGAGGTAGCAGCCCCAGGCTGTAGGGTCACAAGAGGGATGGGGGTTAGCGTGAGATGAGGCCTTGGGGGCATTTGAAAGTGATGGCGAGAATTCTGAATTCGATCGGCTGGGGGATGGGGGCCAGTGTAAGCGAGCAAGGTATACACCGAACAAAGAACATTATAAAATTAATTCAATACAATAATCTTTTTTAAAAAAAGACAGACTGCAAAGGAAATTCATGTTGGGAGGATTGCTTTGGTCCCAAAAGTACAACCCTTTGGATTTATTTTCTGTTGTCTGCGTGTTCCTTCCATTGGCTTCATTTTGTCCGAGCGCTCCAAGGTTCTATCCTGTGAGAGGGACGTTATATAAATGCAAGTTGTTGTTGTCGTTCCCACAAATGCAGCACAAAGTTATTGTTACACCTAATGCTCTGGTCCACAAATGTGGTAAACATGCAGACTTCTGTAAAACAAATCCGCTGTTGTAATACAACAAGATACTGACTACCATCTCTTCACCTGTGTGTCTGTTCACTAAATACAATGCAAATACAATTTACATTCATGCTGAGCTGTGCTGCTCACTGGGATGCCTGCAGTGAGTTCTTGGTACTTACCATCCACTTAGCAAGGACTATCATCCTGGGAGTGGGGGGTGGAGGGTGAACTATGTCGGGTCTCATACATATTGAATATCTATTGATATATTAAACAACAAATACTATGCCAGTGCAGTGTCATATCTCTTTACGGCCCAATAATCTGAAATTCATTGCCCTCAGCCTTTAATACTATGATTTGGGAATTTTGATATTAATCTCTTTTTACAATTTTTGTTTTCAAAACAACATACTTGTTTGTACTCAGAGCAATGTACTGGAAATTAAGCTGTCTATTTCAAACATGATTGGAGCTGACTGGGATCGCTCAGCAATAACAACATCTGTAGCGAAGCTGTAAATGGATTGAACATCTGTAAAGGGAAAAGTCAATGTTTAGTCATTGTCTGAGAAAAATAATGTAAGCTGCTATGCAGTTTTCCAATGAAGAGATAACTTACATTTTCTGGTTTTATACTAAGGTAAGAATATAGTGATGCAGTGTCCCACGTACAATTATTAAATAGTTATTTTTATAGTTACTTTTGCTCAGATGGATTATTTTATAATTGTCAAGCTGATAAATCTCAGTCCAGGGGAAGGTTTTCACTTTGGTTTCGAGCCCCGTATTAGGACTTGAGGTCGCAGTCTAGGCTCCCAATCCAGTTCAGTATTGGGGGAGAGTTGCATTGTTTAAGGGGCCGTCCTTTGTATAATGTATTACAATATGTTCTCAGCTGGAAATTGACATTCTCACAACACTATTTGAAAAGAGATGGAGTTTCTCCTGGTGTTCTGGCCAACAATCTTCCAATTAAATATTCACCTCATTGCTGTTTGCAGCATAATGCTGTTTGCAAATTGGCTGCCTCACGACAGTTTACAGCAATTATCTGTGAAGTCTTGAGACGTTTCAACATTATAGGTAACTGAACCAGTCTGAGAGGTTAACAAAATGAATGGAAATTACCTTGGAATGGAGTGTGCACTCTGTCCCCGGAGGGTATTAGGTACAGGTTGACAAGAACCAGGCTTGGAGTCCCCAGTTTATGCACTGGGTGTACTGCTTTAAATTGTCCCAACCATGATTGCTATATTTCGTCCAAGAACTTCTCTATAGTGCACTATAAATGTATAGTAGTGGAAATTACCTGGAGGAGCAACTGGCAATACGATAGGCTGCTTTTTTTCCACACTTTTCTGTCTTCGAGTCAACTGTTTTTCCCTCTCTAGTGCCTCCATGTATTTGGAAAAGGACCAGGAAATCTATCAGAGAGAATAGAAAAAAACCCACACATTTTTACAAAACTTATTGTTAAAGTAAATCAATTCATTTTGGAATCCCGCAAGATAAGATCTGATCAACATAAGTGCTAATATATGACTGGTTGGTCTTGGCATTAACAAGCTACCTGTGGTTTTGGCAGAGATTGACAGAAAGAACCATTCTCCACCTTAAATTGCAAGCTATGTTCTCATGCACAAGTAAAAGAGACCTAGATTCCAAGCATGGCTTTTGAAGGCAACAAATCGAGATCCCAGAAATTTACTAGTGACTGTTTGGGTACAAAGTCTCTCCAGATTTGGGTAAGATCTCCCCATTATATCATTGCTACGTGATGAGAACGCATTCATTTCATATACAAGGCAGATAGAGGCTGCCTCCTTTGCGAGGCTCAGATTCTTTGCGCTGGTTCCCATTTGTTAGGTGTTTAGGGAGGATGTGTGTCTCTCCCAGAATAATTCAGCACTAAGCAGCTGAGCACAAATAAAAACTGTGAACTGCCATTATCTTTTTTCAACGTTTGGCTCCCGGAATTTCAGGCCTACAGAAAGCAGCAGCAACAACAACAAGATTACACTTGTACAGCAACTTTCAAGTCGGGAGGGCGTCCCAAGGCGCTGGACAGTGTACAGCATTTCAGACTCGAGCTGGGGTCGGGGGGAGAAGGGAGGGGAGAGGAAGGGGGGGTGACCAATGGCATGGTCGAAGAGGAGGGTTTTGAGGTGGGACTTGAAAGAGGCTAAGGAGGGGGAAAGGTGGAGTGATTGGGGAATGGAGTTCCAGAGGTTGGGGGCAGAGTGGCTGAAGGCTCTCCTGCCAATGGTAGGGCGGGTGGTCGGGTGACGTGGAGCAGGCCAGAGCCGGCTGAGCGGAGGGAGCGGGCGGGTTGGTAGGGGGTTAGTAGGTCGCATAGGTAGGGTGGGGCGAGACTATTGAGGGCTTTGTAGGTGAAGACCAGGATTTTGAACTGGATCCTTTGAAGGATAGGGAGCCAATGGAGTCGGGCGAGAATGGGGGAAATGGGGTCATGGAGTTTGGTGTGGGAGAGGACACGGGCTGCAGAGTTCTGGATTATCTGCAGCCTGTGGAGGGAGGATTGGGAAGGCCGACAAGCAGGGCATTTGAATAGTCGAGCCTGGAGGTGATGAAGGCATGAACAAGAGTTTCAGCGGCCTGAGGGGTGAGGTAGTGGCGGAGTCGGGCAATGTTACGGAGGTGAGGGAAGGCAGAGTGGGTCATGGCTTGGATGTGGGGAAGAAAGGACAGTTGAGGGTTGAGCAAGACAGCTTGGTTCCTGACTGGCTTGGTGAGTTGAAGTGTGCAACCATGGAGGTTGATGCTACCAGAGCCTGAGGTGCAGAGGTGCTGGCGTGAGCCAATCAGAAGGGCCTCAGTCTTGTTCGCATTCAACCGTAGGAAGTTTGCCCTCATCCAGGACTTGATGTCCGACTGTCAGTGGTCCTGGAGTTAAGGATGGAGGCAGAAAGATAGAGTTGGGTGTCATCTGCATACATATGGAAGTTGACCCCATGTCTGCGGATGATGTCACCAAGGGGGAGCATGTAGATATTAAAGAGGAGAGGGCCAAGGACAGAGCCCTGGGGGACCCCAGACGTGACAGTGCGGGGACTGGAGGAGAAACCGTTAGAGGCAACAAAGTGGAGACGGTGAGAGAAATAGGAATCGAACCAGGGAAGGGCAAGTCCGCGAAGATTAAGTAAGGAGGAGAGGCAGTGTATGAGGATGGAGTAGTCGACAGTGTTGAAGGCGGCAGAAAAGTCGAGGAGGACAAGGAGGCAGAGGGAGCCCTGATCACAGAATGTCATTAGTGATGTGGGGTTGTCAGCAGTGATGTCAGCAGGAGTGGGGTTGGGCAAATCATGGCTTTGAGACATCTCGGTGACGTGATAAGGCGCTATATCAAATGCAAGGATTATTATTATTATATTTGGAAAGAGATAGGCAGTAGATGATAGAGTTGACAGATAGGAGAGAAGATCAGAAAGTACTGTAGCAATAGGAAAGGAAGAAAGTGGGAGGCCGGGGGGGGAGGGGGGAGCAAGTGCACAGCACAACAAAACACCCACAAAATAAACCCATCCAAGAGTTTGCCCATAAAATATAGTCATTCCACTTCATAATACTGTATATCCTGTGAAGCACTTTGAGACTCCTCCTGATGTAGGAGGCGCTATACCAAAAGTAATGAAATGTTAAAAAAAACACGTAAGAGCACAAAGCAATAAGGAGATGATTTTATTAGTTCTTACCTTTCTGTTCAGAAATGGAAACTGCAAAGGAATTTTAAAGAAAACGTAAAACAATTCAGAAAAAAAAGCAAGACAATCTGCTATGTTCTTTAGTAGAATAAACAAGTATACAGTACACTGAAAGCACACGTACTATGACTAAAGTGAACATGATAGGAAATGATTTGCAAAGCCCTTAAAAGCATCATAGGGATACCTAGGGCATTAACATTTGACAAGTGAGATTCATTGTATTCACTGTCACCCAAACCTTTATCCTATAGCAGATTTTCCTGTTTATCTCAGGACTGCTTGACTCTGATCATCCCGTCTAAATTCAATATGCCAATGTCCGACTAGGTACTCATCTGTGAAAGGCACTGGTGACCAACCTCCTCATTATGGGTACTTTAATCCTTCCTGCCCATCTCCTCTGATTTCTCCAATGTCTTCTCCTCCCTTAACCTCACCCTCACTCCACATAAACTCCCCCACTCCTCACTACCAAGCCCTCCATCATCTCCTTCCTTCTCTGGAGAAAACCTCCTCCCTATTCTTCCTGAAATGCCATCTCATCCTTTGAACTTCTCTCCCTTTGGTTCTCCAATCACCGGGACCTCAATTCTTTTATTGAGCTGCTAAAAGTCTGCCTCTTGCCCAACTTCAACACACTCGCCCTCAAATCCAGAACCATTTCCCAATCCTAGCCATTCCCCTGGTAAAACAATCACCTCTACTCGCTCAAATCACAAGTCAATCATTATGAATCATCATAGTGTACATTGAACCGCTTTGAGTTATCCCACCACATGAAAAGTGCTACAATAAATGCAAGGGTTATTATTATTTAAACATGAATGGGCTCCCCGATACTATCTCAAACACTAAACTACTGGTAGCCCATCAATTCTCCAGGTTCACCATCAAGAACAATGTCCACACAGTGCTTCTCATCTGGCTAAGCTACATGGGCTGCAGTAACAGACACTCAGAATGGGTCACACCATTCTTGCTGGTATCCAAAGCCTTTGCATTCTCCCCGATATTATCTCAAATACAAAACTACTGGCTATTCTCTAGTTTCACCATCAAGAACAACGTCAGGGGGGTCTGCTTCTGGCCCATCGATGTAATTACAACAACTTGAATGTACAGTATATAGCGCCCTTCACATGGGATAGTGTTTCAGAGCACTGAATTAATAGTGCTTAGACTGCAAATTTCACTTCCTTTGTATTTCAGTCCTCTCAATCTAATTTCTGCATGTTTCTAGCCAAAGACCTGTGAAGCTCACCCCCTAAACTACATACCCAACAGCTTTGGGTACAGCCTGAACTACATTCAGGCTGTACCCAAAGCCCTTTTCACTCAGTGTGTTATTAAAACACTGTGACACTGCTAAATTGCAAAAATCATAAAAGTACATAGTATTTCCACTTACGAGATTAAGGCTGCTTCCTCCCTTCAATGACAGTTTATGCACATTTTCACTGGGGGCGCTCTCAGTGTCCAGATTCCGTAAAATATTGTTTATTTCAGGGCTCTGAATTTCAGCCTCCTTCAGTAAAATAAAACAGTTCAAGGAAATTTCTAGTGGGTACCCACTGGAAATTTCCCACGACAATTTTACCCACGACAATAAAAACAAAGATAAAACAAATACATACAGTATAAGCTGTGAGAAAGAAACCAAACCTTGATAAGTGTGTCTTGGTGTATTTTGTGGAAAAATGTTTTATCTTCATTTACTCGATTCATGAAACCCATAGAAAAACTTAGAACCTGCTCCCAGCTTTCCGTCAATGCCACTCTCCAGCTAATAGCTTGGAGACTTTGTTTTGATCAGTCAGGTGCTTGACATGCAGGAATGCATTAATGTACTTAAGAGTACACATAGATGTTTCCTTGTGTCAGAAATGGAAAGCACACTCTCTTACATTTATATAGCACCTTCTACACTCTCTCTGGAGTAACACACACTGCTTACGAAATTCCAGTGTGCATTAGGTGCAAGTTGGCAAGTGTCAAAGCTTGGTGACCCGAGAGTATGTGTTAGGGTACTGGTGGAGTTTAATTAGCTAAATTGCATAGCTTGCCACTGAACTGCTGCTTATCTAGCTTGGACCACCCTACCCTTGAGGGCTTTGGCTTGTGGGATTAATAGGCATCGATGGGAAGAATTCCTGTTCCTGGTGCTGCAGAAAGTTGCCAAATGGAGGCTAAGCTTTTCTCTGTAACCAAACACTAAATAAAAAGGTAGAGTGTTATTCTACCTGATACACAAGTCTCTGAGCATCCAAAAGAATTTCCAAGCCAGGCTGGCTGGTCTGTTATCAGCAGTGCCCTGGAGGTCTACAGACGGTGGAGCCAGAACAGCTCCAAGGAGACTCTGCTAACTCCCCACCCATCCAGCGTTTAAAGACTGAGGAGCCATCTTCCTTTAGTATTTGTTTGTGTTTGCTGTATTGCCTGTTACATTTGTGAGAGTGATACAACACAATACAAATTTACACTTATATAACATCTTACAAATTGCCATGGCGATTGGAGCAGGAATATGATGGAATGTGTGTCCTGGTGAGCTGGCCTCAGTGAATGGGAAGGTGTTTCCGGGGTTGAGCTGGTGTCAGTGTGGCATATGATATCAATGTGATTGCCTAGGATGGGGCAGTGGGCTGTTTGTAGGGAAATAGAAAATAGAGAAAATGGGGCTCATACTTGGTGACCTTGTGGCATGAGAGGGGAAATGGTACACTAGGGGTGACTAGTCTGACTAGGGAACAAGAACAAAGAAACGAGATATACAATAAACAGTAATATGAATGGAAAGGATGAACAGTGACACAATAACAATTCAAAAGTCCTTCAGGAACTAGAAGGTAGCTTTTGCCTTTATACAGTGTTCCCTTTTAGGAGTCTTTAATAATGCAGTCTTAACTACACTCCCAGTTTATTTCTAATGTGGAAATATTACAATACAACACAGGCTTTTGCCACTTCAACCCAAATAAATTTATTTACAGATAGAAAGATAGTTGGAGAATTTACACAAGCAGAAATGCTACAAAGTGGGGAAATTGAAGCCTTAAAATGTTTCTTTCAACAGAGTCCAAAAGCTTGATTAAAGAATAGAGTTCTTATAGAGTAGAATTCTTTATTTTGAACGTGATAAAATAATAACTGAGTCTTACAGATGCGGCATTTTCCAAAAGCTGATAGCAAAAATCTAGAATGAAGGAAAGGTAATTTTTCAATATATATTGAGACTTAATTCACTAACATGGGTTTGTGGACCTCGACATTTTCTTACCTTAAAATCCAAATAAGCGACATCCTTACAGCCCGATCCGTCCTTGGTTACCAATTGTGCTTGAAATCCTATTGTCCCACTTCAAAACATAGTGGCGCAAGAATGGGAATTTGAACTGCGATAAATACGATATGGAGCTCGCTGGCAATCTGTGCACATGTACAGTCACATCACTGGTACATGATACATGATTCCTGATAGCTAGTTTTATTCAGAAATGCTTCCTTAAAGGTTTAGAGTCACATTGCAGAGATACCAGGTGTACTGTATTTAAATTGCGACTTTGATTCACCAACTGCAATGTAAGATTGAAACTAAACTCCACCTACTGACTGGTACTCGATGTTCATTGAACCATAATTTGCTGGGATTAGGATCTGTAATTATATACAGCATTTCAACCGGCAGAGGATGTTGTTTCATGAATGCGTGTCTGACTAACAGCAGGAATTATTGAGCGATACTACAGAGTATTAAAGGTGGGAGACAGAGAAAGACATACAAAGAGAGAGAGAGAGGCAATGATACAGTCAGAGAGACACAGAGAAGGGCTCTGTGTTTTTGTAATTGTGTGTGTGTGTGGTGAGGGGGGTGATTGGGGTCTGGCAAGGTATAGTACTGATTGAGGAAGATTTTGCATAATGATCTGATATCTGAACTCTTTTCATATCCACAATGGGATTGACCTCAATTATTGTGGATGTTGGCTTTCTACTGTAACGTTTAGCACTGAGGTCAAAATCCCATTGTATTACAAACTGCCTTTTTACTGCTTGTGAAGTCTGGTTGCATGAGGTGTTCAGTCTTTGAGCAAAGGAATCAGACTCTTAGGGTATCAAAACTAGATGATTGATTAACCTTAACACACCCAATATTTCACATTTTACCTGGGATCTACATATTTTTTTAAAAAAGGCAGGAGTTCTGTTGCAGAAGCTTCACATATATATATATATTTCACCTAGGCACATTCCGCACGTTGGCAGCTTTTTCAGTTACATCTGTGCTACAGTGTGAGAGCAAGCTCTAAGGCAAACAGCAGGAACCTTGATTTCCAACCATCTGAAGAAACAATCTGGAGCCACCTGACCCAGAGAAATCTAGGAAATCTGTCTCTTTCCCACTACTATCTAGGAAATCTGCTTCCTTGCATTCCTTTGGAGCATCAAAGCATTGCGTTCCTTTGGAATATCTCCTTTTGAGTTCCCCCTTCCCAACATGCCCAGTATTAGAGGGATAACAGGAGAGCTCCATGCAGCTAACAATACTGACATTTGTATTAGAACTAGAAATATATTTATTTTCAATTACTTTCTTCAAAAAAATGACGACTACTTTGAAAGAAAGTGCTTTGAAGCTCACATTTCTTTTAAGTTCAAATAGTATATTTTTTTTGCCTGAAAGTTCAGGTCAGTTGATAAAAACAATAGTGATGCTACTTGCTCACCTCTTCCTGTTCCATTTTATTCAGCGTTTCATCTTTCGCTTTTTTCACCTCAGAGATTTCGGAGATTTCAGATTTCATTTGCTCGGCTGCGTTTTGTCTGAAGTTGCAGAAGTCAGGCCACAGTGTGAAGAGAACGCTAAAGACTGTTATCTGTGGAGTGAAAACATTAGGACTTTAATAACAACATATTTGGAGTCCTGGAGCTCAGTGATTAGAGCAATCACCTCGCAAGCGAGAGACCTGGGTTCGATTCCTAGCAGGGCGAAATGTTGGGCAAGTTTCCTTACTCCACACGCCTCTGTTTACCTAACAGTAAGTAGGAATCTGGTTCTTAGACGATTTTTTTTGAAAGAATTTTTACACCGGAAAAGTGGTGTTATAACTCTTTCAAAAGAGAAAATTGGTAATTTCAATCCACGACTGTTTGTGGAACACTGCTGTGCACAATTGGCCGCCGCGTTTCACCCACAAAATATACAATCAATTCACTTTACAGTATATTTTGTTAAGTGCTTTGAGACGTCTCGAAGACGTGATAAGGTGCAAGGATAAGGTGCATCTTCAAATGCAAGGATTATTATTATTATTTCCAGATAGCTTACATATACATTCATCCTTTGAAAACATGTGGAGCTGGGCTACATATTATTCTCAATTTTCCTACTTGTTTTCCTTCAATCCTCTAACTTCTGTGATTGACAACCATAAGATCACACAAGCCTTTCGGACCATTTGATCTCATTTTCCCAGAATACCCACTCTATCATCCTCCCATCATAGCATCATGCTGCTTTTTAAACAAGTCCAATATCCTGGCCTCAACCACCCTTCCTGGTAATCTGTTCTAATCGTTAATTACTCTATGAGTAAAGAAATACTTCCTGGTATCTGTCCAGAAATTGTCTTTTGCAACCCTAAACTTATATCCTGATATCTACTGACTTCGTCCATCCAAAAGTATTGTTCTGAGTTTTTCAATCCTATTTAAAATTTTACATTCCTCTGTAAATGTCCCCTCTGAGGTGTCTGCTTTAATGATAATAACAGCAATAATAATAATTTGATTTGATATAGCATCTTTCAAATCAGGAGAACGTCTCGAAGTACTACACAGGATTTTACTGTAAAGTGGAGTGACCGTGTATTTTGTAGGTGAATGTGGTAACCAATTGCACAGGGCAATGTTCCACAAACAGCCATAAAGGTGAATAACCAATTTTATCTGGGGGATTGTTGGCCAGAACACGAGTAGAAATTCCCTTCTGTTTTTGAATCCTGCCATGGGATCCTTAACGTCAACCTGAGCAGATGGGATTTCGGTTTAATGTTTCAACTGAAGGAAGGCATCTCCGATGATGCACACATCCCCAAAACCTGCACTGAAGTGCCTAGACTATGACTGTGGACTTCCCAGAGCACTTTAGATGCTTGATTATACTACATACAGCTGGAGTATGATTGGTAACTCAAAGAGTTAATCAATCATCAGTGGAATTAATACCCCTAATCCTGACCATGTTTTGCACACTGGCAAGATTTCCTTGTCCATCGGCCATATTCATATTTATGGTGTAAAATTACCTGGATGGTTGGATATTCTAACTTTTTATTATTTCTACCATTGAGGTGAGTAATGGATTGACTTTCCTCACACAAATGTTACAGGCCCACACCGATGAACCCATACCTGTGCTTCTCTGAAGATATAAGGCCCCTGCTCCTCACTCTGAGCCATGATTTTTGACGCTTGTTCTTCAGTAATGTCAATCTGCACAGACGGCTGGATCTTGGAGTTGATGAAACAATCGATGATGGTGTTGATTTTGTTCTGAATGGTTTGCTTGTCAGCATGCGAATGATGTAAGTTCTAGAGGAAAAGGCATAGAAAGAAATCTTCCATTATCTAAGCATAGGGTACACTATGGTAATGCATACACCATACACCAGAACATATCACAATAAATCTTGTACAAGCAACACATGCAATACTAACAGCACTACACACACAATACACACAATATACGAGCGCTCCACATATAATACATAGGCACCACACACACAATGCGGAAACATCACACATAAAATACATAAACATTACACACACAATACGCAAACATTACACACTCAATACACAAACATTGACCTAGAACCATTAAGGCTGAAGCAGCCCCAATTTATACTGCACCTTTCAAGATGACTTGGCCGCCTTTGTTAGACATTGGAGCGTTAAAAGGCACTCATTGTTAAAAACAAAGTGGCATATATTGTCAGACAAAACACATCTCCTGCAGAGAACACATTGTACAGCACGCCAAGCATCTCTGAACAGATCTTGGCTCAGAAGTAAGTTTTGTGAATTAGCTGGATCTGGGAAACTTTATGTTTCAAAGTGCTTTTTGCAAAAAGGCATAACTCCCACTATTACCCTAAGGTTTATTTACCTTATATTTCTGAACCTCAAGCCAGAAGAGCACATTATTCTCCAAGAAGCCTCCCTTCAGAGACACAAAATGTTGGAACTGAAGCGCTGTGATTGGATTTAACAGAGCTTTGCGGAATGAAATAATATGTTTTGATGAGGATATCCATTTGTTCACAGGCTGCTGCTGGAAAATTAAATATATTTACTCACCACAATTTTTATGCCCTCAGACACTAAGTTAGAATTCCCATTTTACAAATGTTAATAATAATAATCATAATATTCATAACATATTTATATACCAAGACAACGAGGAAGAGGTCTGATTGAAATTGAAGCATCTTATATCAACAATATAATTGTTGGTTTGATTGAATATATCAGAACATATCACAATAAATCTGGAATTCAGAAGAACATACATCACTTGTAACTGACCAGATATTATCATAAATAATCAAATTGATTGTATGTGTAGTATTATTGATATGGCTATCCCAAGTCATTAGAGTGTGAAAAATAAGGAATTATAGAAACTCAGGAAATACATTGATCTACGAATTGAATGCAGACTTATGTGACAATGTAAAACAAACACAGTCCCTATGATCATCAGTGTAATTGGGAATGTTATTAAGACTATTCAAAAATGGCTTGACAAAATACTTGGTGAGCAAAACATCAACCGCCTGCAAAAAGCTCAAATATATTAAGGAAAATAACATCATTTAGAGTGATTTAAACTCCAATAGCATAATAATAATATTTTGTATAGCACATTTCACATCGGAATGATGTCCCAAAGCACTTCACAGGATTTACCATTGCAAACATGACGGTTGAAATTAGGGAGTGGGATATTTGAAGTTTCAGCTTCATAAGACTGTTAAACAGACTCTGGATCTTTGGGGAGAATGCAGAATATCTAACTACATTCTGTTCCTTAATTAACACTGGGAATAATTAAGGAGCACTTTATTGACTGGACACTTTTTCCCACAACTTTCATTATTAATAATAATTATGATATAATAAAAATCCTTAGATTTTAGGATAGAGCCTTTTACATTGGGAGGATGCCTCAAAGCACTTCACTGGATATAGTGTAAAGTGTAGTGACTGTGTGTTTTGCGGGTGGATGCGGCTGCCAATTTGCGCACAGCAACATCCCACAATCAAAATTAACAATTTTTATTTGGTTCTGAGTAGACTGGAACAGCTAGTTAACTCTTAATTTTAAAAATAATTTTGAGCAGATATCCGGTGAAGGAAAATATCATTGCTCACTAGTGTGGGATGAGTGTATGGTCCTTCACCTTACTCCTCTAAAGGAAGGGATTGTAGAAAACTTTATCCATATGAAATATTCCAGCAGTATTGGTTGACGACATGCCTACAGATAAATATAACTACTTGCATCTATATACCACGCACTTCATGCAGTGTCTTGGAGTGCTATAATCAGGAAACTGATATGCTTTTCTCACAAAACCTTTTTCAATAGTCTGACCCGGACAATGCAGATATAATAAGGCACAGCCATTCTGCTTTGCGTTGCGTTTACAGAGGGTGTTCTCACCTTCCAATGCTTTCCCTTCTTAATTTGCTTTTGGATCATACGGTCCTCTACCACATCATGAATCTGTATCTAAATATATCCAAAAAAAACAAAATAAAAATGAATATCCTAGACTTGTTAAAATCATTTAATCTCACAATATATACTGAAAACAAAGGCCATCAGACCAATTTGATAACCAGAATACTCGCCCCATCTTTTTAATATTACAGAATTAAACTGTTTCTTAATCGATCCACCGTCCTTCCTGCTAACCTATTCCAGTTGATGATTTGCCTGCTTTGTAAATATATTGTTCTTGGTACCTATCCAAAATGTGCCCTTCAAAATGCTGAACCTGTGTCCTGTAACCCTTGGTGTAAATGAAAATATTGTTCTGAGCCTGGGCTTGCTTTCTCTATCCTGTTTTGCATCTGATACACTCCTGTATAATGTTTCCTTCTGAGACGTCTGCTTTCAAGATTCAAAGAGCTCTAGCTTATCTAATCCTTCCTCACAGCTCATCCCTTTATCAGTCATCAGTGCTCATCTGATACCTGCATGTTTAACTTTCTGATGTAATACAAGTGAAAAGATCATTATTTTTAAGAGAAATTTTCCTTAAGTCATATGTTCCAAAGGGGAAGATTTTTGGGAAACTTTCAGCTATGCCCATAGTTGGACTGTCTATCAAAAACTGGCATTAAATTAGAAGATTGCATTCCTAGGATAATAATAATAATCCTTACATTTGGTACATTGCCTTGCATATCTTGAGGATGTCCTAAAGAACTTCACAGGATTTTTCTGTGAAGTGGAGTGTCTGTATTTGTAGGCAAACGGGGAGGTCCAATTGCGCAATGCAATGTTCCAATAAACAGATATGAAATGATGGACCAATTTTTTTATTGTGGGGGGATTGTTAGCCAGGACCCTGGGAGAAACTCCCTTCTTTTTTTGAATTGTGCCATGGAATCTTTAACATCCATCTGAATAGGCAGATGGTGCCTCGGTTTAAAATCTCATGCGAAGCACAGCACCTCCAACAGTGTAATGCAGCTCCAACGCTGCAATGGAGTGTCAGCTTACACTATGTGAGTTCAACACCAATGTGGGGCTTGAACCCACAAACATTTAGCTCAGAGGTGAGAGCGGTACCAACTAAGCCAGGCTGATACATAGGTTATCACAGGAGGTGAAATAAATGGAAATATCACACTGGCAAGTTTTCTTAACAACGTTTCAATTTGTACCATAGGCATTAATTACACATCAAACAAGTATCATCCCATTAGTGGTTAAACATTCCCAGTTCTAAATTACTTAAATTTTATAATTAATGATGGAATGGAAATTACTAAGTGTGAATAATCGCAAATGACAATTATAACAATATTGTTACATGCAATTGAGACAGTTGATAACCAAAGACCTCTGTAAATGTGACCATTGTCCCAAATTTGTCAAACTTAAAAAAGTATAAAATTAGGCAATCCAAAAGAGGATTTAGGAGGAACTACTTCATGCAGAAGGTAATGAGAATGTGAAACTTTCTGCTCGATGCAGTGGTTGAATCAGAAAAGTTAGATGCATTTAAGAGAAAACTACACCTTCATATTAGGGAGAAGGGAATAGATAAATATGGGAGGGAGTAAGAGTGAGTGAAGATTCACTTGTAGTGTAAACATTGGCACTACGTGAGTTCAGGTATTGACATGGGGCTTGAACCTACAACCTATAGCCTGTTTCTATGCCCTATCATTTATGTAAGTAGTTGGGGCTTGAAGCTGCTCACAGAGATAGCAGAGTGCTTTTAGCCTGCAAGTGCTGGTTAGCAGACAACTTGGTTTAACTAAAAATAATCCAACTTCAGTTGGCATCTTACTCCAAGGGCTAAAAATGCCAAGGTCACTACAGCCACCTTCGAGCCTGACCGTTATATCGGAGTCAGGGAAAGTGTCATACCTGAGTCCAGTCCAGTTATTGACTGTTTCCGAAACATCGCCAGACTACGGCACTACCTCATCCCTCACGCTGCTGAAACTCTAGTCCACGCCTTTATCACCTCAAGGCTGGACTATGGGAACTCTCTCCTCGCCGGCCTTCCCGGCACCTCCCTCCACAAGCTACAGGTCATTCAGAACTCTGCAGCTCGTGTACTGTCCCGCACCAGGCTTCGCGACCACATCACTCCCACCCTCGCTCACCTCCACTGGCTCCCCATCCCCCAGAGGATCGAATTCAAGATCCTCATCCTCACCTACACGGCCATTCACGGCCTTGCTCCCTCCTACCTCTCCGAACTACTATCCCCCTACCTACCTGCCCGTAACCTCCGTTCCTCTGGCTCCGGTCTGCTCCACATCCCCCGCCCCAACTGCCCTACCATCGGTGGCCGGGCCTTCAGCCTCTCAGCCCCTAGGCTCTGGAACTCCATCCCCCAGTGCCTTCGCCTTGCTTCCTCCCTTTCCTCCTTCAAAGCCGGTCTCAAGACCTTTCTCTTTGACCGTGCCTTCAGCTCCCCTCTCGACTCTCTACCCCCTCCTCGCTCCCTCCCTTCCCTCCCCTCACCCTGACCATTTCCCCCTTGCTCGGGTCCTGACCCAACTGTCCAGCGCCTTGGGACGTCCTCCCGACATGAAAGGCGCTCTATAAATGGAATCTTGTTGTTGTTGTTGTTTCAAAGCATATTAACCAACACTGTCCTAATTATTACCAATGATAATTATCACATTATACCTTGCAATGCTTTTTTACACTCCAAGTATAAGCCAATTGGTTTGGTTTAGTCAATGCCCAAATATAGTGTCACAAATACAGACCATGCTCGGTGCTGATGGATGGAGTGTCTGGCTTAATGTACCTGTGTGTGCTGTCTCTGAGCAAACTCCGGCGATGCCAGAAACATGGGAAGCCATTTCTTTTCCAGACGATTTTTCACTATTCTCTGCACTTCGACCAGCACCTCCGAAGACAACTGATCGTGGAGTAGGTTTCCCCAACCCCCAGCCAACTGCATCACCTGGATAAAATAATTTTACACAAATTAATTTTCTTTTTCTTAAAATTATTTCCTCCCAAAAAAATATAAGTGCAATAAGATATATAACAATAATCCTTGCATTTGATGTAATGCCTTATCAAATTTTTTACTCACAAAAGAAACAGTTAATATGCTTTACAGTGTTGCCTGTCAAGGGCTTTGGGGCCTCATCCTGATGTGAAAGGTGATATACCAAATATAAGGATTATTATGGTTATTATTAATATTACCACCTCATCCAGATGTCTCAGAACTCTTAACAGGATTTTAACTGTGAATTGTAGTGACTGTGCTCTTAGACAGGTAGGTGCTCTTGTAGGCAAACACAGCCATTATGTGCACAGTAATGTCCCATAGAGGGCCATGAAGTGAGTGACCATTTTTTTATGTTGGGGAATGTTGGACAGGATACCAAAAGAAACTCCCTTCTCTTTTCAAATAGTGCAGCGGGAGTTTTAACATCCACCTGAACAGTCAGGCAGAACCTTGGTTTCACATCTTATCTGAAGGACAGCATTTCCATTAATGCAGCACACCCACAGCACTGCATTTTATTGACTATATGGGTTCCAAATCCTGATGTGTAGGCTTGAACCCACAACCTTCTGACTCAGATGTGAGATTGTGGCCAACTGAGCCGAGCTGACACATATATGCAGGGGGCCACACAATGTTTAGCAGCGGAAGCAGCAAGGCCCTTGGAAAAANTATGAGCTTTACAGGAAGGATATTGTAGCATTCGACAGAACAGTGTGGATTTAGCCAGGATGTTACCAGCGATGAGTGGATGCAGCTACCAGAAAATAAGAGGCAGATAGGAGATAAGACAATCGAGAGAGGACCTAATTGAGGGATTTAAGATTATAAAAGTATTCAAGAAGGTGGATGTTGGTAGGCTGTTTTCATTTGTTGCCGGGTCCAAAATGACTTGTGGACTGGTTGGGCCGAATGACCTGTTTCTGTGCTATATCACTCTGCATAACTTTATGTAACTCTTTGTATGACAGATATGATTGATATGACAGATCCAGAATCAGAACATGAAGCATCATTTCATGCACTGTAAAAATTAACAATTGGTTACCTTGTCTTGTTCATTAGCTGAAGCAGGGCTGCCAGGTCCAAAGAAATACTTGCGATTCAGATAGGTGCTCTTGATCTCCTTAGACTTTGCATTTCTCAACGCTTCAGCATGGTGAGCTATTCTTCTAAACTGTTCAATGTCCAACCAGCACTTGAGATCTATGCTGTAAAGAAAAGAGATGCAGACGCATTTCGCCCACAAAATATACAGTCAATTCACTTTACAGTATATTCCGGTGAAGAGCTTTGAGACGTATCGAAGACAGAATAAGGCGCTATGTCAAATGCCTGGAAGAAGATTATTATTATTATTATTATTATTATTATTATTATTATTATTATGTGAAAAGTGCAATACTTTATAATGCGAAGAAGGGCATTCACTCACCCCACAAAACGCTGACTTAGGTACTGCTGAAAGTTGCCCAGTTCTATGCGATTGCGAAAAAGCATGTTTAGTGTGTAATTACTGAATTCCTCAGGTACAATCTTCCATTGGTCTACATCAACAGCATTGTCAAATAATCGCATTGAAGACTTGGCACAGGGCTGAAGAGAAAACTCCTAAAGAAAAGCATGATTAGCAGAATTAATTCTGACAGGCACTGGTTCAGCAAACAAAGTAATATTACACTTTAGGATTTCTCCGCATTTATGAACACACATTGTATATATGAGAATTTTCAATGTGTGTCCTCCCCCACCATTTTTTCCGTCCTCATTTAAAATAAAGGAACACATGACTAAAGCAAATTTAAAAAATGAAATTTGTGAAAGATACCCAGTTTTAGCTCTCTCCCTCAGTCGACTGTGCCGTTTATGTATAATAATCCTTGCATTTGATATAGCTCCTTAACACTTTGTTGAGCCATTTCAAAGCGTTTCACAGAATTTATTGTAAGGTGTAGTGACTGTCTGTATGTAAGTGAATGTGGCAGCCAATTTTTCCACAGCAATGTCCCAAACAGTCATAACATGAGTGCTTATTTTATCTGAGGGATTGTTGGCCAGGACACCAGGTGAAACTCCCTTCTCTTTTTGTATAGTGCCATAGAATCCTGAATGTCCGCTTGAACAGGCAGATGGGACCTTGGCTTAATGTCTCATCCAAAGGTTGGCACCTCTGGCAAGGCAGTCATCCACTGCACTGTACTGGAGTGCCAGCCTAGACTATGAGGTCAAAGTCTAAATTTGAAACTTCTTTTAAAAAGGCAAATAACAATTGCACGGCACATCCTGTGGGCTGCCATTCATTGATTTGGGCATTGGATGGTGTGAAAATCTTGATCTGCATCTAATTCAAAATCACCGCTTGTTCAACGTAGGAGGAAATTCAGTGCATTTATCGCCAATTCAGCATTGGCACCACACAATAATGTAGTATTGAATCCACGCATTTAGATGCCTGGTACTGCAGAAGCGATTGCTTCATTCACTTTGTGTGTATTTAAGACGTGGGGTGTTCCTTTGAGAGCCGAGAGTTTATTACCTGTGGTGGCAGAAACTTTCGCTGTAATTCCTGAAGATGCTTGCAATAGACAGAATCCAAGTTTTGCAAGGTGCTGAACTGCATTACCTAAAGATAAGGGAACTCCATTGACAATCACTAGCAAGAGAAGAGCATTATAAAAGGCAGATTTTCTATTTTACTTTGCAATGCAGGTAGTACAACAATTTGAATAAATTATTAGTTACTGTTTCTACACACAGCAAAACAGTCAACAGTTACCTTCAGACTGGAAAAAATACCTCATAGCATAAACTGCACTTCCCAGCAAGGTACCCATGTACATCATGACAATTCCTGAGACCTTGTCTCTAAGGGTATCTTCAGTTGTAAACAGTGAGTAAGATGCACATGGGATTCCCAGCTGGAGGTGACAACCTGTAAGCAGTTCCCAGGCGATCGAGCGGGAAAAGAAGGGCTCATAATGGTAGTGTCCCACACAGAAAGTATCTTGTACTGATCTGAATCTCAAGGGAATTTCAACTGAGTACAAGTCTGCAAAAGTACAAAACTCATTACCCACTTGCCACGAGCATGGGATTGAACACACTGACTTTACCTTGCTGTAAGTTGACAAATCAGTCTCGATCATGCGCATCCAAGGGACCAGTAGCAATGTGAGAATGTACTCCTCCGCAAAATCAAACAGTTCCTCAAACGGCGGCTCCAGTTTGTGATAAATTTCTTTCTTTATGTCTTCATCCACCTCAATGTCCGAAGCAGCTTTTTCAATAATGAACGAAGCATAAATGAACTGAAACAAATGCCGACAAAGAAACACATGGGACCAGCAGAGCCAACATAGGAATGGATAATCTGAACAGTCAGTTTGAGTTATAATGGGCTGCGCAATGGACATTTCTTTGGGCAGGACGTTCAGGTGTGAGAGCCCACAAATGAAGACATTTTCTGCAGACAGAGGCTTATTATATTGTACAAATCTCCCCCTTTAAAGGTTGTCAAACCAAAAATCACACATAATGAAAGGGGTAGGTATGAAAAACTGCTATCTTGCCTGAGCTTGCCTCCTGAGTTTGAAAGGTTGAAAATTATTTGCGTAGAAGAGCCGATGATATTCCTGCAGTTCAAACCATAAATCAGCAGCGCTCTTCCATATCTACAAGAAATAAAAGAAAATGTGTTAGTTTAAAAAAATCACAATACAATTACAATTTACACTTATATACCTGTATTGGCCTATTATTGTCCAGTGTAGTGACCCCCATGCAGCTACTACTGTGTTGAAAAACAGCCATTTACTCAGTAGCTAATATATTTTAAGTAACTTGAATTTATTTAGCATCAGAATGCAGAAGTCAATACGCACAAGATATAATAATAATATTCCTTGCATTTGATGTAGTGGTCTATCACATCATTGAGATACGCCAAAGTGCTTCACAAAATATACAGTAAAATAATGCAGTTATGTGCATTTTGTGGGCAATTACAGTAGCCAATTTGTGCACAGCAATGTCCCACAAACAGCCATGGATTGAACGACCAATATTATCTGGAGGACTGCTGGCCAGGACTTGGGGAGAAACTTCCTTCACTTTTTGATAGTGCCATGGGATCTTTAATGTCCATCTGGACAAGCAGATGGAATCTTGTTTTAATATCTCATCCAAAGGATGAAACCTCTGACAATGAAACCAACACTGCATTGCAGTGTCAGCATAGACTATATGAGTTCCATGTCCTGACATGGGGTTGAACCCATAACCTTCTGACTCAGAGGCGAGAGTGCTACTAAATGAGCTAGGCTGACACAGAGAAGTGTAAAATGTATGGCAAGTGTTGACTAAAACATTCTAGTGCATACAGGGATACATATTTGGGTTCAAATTCTGGGTATTACAAATGGATTTGCGATTTACAAATCCTGGAAAATTTACACCTGAACCTCTAAAACACTGATCTTTGTTCTGACGTCCATGAAGGCAACGTTCCATGAATCAGGGTTCTCGAGAATCAGTAGTGAATTGCAAATTCTTTTGCGATTCCTACAATTGTTCACAGGGCATTTTCGTTGTTCCATTACACTTAGCAACATGGAATTGGGAGATCACAATCTCATTTGTGAAACTCCAGCCAAATGAGGCAATAATGGGAGGGTTTGGGGTCTAGATCTGACATCTGTCACTATTACAACAGGTAATAGCTAAGTAATCAGCTAACAGCTAATCTGTAACCAGGGACAGAAGTATAAGGTAGCAACTAGGGGTCTAAAAGAGAATTTAGGAGGAATCACTTCACGCAGAGATTAATGAGAACGTGGAACTCGCTGGACTGCAGTGGTGGTTGAATCAGATAGTGTACATATACGTAAGAGAAAGCTAGACCTTCACATGAGGAAGAGGGAAATAGAAGGGTAAAAAATGGGTCAAGACTAGTGTAGAGTATAAATACTGGCACAGACAGACCTGTTGGGCTGAATGGCCTATTTTCATGTTATTCAATCTATGTAAATCTACATAATCATTTTATTACTCACTGACTGATGTGATTTTTCACAGAATTGTGTGAAGAAGTAACCAGCTTTGTTATCATGGTACAGTGTTTGCAGCAGGTATTCCATTTTCTCGCTGCACATAGCTTCTTTGTATCGTGCATTCCTCATCTGCAGAGACATATGTTCACATGTTAGCATAGGCAGCCCTCATTGTAACAGTCAGTAAAATCATTAACTTTTTTAATGCGGTGATTTAGAAATTTCTTGTAAAGCATTGAAAAAACAAAACATTCTTTTAATTTTTATTTTCATTTACATTTTCTTGCCTCGCTTTGTCAGCAAACTCTAATCGATCAATGCTTTATCAAAAGCCACCAAGAAGGGTTAACTTTCCCTATAGAGTGCCATTTCTTCCTATGTGAAATAGTTCCCACTGAAAGTGAATGAAAACAGGATGCACTATTTCATGCCCATATCTTATTATCCCTAGATGTAACACATTATTGAAGTGTAATAATAAGTCACTATACTTCTTGGCAGAGGAGGGAAGGTAAACGGGTCTCCAAAGTGACATCCTTGGCAATGGGATATTGGAATCGAGTCAATCCTCTGGAGACCAGATCCTGAGTTAGGTGGGTTCACAGTACTCCAAGGCACTGCTGATAACAATAATAATCCTTGCATTTGATATAGCGCCTTATCACATCTTCGAGATGTCTCAAAGCCCTTCACAGGGTTACTGTAAACTGAATTGTTGGTGTATTTTTTGTGGGTGAAATGCGGCAGGCAATTGCACACAGTATTGTCCCACAAACAGTTGTGGATTGAGTAACCAAATTATTATTTTTTTTGAAGGGATTATTACCCCCAGAAAGCAACCCACCAATTGACCAACAAGCAGGTTCCTACTTACTGCTAGCTAAACAGAGGCATGTGCATGGACTAAGGAAACTTGCTTAAGCTTTCTCCCTGCCCAGGAATTGAACACAGGTCTCTCGCTTGTGGGGTGAGTTCTCTAGCCACTCGGCTACAGGACTCCACAGATGCACCAGGCTGGCTGATGATAGATCAGCCAGTCTGGCTCATTAGCAGGACTTGGAAAGGCCGACCAGGAATTCTTCCCGCTCAGCTCCTGCTAACATTGCCAGACAAAGACCTAAGCATTAAACTGAGGTCGCATCTGTAGTTAAAGTGGATGTTAAAAATCTCGTGGCACTATTTGAAAAGAGCAGGGAGTTTCTCATGATGTTCTGGCCAACAATGCCCCAGCTGAAATTGATATTGTGGAGGTGGGGGAAGGCAGAGCGGGACATGGTGCAGATGTGGGGTAGAAAGAATAGTTGAGGGTCAAACAAAACCCCCAAGGTTCCAGACTGGCTTAGCAAGGTCGAGTGTGTAACCATGGATGGTGATGCTGTCAGCGCCTGAGGTGAGGAGGCGCTGACGGTTCCGGTTCAGATCGTCCGGTTCAGATCATAGCTCTCACATGGCCTCCAGTTCATCTCCACAAATAGCTTCTCCTCTAGCCCCTGGACCATGTCGTGTGGCTTTCCTCAGGGCTCTGTCCTTGATCCCCTCCTCTTCTATATCTCTATGCTCCCTCTTGGTAACATCATCCACGGACATGGGGTCAACTTCCACATGTATGCGGATGACGCCCAACTCTACCTCTCTGCCTCCACCCTCGACTCCAGGACTACTGCTGACCTGACAGAATGTCTGTTGGACATCAAGTCCTGGTCGAAAGCTAACTTTCTTCAGTTGAAAGTCAACAAGACCGAGGCTCTCCTGATTGACTCCCATCAGCGCCTCTTCACCTCAGGCCCTGACAGCATCAACCTCCAAGAATGCACACGCCACCATACTAAGCCAGTTTGGAACCTTTGCGTCTTGTTTGACCCTTAACTATCCTTTCTACCCCACATTTGACCCCTTGACTAGCTTTGCCTTCCCCCACCTCTGCGATGTTGCCCGGCTCCACCACTGTCTCACATCGCAGGCTGCCGAAACCCTCATACATGCTTTCATTACATCGAGGCTCGACTATGCAAACGCAATGCTTGTTGGCCTCCCCAAATCCTCCTCCATAGGCTGCAGATCATCCAGAATTCTACAGCCCTTGTCCTCTCCTATACTAGGCTCCGTGACCCTATAACCCCCATCCTTGTCCAACTCCACTGGCTTCCCATCACACAGAGGATACAGTTCAAGATCCTGGTCCTCACCTTCAAAGCCCTCCATGATCTTGCTCCCCTCTACCTCTGCAACCTCCTAACCCCTTACAATCCTGCTTACTCCCTCAGTTCAGTAGTTTCCGGCCTGTTTCACGTCTACCACCTCACTCGCCCCACTATTGGCGGGCGGACCTTCTGCCACTCTGCTCCCACCCTCTGGAACTCCATCCTGCAGTCCTCCGCCTCGCCCCCACCCTTGCCACCTTCAAGACCAATCTCAAGACCTTCCTCTTCGACCGTGCTTTCGATCTCTCTGCTTCCCCCCCCTACCCTCCACCCTCAGCGACCCCAAAAAACAAAACAATAATAAATTGGTCATTTTCAATCTATGACTGTTTGTGGGACATTGCTGTGCGCAATTGGCTGCCGCGTTTGCCCACAAATATATAGTCAATTCACTTTACAGTGTGTTCTGTGAAGCGCTTTGGGACGTCCTCCCGACGTGAAAAGCGCTATATCAAATGCAAGGATTATTATTATTATTATTAAGGCATTGGACAATCAGGGATTCGTACCCAAGCTGGTGGTTGGGATCGGGAGGGGTGGAAAGTGGGGAGGGTAATTCCTTCCAGGATTTTTTGTCCCCATGAGAAGTACTTTACATTTCTCCACATTGAATTTCATCTGTCACCTATCTGGCCAATTCCGAAATATGTCCAAATCCTCCTCTAACCTATCTTTTTCAGCTTCGCAATCTATCACCTTCATTAGTTTGGTATCATATGCAAACTTAGCCACTGTGCTTGTGACTTCTAGTTCCAGATACAAGGGTGACGGAAGGCACTATCAAAGAGGAGGGCCTTGAGATGGGTCTTGAAGGAGGCAAGGGAGGGGGCAAGGCAAAGGGACTGTGAGATGGAGTTCCAGAAAGGCTGAAGGCCTGCCCACCAATGGTGTTGCAGGCAAGGTGGGGGATGTGAAGCAGGCAGGAGCCCAGTGAGCAAAGGGAGAGGACAGGTTGATAGGGGGTTAGGAACTCACAGAGTTAGGGAAGATCAGACTTCAGTTTTGTGATTTTCAGCAGCTGTGAATTTCACCTCAAATCTCACAAGCTGACATTTGCAAACCAGTATCTGGGCATCCGGTTCAAACCCTAGATGTCCTTCCTTCCCCAAATCCAGTCTCTGACCTCCTTCTTCCACCTCTGCCACATTGCCTGCCTCCAACCGTACTTTGCCCCAAATGCAGCTGAAACTCACGTGCATGCGTTTGTCACCTCCCGTCTGAATTACTTTGTCTCTAGAGTCAGCCCATATAAGTTAGCTTTCTTACTTGGAATGACAAACGAGGCAGTGTGTGAGCAGAGCATTTAAGCTGTCTATTTCTAGAACACGGTAAAAAGTTGTTCACTCTTTTCCATTGTTTGAAGTTTTCTGCTCAACACTTACCACTTTGTCGTTACGTTGTTCTTCCATTGTTTTTCGCATTTCTTCGGTATCTGATTGTGAGATCTGAGACCAAATGCTCATTGTTGGAACTGTACTGTGGAAAACAATGGAAGAAGGATTCTTAATTTTATAAAAGACATAAAAATAGAAGGCTTGTCAGGATCTTCCTCACATGGGAAGCTATAATGAATAGATGTTGCATCAGAAGTACTGATATCGTAGAGGCATTTCTACCCAGCTCAGGTCCAAGGAGACCCATGGCTTTCCTCTCTCCAAAGCAGGTGAGTACGAGTTGGATGTTTGATATCTAACAAGTGCAGGTATGACGCTCATAAGGCAGATGGGAGATAACAGGAACTCACTGTGAGCTTCCTGGTGGTCAACGCAAGTCAGCATTAAATACATGAGAGCATTGTCATCATCTTCCTGCCCATGGTTTAGACACACTTCCCAACCCCTTGAATGAGCCACCTTAATGTTGGGGTCGGTGGGGAATGTTGGGTCAGTGGGGAATGTTGGGGTCGGTGGGGAACACTGGAGTCAGTGGAAAACATTGGGTTCAGTTGGGAACATTGGGGTCAGTGAGCAACATTGGGGTCAGTGGGGAATACTGGGGTCAGTGGGGAACGTTGGGGTCGGTGGGGAATGTTGGGGTCGGTGGGGAATGTTGGGTCAGTGGGGAATGTTGGGGTCGGTGGGGAACACTGGAGTCAGTGGAAAACATTGGGTTCAGTTGGGAACATTGGGGTCAGTGAGCAACATTGGGGTCAGTGGGAAACTTTGGGGTCAGTAGGGAATGTCGGGGCCTGTGGAGAACACTGAGGCTCGTGGGGAACCAAGAGCAGGAATGTATCCAGCCTCCATTAGTGTATCTCAGCAGTGCACAACTCAATGCACAGTCTTCAATCCACCATTATGCATCTTCTCTCCTCCAGCCCTGATAAGGAAAGCAATCAATCCTTAAAGCGTTTTATTTATGGCGGTGCACTTGAACTCACTCCTTCGTATTTTGTAATTCGTGGAGGAATGGGTTGAATCGGACCTCCTGTGGACACTTTGCTGGTCGCTGAGCTTTGCTGGTTTTTAACAAACGTCTCTTTTTGGTACTTTTACTTTTGTCACTTTCATGCTGAAAGAAAATAATTTTGAAGATGGCCTTTTTAAAATAAATCAATCTTACAGTTTTCTATGTGTTCTTGTAAAATGGCTCTTCGACCAATTGAACTTATCCTTCAAGGATACCAACTTTGCCATTACAACATCATCTCAACTCTCTTTCCTCACAGGTCTAGGACCTGGGCAGCTCCTTTATGTTATGGTAATCAGAATTGTACGCAGTCTAACCAGAGAGCACTGTATACCTTGACATGACTTCCAAGGACTTGAACTCAACTAATTTGGCAATATAGCCAAGCATCCTGCTTGTCTTGTTTATTGCTGTCTCACAATGTTGTGACATGGTGCGCGACCACCTCTTGCAGATTTTCCTTTGGAAAGTTCTATCCCATCTATAGAGTACATATGTGCCTCCTATTTATGTAGTACCTTGCATTTATCTGTATTGAACTTCATTTGCCAGGCGTCAGAGTGTGTGCATACTTTAATGAAGATTCTTTTTGTAAGACCTTTGATTCCTCTGCTTTGGAGTCATCTGCAAATGTAACTACCTTTCATAGGGTATGCAAATCCAAGTCATTAATATAAAAATTGTGGGGTGGGGATCCCAGTATAGAGTTCTGAGGTACTCCGCTTAATAATAAAAATAATAATCCGTGCATTTGATATAGCGCCTTATCACGTCTTTGAGACATCTCAATGTGCTTCACAGCACTTTAATACCTTCCTCTGCACATCCAAGAAGCAGCCGGATATTTAGAAGTGCACTGGAATGAGCAAAGTTGGAAAAACAACTTTTGAAAATCACTTTTCAGTATGAGTTTAGAAAGGTTGGTACAAAGCTAACCTGTTTGTTTGAACTTGAACTCTGGAGCTCTGAAGGGCAAGTTATTTTGGGTCGAATTGGCAATGTGACAGCAGTTTCTGGAAATGGGCCCACATCAGTCTTGGGTCTTAGCTGACGTTCTTCCCAATTCTTCAGAGGAAAGGCAGCATGTATTGCAGGAAAATTCTGTTTAATACAGAACCTGGGTCCCCTATAATTGTTTGAATACAAAAATAATTGTGACACAGAGAAACTTCTCAGTCTGGTTTGAAAATTCCTGAGCGTGGTGATGGGTTTCTACACCTGATCAGACATCTGGCTCATCTAAAAAAAAGCTTCCAGTGAAATTGATGATGGTCTCTTGTACATTACAAATGCTACTTCCTGAACCACAATGTACACAGCAAAGCTTCATTTCAAAATAGGTACTATCAAACCTACGCTTGCACCCATACTCACCAGTACAGAAGCAGAGGCTCCACTATATCTGGTTGTGCATCAGACAGGTTTTCTTCCGTCCACAGTGAGGCATATGATAGACCCAGTCGTGAAAGTGTCTCCGCATTCATGCAGTATTCTCCTCCATTAAATAAATACCGATTCCGTAGCTTTTTTATTTGGCTTCAAGGAAACGAAAAACAATTTAGAGGGAAAAGACAAACAAATTCAATACCTTCAAAAATAAATGTAAAAAAACACAATATAAAATTAATATAATTACACTTTTCGCAATGGGAGGATGTCCCAAGTTACTTGACAGCGTTGGCTTTGCACCTGAACTAGGGGTGAGAGCTGAAGGGGGTAGGGAAGGGAAAAATGACCAAAAGCACAGTCAAAGAGGGAGGTCTTGAGACTGACCTTGAAAGACAGGGACTCTGAGATGCATTTGTATACATTCATTAATATGAATGAACTGTCAGAGCACTTGTACAGCACAACTCTACCAGCTGGATTTAGTCTTTCCAAAATGTTATTTCTCAGGAGACAGATGAGGAAGGAATGTTTTGAACAATCAACAATTTCTCAAGATTTAATCAATTTGATCACATCCTTCCAGAATAGCCATTATTCCGTCTTCCCCTTATAAGACCAAGAAGATTTTTTGGATATTTGTGGGCGAAACGCGGCAGCCTATTGCGTACAGCAATGTCCCGCAAACCATGGTGGATTGAAGTGATCAATTTATTAATGTTTTTTTTTCTTGAGGGATTATTATCAGGTGTCTGGAGTAAGGAAACTTGCTTAAGGTTTTGTCCTGTCGGGAAGCAAAACCAGGTTTCTTGCTTGCGAGTTGAGTTCTCTAACCACTGAGCTACAGGACTCCACTATCTAAACTAAATTTATCTAAACTATCAGGACTTGAATACTCTTGCTGATTCATGCTCTCTAATTAGAGCACTGAGGCCAATTGTAGGGTTCCAGCACTCCCCAGACTGAGATCTACTTCCCGCCTCACCATTGGTTGTCGGGCATTCAGCATCTCTGCCCCCACACTCTTGACCTCTCTCCCGCAATCCCTTCACCTCACCCCCACTCTTGCTTCCTTCAGGTCCTGTCTAAAGACCTTCCTCTTCAACCGTACCTCCGGCCACCCTCCCACTCGCAACCCCCTCCTCCCCTTCTGACCCCAACTCCGAACTCGGGTCCAAGAAACCCTCGACGTGAAGGGCACTATACAAGTATAATTTGTTGTTGTTGTTGTAATGCCACAACAAGGAATAGCTGTCACAAGTTGGAATTAAAGTCTGTATGTCTACCTTTAATTGAATAAACTCTTAAGCAATTGAGGAGAATTGGATTGTTCATAGATAGGACAAAGTATGTCTAATATAGGATTTCTTTGCTAAATGAACATAGCTTCTTCAGAAGAAAATGTAAAAATTGTGGTCAGTCAGACAGATTAGGAAACCCATGACCACGTTTAACAGTATCCAAACGAGATTGACAATTCCACCGAAGTATGGGACCTACACATAGAAATTCCCATGTCTAGAATGCAATGCACACTCTCTCCCCAGAGGGATGTATCCTGTTTACCTAATTCTGAGAATATGAGGTCAGGTTAGCAAAAGCCAAAGCTTGGGGATCGCAGAGTGTGCATTAGGGTACTGCTGGATTTTAACTAAATTTCACATCAGGAGGACATCTCAAAGCATTCATGGTTGTTATAAAAAGCCAATGATAATATTAACTAACCAATTACAATCCCCTTATGCCTATAAGCTGAACCGATTCTAACCTTTGCTTCGTTTTAGCATCTGTGATGACTCTTAATCTTTCTATGTCGATCCAAAGGCGGAAGTATTTCTCCCCAGCTGTACCCTCGAGAAAGTGCTCAAATTTTTCAATTCCCTTTCGACTCTTCAGGTTATAACCATGGCGTTGCCTCAAGTAGCAGGGCCCATTTTCATTGTCCTCCTCGCTTTCAGATTCCTTGTCCAGATCATCACTGACCTCAGGTTGATCAAGCTGTGCTGCTATTTGCCCATCAGGTAGGATAGTCTCGGCATTTTGGGCTGTTTCCTTATCATCGCTTGCTTGTTTTTCCTTCTCTTCCTTTCCTTTCCCATGCTTTCCTTTCACATCCACCTTTTTCTCCTCATCCTTTTTTCTCTCCTTTGTCTCCTTGGACTTTTCTTCCTCAATCGTTCCTTCCTCCTTTTTCTCCTCAGTCTTTTCTTCCTCTTCTTCGCACTTCTCTGATTCTGGCAGGAAGAATACTGTTCCCGCTGAGATCAAAGGATTCTCGTGAACACATGCGTATATTCATCACCCAGTACTTTAGGTCGGAAACTTCCCGAATCGCAAACTTCTTCTTTTGCTATTTCCTTAATGCGCAAATTTGGTTTGCTTGTCTGGTACGCAGCAAAGGCATTGTGCAAGATGTTTGATTCCAGGCCTAAACAAATTCAATTGAAATAGATTTATAGAAATGTCAGGGGCAAATTGCACTGACAGTGTACAAGTGTAGGGTGCTTCACTTACTGTAAAGTGAATACACTGTATATTTTGTGGGCAAAACACGGCAGCCAATTGTGCACAGCAGTGTGCACAAAGAAAATTATTTGAGGGGTGAAAGAAAATGTAATCATTTAAAAAATATTTATTCTGTGCAGTACAATATTTTACATTAAGAGCCTTACTCAAGTGGCTTGTAGAAATTATCTCTCGAGTTTCTTTTTCCTCTGAGCTTGAGGGTAAGGACCCCCTGACAGACATTGTAGTTGTTGATTCGTGAGGTAACATTGCATCACTGAACACTACTTTATTCTCGGTGATGCTGGCCTATGTAGACAAAGTTATTAGAGTAGTAATTATTCACATTATTACATTCCAAAACAAGTTCACAGTTGGTGATTCATACTCAATACAATAGAATACAATACAAATTTACATTGATATCGCGCCTTTCAGGTCAGAAGGACGACCCAAGGCATTGGACAATCCAGGGTTTGCACTCAAGCTGGGGGTATAGCTATACATGGTACTATGGCCTGGAATTACAAAAGTGAAAAAGTAAAAACAAAAGTTTTCGGGACAGACACCGGAGAATTTCAATTTTCTCAGTCGGCAATTAACAACTGTAACAAGCTAGCACGAAGGTGGTTGAGGCCAGAACACTGGTGGGCAAGATTTCAACTCCTCCACCCGCTAGAACTCTGCCCAATTCCGTCCACTCGCCCCCTCCTTCTCGGCTTTCAATACCCGTATACAACTCCTATCTTTAATTGTACCTTTAGCCACCTCCACCCAACCTCTCCTGTCTCCCAGTTTGGACTCCTATTCAGTCTTTGTAAAATGCTTTGAGGTGTTCTTCCTATGTGAAAGGTGCAATGGTAAAACATGTTGTTTGTTGCATGCATTGTTTAGATAAGCTCAGCCTTACCTCTCCAAAGCAAGTGTACACCTGCTTCAAGGAATTTGTCAGCTCTCCAACGAAAGGCTCTGGAGCCACTTCTACATTTTCTATAGCCCACGGTTGGAATGTGCGATCAATCCGTGGTAGCACAGAACCAGAGGCACACTCTATTTGAGACAACAACTTTCCAAGCCTATTAGTAATGACCACAACATAGCTTTTGTGCAGTAAAATGCAATAGCAACAAATGAAAATAAAAGTGACTTTACAGCTGTTTGTGTGCAAACTGACTCCACATTTGCCTTCAAATATACTGTCGCTACACTTTGCAGCATATACAATACAATTTGCATTCCACATCAGGAGGACATCTCAAAGGTTTAAGCCTGTGAATTGATTTGAGACATCCTCCTAACATGTGAGGTGCTATATTAAATGCAAGGATTATTATTATTGTAAAATTATTGTAAATGGATGGAAATAAGTTTTCTTCTTTATTCAGGGGAGAATTAAAGACTGGAACAGGTTGCCAGGAAGGGTAGTTGAGGCTAGTACACTGGACTCATTCAAAAAACCCAGCTTGATGCTGATTTCAATGCTGTTGGGAAGATGATTGGGTGGGTATTCTGAGAGGATAAGACTGGGTGAGCTGAAGAGACTAATCTTGTTCAGACTAATCTTGTGTAATGCTTTTGATAAGTTGTTTATCTTTAACAATGGTTGGCTGTTTCCACCACATCAAATACTATAACTATATTTTGTGGACAGCTTTTCTCTAATAAAGTGCAGTTACTCCCTTGATTTCCCACTGTGGGACACTGTGTGGTCGGATGGCACCTAAGGACTCCTATGTCCAAGATTTGATCCCACTCCCTCACAAAGGCCTCTCACACGTGGCCAACAGGCCTAGGCTGTCCGCCCCCTCTCCCAGGTTACTCTCATAGTCCCAGGCTACCCTCCCACCTAAATCCCAAGCAAACCCCCTCCCCTTACCCCTCCTACAGGCAAGCCCATTCCCCCAAGGGGTAAAGGGTAGCAGATATTTTAATTTTATTACTATTATGAATGTGGTTTCTACTTGTGCAAATACATATTTACAAAGTGCAACGCAATACACAGTAGTCGTGAATTATGAAGAAAACCGAGATGCAAGGTTAGGTTTGTGAGTTGAACGTAAATATCAACATATTGTACAACGAAAGGATTCAGTGCCTGTACCTGTATTCAAAGTAGCAGTCACTCTGGAGGAACGCCGACAGCCTCTCCTTTTTTACCCAGGCAACACCCTGCTCCTGATCCAGACACTAAAAGCAAAACAAAATCATTCTGGCTACCATACCCTCTCTGGGCTACTTGCTACCCTCTCCTGGCTACTCACCCCTCTCCCAAGCTATCCTTGGCCTTGCCATATATTCGCTATTTGGTGTTATACTAATTATTGAAGAGCAAAAGGTTTTGGACTGCTATGATTTGAAAGAAATTAAAGATATTTATGTGCTACTTTTCAATTTCAATTGGTTTTGAAACAGCACTAATTTTATTTTAAAAGCAAATATCCGTAACAAAGAATTTCCGAGCTAAGGAAATATTTATTTATCGTATCATTCAGTTTTGTTTTATAAAAATATATTTTCAAATATATCAGATTATATTATATATATTATTCTTGATCTTGCTTTTAATCTTAAATAATTGTCTGAATTGTTTACATCTCCACTGCTGTTCCCAAATCTGCCTTGATTCAGTCTTCAAAACCTGCCTTCAGATCTATCTTTTTAGCTCTCCTGTCAAACTCCTTTCCCCTTAACCCTAACATCACCCAACTGAAGCTTCTAGTCATCTTTACCAACTAGAAAGAGTGCAAACAATCCACAGCTATGTTATCACTGGGTCTTGTAGCTCAGTGGTTAGAGCACTCGCCTCGCAGGTGAGAGACCTGGGTTACGATTCTTGGCAGGGCAAAATGTTGGGCACACACACCCCTCTGTTACTGAGCAGTAAGTAGGAACCAGGTTGTTAGTAGATTGGCAAATTGCTTTTCCGGGTTTTAATAAATCCTTCAAAAAAAAAGAATTGTTCACTTCAATTCACGACTGTTTGTGGGACACTGCTGTGCGCAATTGGCTGCTGCGATTCGCCCACAAAATATACAGTCAATTCACTTTACAGTATATTCTGTGAAGCGCTTTAAGATGTCTCAAAGACATGATAAGGCGTTATGTTGAATGCAAGGATTATTATTATTATCATAAAGCTGTATTTAACTGCATTGTCACTGCCAGAATCATTCACATCCAATAAAACGTACAAAATATTCAACAAACCTTTACAATGAAAGTGGTTGGTATCTTAAGTTCATTAGGAGTGGGTTTTTTGACTACTGGGGGGGACTTTCCTGTTGATTTTCTTGTCACATTGTAGATGGGATTCATGGGTCTTTGAGCACGCACCAATGCTTTTATTTGCATTTTCAAATCTTTCTCAGAGTCATCAACAACTTCAAAAACCCCTGTTTCTGCGTTAAATCTTATTGGATTTGGAAAACACTGCAAAATAAATAAATTCAATGCAAATAAACATAGAAGTTGCGGCAAAAGTTTTATTTGGATTCAACTATTACTCTGAAAAAGATATTTTTATTTTCAATAGCGCTTTTCACATCAGGAGGATGTCCCAATCTGCTGGACAATCAATGTTTTGTACCCAAGCTGGGGGTCGGGATCAGAGAGGGTGGATGGTAGGGGGGAAGGAGGGTGACCGAAGGTACGGTCGAAAAGGAGGGTCTTGAAACGGGTCTTGAAGGAGGAAAAGGAGGGGGTGAGGCAGAGGGACTGTGGGATGGAGTTCCAGAGGGTGGGGGCAGAGTGAAGATGGGGGTACACTACTTACTGGCAGAGAGAGAAATGCATTGAAGTAATCCACAAGCAGTTTGTCTATGACTAAATAGTCTTCCTGGAAATGGAAGAAATAAAAATGTAACATGGACTCGTGAATGCTTAAACATTTAGAAAAATGATAACAATAACAATCTAGTGCAACAGTATGAAACTTCTGATTTTCATATTTTATCCTTCTTAAGTATTTCTCTTGAGTTCACAATTGGTTTAAATGAAGAAGGTCATTCCACCCATTTAATCTCATGCTTACAGAAATCCACACTATATTGAATGTGATTTAATGGTAAATGTTTAAGTATATTGGAATGCAATGCTTGAAATGATATCTAGATGGGATACTATGTACAATAATTTGACAGAATATAATAAATTATTCTCATAATTTAAATTTCAGGAATCTGAGTAACAAATGAAAACATTTTAATTTTCATAAAATTTGTATTGTGCGCTGAAAATTACTTGGAAAGACATGGAACGTGTCCTTTTTTATGTGAAGGTTTCCCACATGACAAAGGTAACATTACGTTATCTGCCCTGGACACACTGAGCTACAAAAAAACTCAGCAAAGAAAGGGAAACATCACCATTCAACATCTTCTACTTACAAAGTCATTTTCTGTTATATCAAGAGGTACTGGAAGAGAAAAGAATTCCTGTATTAGTATTTTTTAATATCTGTCCACATAAACCTTCCTTACCAGATAAGTACAACTCCTTAGGAGGTGACCTTATTGAGGTGTATGCAATGTCAAACCCAGATAAATATTTTAGGATGCACCAACAGTAGATCAAAAGGACATAGATTTAAAATTTCAAGGGGTTAATTTCAAGACAGATATCAGGAGGTTTTACTTTATTTAGACACTAATTCTGAATCATCCTCTTGCTGACTTTCAAAGCCATCCACGATCTTGCTCCTCCCTACCTCTGTGACTTATTAATCCCATAACCCCCTGTCCGCTCCCTCTGCTCGGTGAACTTGGTCTGCTCCACGTCCCCCGCCCTGCCCTCCCCACCATGGACAGTTGGCCTTCAGCTCCTCTGCTACGACCATTTAACACTCCATCCCATAGTCCCTTCGCCTCGCCCCCTTCCTTGCCTCCTACAAGGACCACTCAAGATCTTCCCCTACTTAATTTACTTCAATAATAATCCCTCCAAAAAACAAAAACAATAATAAATTGATCATTTTCAATCTACGACTGTTTGTGGGACATTGCTGTGCGCAATTGGCTGCCGCGTTCGCCCACAAATATACAGTCAATTCACTTTACAGTGTGTTCTGTGAAGCGCTTTGGGACGTCCTCCTGACGTGAAAAGCGCTATATCAAATGCAAGGATTATTATTATTATTATTATTATAACCACACCTCCAACCTCCATCTTCCTTGCCCTCCACCCCTCCTGATCCCAACCCCTTAGCTCGGGTGTACACTCTGTCCAGCGCTTTGGGATGTCCTCCTGACGTGAAAGGTGCTATACAAATGTAATTTGTTGTTGTTGTAATTAACAACTGGAACACGTTGCCAGGAAGGATGATTGAGGCCAGGGCACTTGATTTACTTAAAAAGCAGCTTGATGCTATGATGGGAGGGTAAAATATTCTGGAGTTATGAGATCAGATTTTTAATAAAGTGCCACGTAAAAGGCTGTCCTCCTGGCATGAAAGGCACTTTATAAATAATAATAATCATAATCCTTGCATTTGATATAGAGCTTTTTACGTATTCTAGATGTCTCAAAGCGGAATATACTGTAAAGTGAGTTGACTGTATATTTGTGGGTGAAACGTGGCAGCCAAGTACGCACAGCAGTGTCCCACAAACAGTTATGGATTGTTTGGAGGACTTTGGACTTTTACTCGAAATTTATCCTGGAGGCCAAAAACAATCCAAAAGACCATGTTTTCCGCAGTCCATCACCTCCTCCATCCTAGACTTCTTTGCCTCAAAAATCGAAAACATCCATTTGGCTGCATCATCCTTCTCCCCCATGTCCCCTTCCACCCCATCCAGACTATCCATACTGTCTTCTCCTTCCGCCACAGCATCTACCACTACCCCTCCTTTGCCCCCATTTCTCCCGCTTCCCGTTCAACAATAATCATCCAGATGAAGTTCACCACCTGCTGCCTTGTCCCCCTCCCCACCCAGCTGCTGTTCACTCAACTCCTCCTTCTTTTCCCACTGCCTGTCAATATGGTCAACCAGTTTCTCTCCTCAGGCTCTGTTCCACTCCCCCTGAAAAGCACTGTCATCACACACCTCCTCAAAAAAAACACCCTCGATCCCTCTAATCTCATACACTACCATCCCATCTCCAACCTACCTATTCCTTACCAAAGTCCTGGAACGCATTGTTGCAGGTTAACTTCAGTCACACCTCTCCCTCCACTCCCTCCTCGAGCCCCTGCAGTCTGTTTTTCTCCATGCCCACAGCACAGAGACAGCTCTTGTCAAAGTCACAAACGACATTCTCTCTATCTGTGACCGGGGCTCCCTCTGCCTCTTCATCCTCCTGGATCTCTCTACTGCGTTCGACACAGTTGACCATGCCATCCTCCTCCATTGGCTCTCCTCCCTCATCTACCTTAGTGGGACCACACTCGCATGGTTTGAGTCCCATTTAACCAAGCGCCTCCATTTCATCTCGGCAAATGGTTTCTCGTCCCGCACCCGCCAGGTCACCTACTGGGTACCCCAGGGCTCCATCCTTGGCCCTCTTCATTTTCTTATCTATATGCCCCCTCTGGGTGATGTCATCTGCAGACATAGGGTAAACTTCCACATGTATGCGAATGACAGCAAATCTACTTTGCCTCCTCCAGTACCAACCCCAGGTCTGACGATGTTCTATCAGCTTGTCTGGCAGACATCAAAGCCTGGATGAGTGTAAACTTCCTGCAGTTGAATATGAACAAGATGGAAGTCAAATTCCTTTGCTCCTGTCAATGTCTTCACTCCTACAGATCTAAACTCCTCAACCTCCCTGGGCTCTCCCTGAGACTCACTGAAACAATGCGCAACCTAGGCGTCCGGTTCAACCTCCAACTGTCCTTCCTCCCCCACATCCGGTCCCTGATCAGGACCACTTTCTTTCACCTCCACCACATTGCCCGCCTCTGACTGTACCTTACCCCAAATGCAGCCAAAACTCTTGTGCATGCATTTGTCATCTCCCGCTTGGATTACTCCAATACACTTCTCGCCAGTCTCCCCAGCTCCACCATTCAAAAGATCCAGCTCATTCAAAACTCTACTGCCCACATAGTGACCCGGACCAAACTCCGTACCCTCATCTCATCAGTTCTGGCCAGGCTCCACTGGCTCCCCATCATTGAATGGATCGACTTCAAGATCCTCACTCTTGTGTTCAAATCCTTTCACTACCGGCACCTCCCTACCTCTTTGACCTTCTCACTCTCCAATACACCACCCGGCACCTCTGCTTGACTGGCACTGGCCTCTTGCTCATCCCTCGCACCACCCACCCCACTATCAGAGGTCGCGCTTTCAGCCGCTACGCCCCAAAACTCTGGAATACTCTCCCTCAATCTCTCTGCCTTGCCTCCTCTCTCAAGTCCTGCCTGAAAACTTTCCTGTTCAACCGTACTTACGGTCACCTCCCTCCGGCTCGGAGTTAGGCTCCGCGACTGTTAAGCGCTCTGAGACGCACCCTGCGTGGAGGGCGCCATACAAGTGCAAGTTGTTGTTGTATTGAAATGACCAACTTTATTGTTTTTTTTGAGGGATTATTATCAGGCGTGAGGAGTAAAGAAACTTGCCCAAGGTTTCTCCCTGCTCTAACTACTGAGTTACAGGACTCCTGTAAATGTGAACTGGTTTTGCATTAATAAAAGTTCAGGTGCATGGTGTTAATAGAAAGATGATAGAAAATTAAAGGATAGGGAACAGAGAGGGGGAAATATATGATTGTTATTCAGAATAGAGAGATGTAAATAGTGATGTACCCCAGGGGTTGGTGTTAGGACCGCTGCTCTTCTCAACATATTGGATTCTGGCACGATTTCTAACTTTGTTGGTGACACTAAAATAGGGAGTGTAGCTCACACGAAGAAATTTGCAAGTACTGCAACTTCAGAAGGTCACAGGCACGCATAGGTTGGGTGGAAATGGAAGATGAAATTTAATGCAGGAAAGTGTGAAGTCATACATTTCGGGAGGAAGAATTTGGAGAGCTCTGTCACACGCGCTATTCCTTAACGCACTGCATTAAACGCAGCACCTTGGGACGTCCTCCTGACGTGAAAGGCGCTCTATAAATGGAATCTTGTTGTTGTTGTTAAACTGTCCACAGATCACTGGATCAAACTTTTGTGCAGTGATTAACTAAATCAGATACTTTCAGAGGGTTAATACCTATCCACAAGGAGCGATCTGCAGTTACATACCGGTTGTCATCTTTCCCCTTTCCATGTTGAGTTTGGTGCTCTCACATCTCGGTTGGAGAACAGGTGTAGCCCGAAGCTGACTCTTCCATAGCAATGCGGATCAGTTGGGATGACTGAGAGCCACTGGAGGTTTCTCAGCCACAAACAACTGCAGTGGAGAGAAGATCCCGAGTTGCCGACTGTTGGGGGATCGATCCCACCCCCCAAACCCCCCCCCAAAAAAAAATCACCTGAGACCAATAAACCGGGAACCAGAGGCAGGAACTGCGGGACTCGGTCCGTGTGGACGTCGCTATCTGTTGCCTCGGGTTTGACCCGTGTTGTTTGCAGTTTGGTGTTGCTATGGGCGTCGAGAGAGGACAACAGGATTGAAGCAAACAGTACCCGAGCGCTGCAAAACCCTCGCACTTGGGACGCAAATCTTTCCCGCACCCCCCGACCTGAATATTACTGTGTTTGATCACACAAATATTGTGCACCAGGTGCACTGTGTGTGTGTGTGTGTGTGTGTGTGAGAGAGGGGAGGAAGGCAGTGTATTGGGGTGAGGTCACTGCCCTCAGTATGTGCTCAGGTTTGCAGCCAAACGTCATAAAGGTATCGCTGTCTCCCAACACCTCAGACCCTCCGCTGTCCCACTCTCTGTTGGCACCGCGTTGAGACAACAAGACAACCAGTAACAACCCCTCCAAAAACCAAACGCAATAATAATAAAAAAAATTGGTCGTTGTCAAATCCACGACTGTTGGCGGGACACTGCCGCGCGCAACTGGCTGCCGCGCTCGCCCACGAATATACAGTCCATTCGCTTTACAGTGCGTTCCGTGAAGCGCTTTGGGACGTCCTCCCCACGTGAAAAGCGCTGTATCAAATGCGAGGATTATTATTATTATTATTGTGGTGCCTTTCAAACGTGCATCACAGCAACGGGTCTCAAAGCGAAGGTTAATGCTCGATAACCGTCATCGCCTTCGAAACGTCCCAGTAAATCACTCAAGTGTCGTGACTTTGTACCTGTAATTAAATGCAGCAACTAATGTGCACGCGTCAATTTAACTGGAGGATTATTGGCTGTAAATTTCTACCATGACAGAAATGTAAACTTTTAAACTTTTACACCATGGGCCTGTGGCTTTACCTACTTTAAAAAAAAACATAGCCTGTGAACGGTTAGGAAATAAAACAAACTCAATTTAAAGACTGACTTTTTATTCAACAATAAAACAAGATTAAAATCCATTTAAAAAAAGAATTTGCTCAAACATGCATTACGACATGTACAAATAAAAAATATATATACAGTAAAAGATATGAAGAATTTTCAGGTAACTCAATACCATAAATTAAGGCAGACATCACAATGTTAAATTAGTATTTATCAACTAATCCTGAAGAAACTACTGTAAAATTGTTGAAGAAAGTAGAATCCAAAGTTTTTTCATGGACTAATATATTCCTTGCATTTGATATTACATTTATAATGTCAAAACATTTTAAAGCACCTCACAGGCAATTGTCCTCAAAATGTAGGGTTTGTACTTGTAAGGCAATTCTGCAGCCAATTTGCAAGGTACCACAAAGAATCGTGAGATAAACGACCAATTTATCTGGAGGTCTGTATCGAGGACTCTGGAAGAAACTCTAGTCACTTTTTGAATAGTGCCGTGAAATTTTTACCATCCAAGCGAAAAGGCAGCTTGTCTGGTTTAGCATCTCATCGAAACAGCACTTCTGACCCCAGCAATGCACTGGAGAGATAGCCCGGACATCAATCTCATTTAGAGTGCAAAGTCAACCAGAATATGGAATAAAATAAACAAGCAAGAGTATTTACAAAAGGAGCAATTAACCTTCAAAATGAGGACTCTGTTGTGGATTGTAATCTGAACTATTCTTGTTCCACTTTCGTGGATCCAGGATGAATTCAAACAAAAAAATTGAGAAGCAGTTTTTTTAATATTAATCACATCTGGAGTATTCTATCAGAAAGGATTTTTACCCATAGTAAAGCTCAGGTTTTGCTGCAGATCCGAGAATGAGGAAAAAAAGTCATCAAAGATCAGATAGGCAATTTCAAAACAAATAGGAAATTTGGAATTCTAAGATTTCAGATTTTCCCTCTAAGAGAAAAATACATAAAAGTTGAGAAGTACTGTGGCATACAGCTCTAAAAAAAGGGCTTTTTGCAGCATTTCTGTAACGATGCACAAAAGGCCAATAAAACTGGAGGTAGGAAAAAAGGCTCAAGAGAATTCTATTCTTCATATGTACAAATTCACAGTCTTTTCAAATTCCGTTTGCTTTGTGCACTTCCAGGCGCAGCCTCCTTTTTGCCCAAGCATTTGGCGGACCTGCTGCTGCATTCTTTGGACCCGTGGAAGGCACAGAAGCATTGTGTGCAGAAGTCAAAGGCACAATCGTCCGAACTACAGAGACCCTGTTTCTTCATTGGATTATACTTGGCAGGCGATTGGCAGCGTGGGCATGGTTTTAGAGCCTCGTTGTTGAACAGAGTTTTGGCAATCTGTTGGTGACAACATACATCATCAATACAGAAAATCTAGAGTCCAACGACAACACATTACATTTGTGTAGAGCCTTTCATGTCAGGAGGATGTCCCAAGGCACTGGACAGTCAGGGATCTGTACCTGAGCTGGTGGTTGGGATCAGGAGGGGTGGAGGGCGGAGTAGGAGGGTGACAGAAGGCACGGTCAAAGAGGAGGGTCTTGAAGGAGATGAGGGAGGGGGCAAGGTGGAGGGACTGTGGGATGGAGTTCCAGACAGTGGGGGCAGAGAGGCTGAAGGCCCACCCGCCAATGGTGGGGCTGGTAAGGCAGGGGATGTGCAGCAGGCTGGAGCCTGCTGAGCAGAGGGAGCAGACACGTTAATAGGGGGTGAGGAGGTCACAGAGGTAGGGAGGAGCAAGGCAACATTTGCACCTCCAATGCTGTCATAACCAGAAATTACAGGCAAAATTTGAGAGATTAAACCCTGTTCCACTGTTTCCTTTGTTTACCTTCAGAAACTCCTCTCGTTTACTGGCTGATCTTGGATTACTGCTGCGTTCTGCAGAATCAACTTGTCGCTGTGGAGTTCGTGTGAGGGCTTGAGCCTGAACAGTTTTAAAAGCAGACCGATTTGGGAGATTACACCTTGTTTCAGCATCCGGGGCCCATGGAAAACTACCCTGTTAAAACAAAATATTTACAAAACCAGAATGATCCTTGAGGTTGAAAATGCATGTGCATTTTTCAAAACATAAAACAGATCCCACACATTCTTTTGAGTGTTTACAGATTTAGACCTTTTACTTCTATGGAAATATTGTATAATCAGAGAAATTGTCAACGATAAAACACATCTGTGTTCCTCCCATGTAATCCTAATCTATGTGAAGTCTCTAATCTTATTATTATTATTATTATTGGGAAAATTACAATTCCTGTACAATGGGACATGAGCCATGTGCATCAAGACCCATAGAGGAATTGAAGTGCCTAAAATATTCTTCCTCTTGACAAGTTTTACTTCCATTGAATCCATAGACCGTGACATTAGGCTTCCTAGTAAAGCATTGTAATCAATTTTAAGGGAATAGGATATTTTTAAGCACCTTGGGCCAACTGAAGCCACATCTACAAACTAACAGAATCCTATCTGGAGATCTTTCTTTTAATATGTTCCACAGTAAGGAGCTTGTGAACAGTTGCATTTGGAAGAAGGTTGCTATCAGGTGAATATCCGGGGTAGTGTTCTAATGGCACTGGAGATTTGTTGCGTTCCATCAGAACTGTGAAAAACTTGTGAAATGTTAGGAAGTTCAGCAGATTTTAAAAAGTTGTCTGAAAGTGGCATTACAAACATTAAACTTTGCAGCCAAAAATTTCGATATTCAGTATTTCGGGTATCAAATATTCTAAAGTATTTTGGAAAGATTTGTCAGTCAAAATGGACAAAATGTTGAATCATTATGTGAGGCAATATGGGGACACAGAAGAATGTAATTTCTTAGCACAGCCATTGGACAAGGGCAATGGAAGAAATGAGCTGCCATGATGCCACTCTTTCTTGAATTGTATTATTGTGCATTTTCCCGTAGAAAAGCAATTATTGAATGCAGAACCCAAAGCATATGAAAAAGATTTTTTCTGCAGAGAAGAGGCCAATTTGACCGGTGCTACTGCCATCTGTATTTTTTTAAAAAAACAAGAAGGAAATGTGCATGAGAAAACAAATGCCCTCCTCACCACCTCGACCCCCAGCCAGGCTTTAAAAGTGCTTTCAGACATCCTCGAGAGCTTGGGTGATGGGTTTACATGCGTCAGACACCTGGCTGATCAAAAAAAATCCCGACATGAAAGGGACTGAATAAATTGTATTGTAAATCACTCTCTCTTATCAATCCCACTTCCCAGCAATCTCCTTGTATTCCTTAATATTTTACTACTCCCTGTTCCAGAGAGGATCGACTTCAAGATTCTCACCCTTGTCTTCAAATCCCTCCACTTCTCTGCAGCCCCCTACCCCTCTAACCTCCTCACAACAGTGTCTGCTGCCTTTGCTTCACCGGGTCTGGCCTCCTCCTTGTCCCCCAATCCTCCGCTCCACCATTGGCAGCCATGCCTTCAGCCACTACGCCCCGAGGCTCTGGAACTCCCTTCCTCACTCCCTTCGCCTCTTCCTATTTTCAGGTCTCGGCTGAAGACCTTTTTCTTTTCGACCATGTCTTTGGTCACCTTCCTCCCCCTGGCTCGGCCCCCGGGATCCGTTACTGTGAACCGCTCTGAGACGCCGCCCGCCATGGAGGGTGCTATATAAATCCAAGTTGTTGTACTGCTACTGCTCAGGTCTTTATCCAGTTTCCTTTTGATTCGATTGAGCCAGCCTCAAACAGTCAATGAATGTGGAGCAATATGAATGAAGAAGTTTTAAATCAAGTTTTTTTATATAAACAATGTTACTTAAAAATTGATCCTAGTTTTGGAAGGTCTGGACAAAAAGTTTTGGTTCTCTTCCATTTTGATAATCACTTTGCTCATTTAATATAAATTACTTGACATTGAAATACTTCAATAAACCAGGTACTTTTCCTTAACGTCCATTAAACATACCACTTTTAACTCTCGAATTTTATCCAGGTACCGCTTCCTCTTGAGATATGCAGTCTTATCTTGCTTGATAATTTTCTTCCAAACTTTGCTTGCCTTCCATGCTCTGACATGAAAATAATTTGCAGCAAGTTTACAAAAATAAAGAAGCTATTTCTAAAGAAAAATATGACTGCTGGATCAGGTATTTAATTATTTTTATTTAATCACAGTATACCACATGCATAAACAATCACTGTTGCTGCTACGTTCGTTTACTAACAGTAACTATGCTTTATAAAAAAACAAATTCTGTAAAGCACTAAAAAAAATTCAGTGAGGACACTGATGCCACCTTAAGACCTACCTCTTTGACTGCAGCTATGGTCAACCCCCCTCCCCCTTGCTCAGTGTCCAAATCCGCCACTGTGCAGCGCTTCTAGAATGCTATCCTGTGTGACAGGCACTATATAAATTCAAGTTGTTATATCAAATGCAAGAATTTAGTACTGTATTTATTTAATCTCTTGTGCAGAGTACATTAAAGATATAAGTGGGAAGGCTAATTATGAAGGTTATTAGGTTGAATAAAACAATTTAAAGAATGATTAGTAAATCTAGATTGGTTATGCAGTCTTACATTCATAAAAGATAATAATAATCCTTGCATTTGATAATAGCGCTTTTTCACGTCTTCTAGACGTCTCAAAATGCTTCACAAAATAGACTGTAAAGTGAATTGACTGTATATTTGTGGGCGAAACGGAGCAGCCAATTGCGCACAGCAGTGTCCCACAAACAGTCGTGGATGGAAGTGACCAATTTTTTTTTTTTTTTGAAGGATTATTATTAGGCGTGTGGAGTAAGGAAACTTGCCCAAGGTTTCACCCTGCCGGGAATTGAACCCAAGATGCAGTATTTTAAGGGAGGAAATAGGAGAATATTCTTTTGCTACCCTAATCTGTTGAAAAGTCATCGAGCCTGGTGGAGGTACAATTGAATATTGAACCTTACCTGCAGATATCCTCCACGCTTATGTAGCCTAAAATTAGAGTGAGGATGTGCATCAAATTCCTGCTCAGAAGTTCTTTCAGCATATCCACCTTTTCTAAACCCATTTTTCTGCCAATGAGCCCTGGGAGCGATAGCTTAGATTCAGCCAGTGTGAGTAAACCCTGATCCTCTGGCCTTTTCCTTTTTCTCATGCACATTTCCTTCACTAGTTGCAAGGCAGGCATGTAAGACAGATCTTCAACGTCTAGCAGGGACTCATTGCATGCTTCTTTCTCAAACACAGTGTCTTCGGTAACAGAAACTTCTGAATCTCTCAATATGTAACCTGACCCTTTCAGGACAACGTTTTTGGTTTCATCTTCTGCTTCAGACTGGGATCCTCGTTCCCTGAGAGTGGACAGTCGCTTGCTTCTCTCTAAAGTTCTTAAATGTTTTTTGTGATCCACAGTCTTAGGAGTTTCCTCAAGTTGTACTAACTCCTGGAAGGAACCTTCGTGATTTGAAAATGAATCAGATTTTTCTAAGCCAACTGAATTATAGCCACTATCTTCAGTTATTGAGGCATCTAGTTTTTCATGTGAAGGGCTCCTGGGTAAACTTTCGCACAGAGGCAAGTTTAGATTAAGGTTTTCTGCAAATTTGTTCATTGGAGTAAGAAATTGATGCTCTTCAATTACAGTAACTTTTCCACTGCCAGATGGAGTTTTAAATGGCTCGGTCAAAGAGCATACTGTATTCCCTCTTGAGCAACAGAGATTGCTTATATCTAGATTGTATATAGGGAATCCATCTGGAGTTGCACATTTGTCAGGTGCTAGCTGATTTTTACTCTTTAAATCATCAACTGTGGAGGTTCGTTGTTGTGCGAATAAATATCTCTTATTTCTACATGAAGTGGTACGTTCCTCACCTTTTAAAGTGCTGACTCCCAAAGCTTCAAAATTCAAATCTCCTGGAGAGTCCAACGAACTGTCTAAACAGATTCCATCTTCAGAATATAGTCTGCTACAAGAATAGTTTGACGGATTAACTTCAAGAGATTGCTGAGGAGTTTTGGACGATTGCACACTTCCATCCGAGGCCAGATGTGACTGGAGAAGTCTCCTCCGCAATGGGATGACCTTGGTCATTGCCTTTGGAGTTTCAAAAAATGCTGGTGGAACACAGTTGGCCCTATTCTCAGCAAGTCTTTTACTTTCAAAAGAATAGGATGTTCTACCAGTTTGAAATGGCATTTCATGACCCATTATGGGTGACATTATAGGAGTGATTGAATCAAGCTCTCCTAGAGTTCCATTGGCGTCAATAGATGAAAAAATTGTTTCATGGTGCCAACTTTCCTGACTTAATGACCCAGGATCCAAAAATATAGAACTTTGTGGAGAATCAGTCCCAATTTGTTTCTCACAGCCAGCTAACAGGCAACGTGAATGCCCCAGCAAACTTGTCAACATCTTTGCACATAGGTTGAGACCAGATCTTGCGGTACTAGAAAACACAATTGGAAATATTTTAATATTTCAAAATGATAAAACTAAAGATGAAGTTAGTCTTGAATCTGATTTATAGCCAGAAAGCACAACGCTAGGGAAATATGGTGATATTAATACAGTACTGATCATGTAAGTTTGAATTTAAATCTATATAGACGTATGTTAGACTATAATAATAATCCTTGCATTGGATATGGCACTTTATCACATCTTCAAGATGTCTCAAAGTATTTCACAGAATATACTGTAAAGACTGTATATTGTAGGGGCGAAATGCAGCAGCCAATTGCACACAGCAGTGTCCCACAAAGTCATGGAATGAAATGACCAATTTTTTATTTTTTTTGAAGGAATTATTCGCCCCAGAAAAGCGATCCGCCAATCGACTAACAACTGGGTTCCTATATACTGCTAAGTAAACAGAGGCGTGTGGAGCAAGGAAACTTGCCCAACACTTTGTCCTGCCAGGAATCAAATCCAGGTCTCTCGCTTGCGAGGCGAGTGCTCTAACCACTGAGCTATAGGACTACAGTTTGTGGATGTTACACATAGAGAAATTCAACTTCCACAAACATCAATAGTTGGCAGAGAGAAATTCTTTTCACCCTAAAGGGCATTAATTTATGATAATTAACAAAGGGGCAGATTAGGAGCAATTTACAGAATTGTCAGGATATGAACCTCAGTTGTGGTGGTCCTTGCAGGATCTAAAACCTAGATATCAAAAAGGAGGGACATGGGGAAAAGGCAGGTAAATAGACTGAATGGATTGCACTATTAAAGAGCAGCAGACACAATGGGCTGAACAGCCTTCTGTAAATTTCCATATTTTCTAAACATAGAAATGTTTATGTTCTCTCAAATTTGCTTAAAAGCATACCAGTAGACAGGTCAATACCTCCCACCTGGTTCAGGGATAAGGAAATTAGATGTAGTACTGAGGAGCCGAGTTCATCTTACACATAGAATAGTAGAATTTACAGCCATTGCACCTATCGGCTCTGTCCTGGTTCCCTGAGAGTTTAGTCCCACTGGAATTATACTCAACCCAAAATGCAGGGACGGAGCCAACCGCCCTCTGGTTTCCAGCTCATTAGCACACCCCAGGATGCATTTACCTACTACAAGTGTGAAGAAGAAAGTCCTACAGGGAGAGAAAAAACCCAAACATAGAATCATACAATATAACAGCACAGAAGGAGGCCATTTGGCCCATCATGCCTGTACTGGCTCTTTGATAGAGCCAATCAGTCCCACTCCCCGCTCTTTCTCCATAACCCTGCAAATTTTTCAGTTTCAAGTACCTATCTTAATTCCCTTTTGAAAGTTGTGATTGAATCTGCTTCCACCCCCCTTTCAGACAGTGCATTCCAGACCTTAACAACTCTCTGTGTAAAAACATTTCTCCTCATCAACCCTCTGGTTCTTTTGCCAATTATCTGAAATCTATGTTCCCTGGTTACTGGCTCACTGGCCAGTTTGCCTGCGTTCTTCGAGTAAAATTTTGACTGAGAAAAACACATTTCAAATGCACCTGGCACATCCAGAAATTATATTCCAACTGTAAAGCTCAGTTATTACTGACACTCTTGGAAAGTTTAAATGTCTTTATCACAGATTTTCTAGGAGGAAAAAGTACCCCAGAAATAGCACAATAACTTTTTTTCTCTCCATACGAAAACGTCCAGAGCACAAATAGGCAAACAAGGTAGAACCAACGGTAAAATGTAAGCCACGCACACAGTGAATAAATATTTTAAAAAAATTTGGGGGGCAAAAATCCCCTCCCTACCCAAGTGTTCCAGCAACATCCGTCGCTCCACAGATTTCTTACCACTGAAGCCAAGGTTTGAGTGGAGATTTTTTTTTTTAAAAATGCCATCTGTACAGATCACTGCGATGAAAAAAAAAGTGTTGCTATAAGATGTCCCGTACAGTCTGAGAGGAGGTCGTGGAAAAGCTGCCGGAGGTGATATGCGTTTGCTATAGCAACGTGGTGGGAGCACTCGGTGCTCTCCAATGAACCCCTTCCCTTGGCTGTGTGGCTGTGTGGCTGCACTCCCGATTCCCTCGGTTGCTTTTGAATTTGGCGCCATTGTAACAGAGCCGTTTTCCATTCGCCCGCTAAATGGGCTTTAAATGACCGCCAAAAGCAGAGAGAGAGAGAGAGAGGGAGAGAGAGAGAGAGAGAGAGACACGAACTGCCGAGCCTTCTCCGAACAGGAATTCGTTTGCATTGAATTTGAAAGTGGGAGATGCAAACCGGTTATTTTGACTGCATCGCCCTCGAATCTCCATTCCCCAATCCCTTATAAATATACGCCCTTATAAATGACAAAACACACACACGAGAGAGAAAAAAATAGTCGTTCGCGAGACTGGATTTGTTTTTGGCTCAGGACAAATTTAACGTGCATTTTCAAAAAAACACACACACATCACGACTGACTTAACTTTTTGAGATTCCCATTGCACGATTCAAAAGAAAAGGCAATTTCTCCCCTGGTGCTGGTCAGGAATCCCCCAGGGGCGGAAAAAAAAGTGACTGTTGCAGGACACTGATGTACCCAAATTGGCCTTTTTTTTTTGTTCGCCTACAAAAAAAAACAGTCACCGCAACTTGACAGTGAATTGCTTTGAGCAACGGAAGACCCCGTGTGAACTGCACAGTAAACTTCATTGCAGGGCACAGAAGGAGGCCATTCGGCCCACCTGTGTCTGTGTCTCTTTGAATAGAGCTGTTCAAATCAATCCCACCCCCCGCTCTCTCCCCATAGCCCTGCAAACTCCCCAAGTAATAATTATATTTACACGAAGTCACCGCAGCTGCAACAATAAATACACTGCCAGGTCACTGCCAGGCAGCAGTGGCTCAGCAGCTGCTGTCACCTAAACCATTGGCAGCTTCAGGTTAATTCAGAACTGCCTCTTAGAAACTGTTCACCGGGACTCCCATCGTCCGAAGCGACGACTTTATCCAGGCAGATCAACATGAAATAACCACATCTGCAAGCGCATACCATAGCCAGAGGATGTGCCCAGAAGCAGTTACTCGCTGCCCGAGAAGTGAGGGCGCACATACACGTCGAGAGGAAATACTGGAGCTTTTAGTGCTGCTCTCCCAACAGCCAGGCTGCTGTTGGGGGGTGGGGGGGTGGTGTGTGTGTGTGGGGGGGTCGTATTTACAATCAAGTAAATGATGCAAATCACCAGCAACATATATAAAAAAAGGCCAATTGATAGGCTATCAAGTCACTTTTCTGCTTTGCGTGTGCGCTGCAAACAAGAGCTGACGACTTGGGAAACAGCCATGTTTTCCATCAGCACAGGAACAGGAGGGTGTGGGTGGGGGTGTGTGTGTGTGTGTGTCGCAGGTCACACCCACGGTGACAAGTCCCTGTCGTTTTGAGTTGTGAATCCCGAAGACCGTGTTACGCTAAAGCTTTTGCAAGTTTGCAGCTTTAAATGGGTCTTTTGTTTTTTAAAAAAAAAATCAGCGTTTGTCAGGTTTTTCCAAATGGTCTTCGAATTGAAGGAAAGGGTGAATTTGATCAATTAATTCCCCTCCTCCTCCCTCCCTCCTCCTCCCTCCCTCCTCCTCCAGTCATTCCTCTCTCCCCTCCTGGTTCCTCCCTCTTTCCTTTCCTTTCTTTCTCTCCTCATCCCTCTCTTCCAATGAGGCCAGTAACTGCTTCTGGGCTTCACTCGCCACAGCGTGTTTCGTGGCAGAAAAAAAACATCTCCTCCATTTCTTTCCTCCTCTTTCGTCTCTCTCTCTCTCCTTCCTTCCCTCCCTCCCCTCCTGCCCCCACTCTTCTCTCTCTCCTCCTCACAAACAAGCTCTGGAGAGAACCGGGAGCTGCTCGCAGGAGAACATATATATATATATATATATAACGGTCATCGCTCGCTCTCCCCAACACCACCACCAACACACAATAGACTTAACAGCAGTGGCACCTGTGTGTGCAGCGCGGCTGTGGCTCCTCGGGGGGAGGGGAGCGGGTGGTGGTGACTCACCCGCCGACGCCGCTCGAGCTTCTGTCGTTACTCGCGCGCGTTCGAATTTCGTGTCCAGCCCGCGATTGGCCAGGAGGCGGGGCCAACCCCCCCCCCGGTCCCAGCAGCCGGCAACCGGAAGCGGCGCGCGGTCTCTTCCGGCGGCCGGCGCAGGGCTCGCGGCGGCGGTGGCGTTCAGATCGGGTTCACGAGAATAATAAACCGCAATAATAAGGCACCAACGGCAGGTAAGTCATCCGCGGGGGAGACACACACACACACATACATATAGTGTCTGAGTCACGCCGGCGGGAGCACACGCTGGTTCCCGGCAGCGCAGACCGACCTCGAGGCCCAGGAGCTTTTTTGTGACGTTGGTCAGTTTGTTGTGTCGGCGTGTGTTGTGTCGGCGACATGAGTCAGGTCAAAGCCTCTGACCCCGACCGACCCGGGGTCTGAGGGGACCTGAAAACCCTGGTTTGGGGGACGGGGAGGAGGAGGAGGAGGAGGGGGGAGGGGAGAGGAGGGGAGGAGGAGGGGGGAGGAGGGGAGGAGGAGAGGGAGGAGGAGGGGGGAGGAGGGGGGGAGGAGGAGGGGGGAGGAGGAGGGGGGGAGGAGGAGGAGGAGGGGGGGAGGAGTAGGAGGAGAGGAGGGAGGGGAGGAGGAGGGGGGAGGGAGGAGGAGGGGGGGAGGGGAGGAGGGGGGGAGGGAGGGGTGGGGAGGAGGAGGGGGGGTATTCTTGTCCAGGACACTGGATGTTTCCTTACTCCATACACCGGTGCTTATCTGGCAGTGAGTCAGGAAGGTTGTTAGTCGATTGGCAGATCAATTTTCCAGGAGTATTCGTTTCTTAAAAGAAAATAATAACAATAATAAATTGGTCGCTCAATCCACGACTGTTTGTGGGACACGGCTGTGCCCAATTAGCTGATGATAATAATAATAATAATAATCCTCGCATTTGACATAGCACTTTTCGCGTCTTCTCAACGTCTCAAAGTGCTTCACAGAATATGCTGTAAAGTGAATTGCTGCTGCATTTCTCCCAGAAAATATACAGTTAATTTGGTATATTCTGTATAAACAGTACGGTATATTCTGTGAAGAACTTTGAGACGTTGTGAAGACGTGATAAGGTGCTATATTCAAATGCAAGGATTATCATTAACTTTCCGAATAGTGCCATAGGATCTTTAGTGTCCAATAACAAATTACATTTGTATAGCGCCTTTCATGTTGGGAGGACATCCCAAGTCCACTTGTGAAGACAGATGTCTGGTTTATCCTCATATCTGAAGAATGGCGCCTCCCACGACTCAACACCCCCCCCCCCCACCCATCATTGCACTGGGTGTAAGGCTAGATTGTAAGATCAAAGTCCTGACTTGGAGCTTGGACAACCTTCTAATTTATTCCCTTTACAGAGCATTATATTGTAATATGCTTAGGATGCACAATTAGGTAGGAGGTTGTGTTGTCTTGTTGAGGTCGGGTGAGCTCACGATTAGCCAGTATGAGACCAGGATTATGCCCCTGCCCGCTGAATTCCTGACCTTGGCGAGGGATCAGCCAGGAACTGGGCAGTGCAGGGATCGTACTCCGTTGTAAAGAGATGGACCCAAAGATTAGTTGGACCCCAGCCCAGTATAACCTTCAATAGGCTCTCCCAATAGACTAATACAGGCTCCCCTGCTGAGTATGCCTGTTGGGAGGAGCCTAGAGGAGGGAATAAGAGACATTCCCCTGTCCAGGAACTGAAACTAGGCCGTCCTCAGCAGGTTCCCAATGTTGGTAATAGGAACGGAGTCTGGAGAGGAGCTGCTGCATTTTTACTATGGGTGCCTCTATGTTTGGTTTCCTGGATTTTTTGGCATTGGGCATAATAAAGTTGATAAAATAATAATTTGGTCACTCAATCTACAACCGTGGGACACTGCTGTGTGCAATTGGCTGCCGTGTTTCGCCCCCAGGATTTAATCAAATGGCCTTATGGTATATTCTGTGAAGCTCTTTGAGACGTCTCGAAGACATAAGGTGCTATATCAAGTGCAAGGGTTATTATTTGTCTTGTTGACTAATTATGACTGGTGGTCGATTTGCTTCTTCCCTAACACCCCTGTGCATGCTACAATATGCAAATAGTGGATGGCTTTGAACCACAATTCTAGTGTTGCTAGCTAAAATATGAAAGACCCTTGGATCGTTAATCCGTATCTGCACTCTGGTAGCATCTCCCAATAAAATAGCTGCTATAATAAATATATTTTGCTGCACCATTATTAGCACATTTAAATCTGCAAATGTACCAACGTGAAGAGGCTCAAAATTGAGGGTAGCAGATTTGCCAGATGCCGGTGTCATTTTGTGGTTAACAGGTTAACTTTATATCAAAATCTAATTCTGATTCTATAACTGTTTGCAGTATGGGTTGCAATGCATGACAAACTTGATTGAAAATTCAGAGGACAGTGACAAACTCTTGTCTTTCAGTGTAAGCAGAACATTTGGTAGAAATGGATCCCCAGAAGGATTTACAACCTCCGAAACAACAGCCCATGGTCTATATTTGTGGAGGTAAGAATTATTTCAATAAGCCAGAATGGTAACATTTTAAAAGCAATAGAAGGCCAGAGACCTAGGGTTAACATACAGACTAGGAATTCCAACTGAGTCAAGTAGATATCCCTGGCTGCTGAAAGCTACCACGGCCGGAGCCCGCTGAGCAGAGGGAGCGAGCAGGATGGTAGGGGGTTAGGAGCCAGAAAGCCAGCACACTAGGAGAGTGGGCTAACAGGAGTTGAAACGTGTGCGGGCCCACAGAATTTTTTTTTATCTTGGGCCTAGTCTAGTTCGGTACAAATTTTTATTTACTGGAGGCTGAATTGGAGCTTGCACCCCAATCCTGTTTCTCTTTTAGGTTTTTTTTAAAAATGTCTTAATTTTCATCACAATTTGACTTTTTAAAAAAGGTTATAATTTTGGTCCCATGTATAGGTGATTCAGATGCAACTTTGGTTTAGATGATGTCAAAGTCTTCATTCGCATCTGTATTAAGCGCTCCGAGACGCCGTCCGGTGTAAAGGGCGCTATATAAATGCGAGTTGTTGTTATCAGTATAAATCCAGCAACTCCACCAAATTGGTACAGCTGAAAGGTGAACCCAATTATCAGATTAAACATGCCTTCTCTTGAGGTTCAATTATTCCCAGTGATTAATCTTTATGTTCAATTTTCCCTATTAAGATTTCCTATTCAGGTTTTGTGTCATCAATCTCAATTACATTTAAAATCGTGTTGGTTTTTATAATTACGTTGCAGAGTGTCATACTGAAAATGAAATCAAAGCCAGAGATCCAATCCGATGCAGAGAATGTGGTTACAGAATCATGTATAAGAAGAGAACAAAGAGATGTATCCTTTGCAAATGTTTCAGATGGTTATTCATTATTTGAAATAATGCGGTGCTGCTTCTGCAGAATACAGTATATTTTGATTATACTTTCCAGTGGAGTTACCAGAAAACTGCACAAGCATGAACTGACAATAAGTTGGAATAACTTGTCACTTTCTCCTAAGAATCAAATAAGATGAATTGTTGTGCAATATGAGATATTGTGTAATATAAGTGCTATGGGGGTCGTGGTTGTTCCCTTTACAGAACACCATGAAAACGCCTTTCTCTCTTTGAGTAGTGCGGTGGATCTGTGATGTCTACCTGAACAGACAAATGTGAAAATTGGTTTATCATCTCATCTGAAGGATGACACCTTCAACAATGCAGGGCATTGCATTGGAGTCTCAGCCAAGACAATGTGCTGATGTTCACTTAAAGTACAAAATCACTACAGTTTATAGTAAATCGTGGTTTAAAAATCGTGGTTTTCACTTTGCTTTGAAACATTTCAGTAGCAGTAAAAGTTTAACTACTGACCTAAGAGCCTATGGTTTAAGGTAATGCATACAAGTTAAAAGGCAATGCTTGTAAAATAACTTCTTTTTATAAAATTTGTAATAAGGATATCAGTTTTCAAAAAGGTTGCTGACAGTTTTACATTTGTGATTTTCCTTAACCTGAACCTGTACAGTGGTTGTATTTGATGCCCGGTGAAATTCATTACTGCCACTTACATTTCTAGAAGAATTTGATGCATTTTTGCTGCATTATATTTATCATTGTTTTACTCTGACATTATCAATGTATGATTTTTCACATTAATAATAATAAAATGTGTTTAGAACATATTGTCTTATAGATCTTTTAAGGCAGCTACAACTCCTTGTACGTGTTGTTTCACACAAATAAGTGCATTTATAATTTTGATGTTCGACTTTACTAACTGATTGACTTCAACTAAGGCACAAAAACTACTGAGTTTCCGTTCGGTTGGGTTTTGTAATATTCAGTGCATTTAAAAAAACACACAAAGAGGCAGAATGTATCAGTACAACAGTTCATGATAGAGCACACAAACAAGCCATTTGGGCCATCAAATATATACTGTTTTATTTCACTTTTTCAGCAGAATCTGCCACAAACACCTCCCTCCGCTACAAACCTGCTAATTTTTTTAGTTTCTGACATGTGGGCCTCGCGCTGTTTATTCAACATCACCGTGCGTGGGGTGGCTCTGGATGCGTTGTGCGGCGCAAGTGGGAAATGGGCTTCACTTGGAGGCTCTGTTGTTCTGATTGTCTGTCTCTTATCTGTTTGTAAGTGCCTGTGTGTCTCTCCATATGTGTGAGTGCCTGTGGGAGTGTGTCTCTATGTGTTTGTGCATGTCTCACTGTCTGTTTGAGTTTCTTTGTGATTATGTGTCTCTCCTCTGTATGTATGTGTTTGAGTGTGTCTCCTCTGTGTCTGTTTATGAGTGTCTGTGTGAATGTGTATCTCTCTTCTGTGTGTGTGTATGTCTTTGTGTCCATGAGTTTATGTCTGTCCCTGAGAATGTGTGTCTCTCTGTGTGTGCGTGTCTCTGTGTGTGTTTATGTTTGTGTGTGTGAGGTGCTGGGCCCTGAGAGGCAGGAGGTGGGGAGCTCATGAAGCCTCGCTGTATATATACAAATGTAATTTTGTTGTTGTTGGTTCCCTCCCTCAAAAAAATGGGCCACCCAGTTTTTGTTAAAGAAGCAATGAATACTTTTCTAAAATGTGTTATTTCCTCATGTTTAGTTATTATCAATAAAGTGAAACAATGTAGGTTGGTCGTAAAATGTATCTCAGTAGCACCAATCAACTCCCTACAATTTTCTGCAAAATTTGTCAAAACTTTCCCTGCAATTTTTGACAAATATTTCCACACTTTTCTATTGGCCCAGCACATTAGTCATCCCTCCCTCCCATTTACTTCCTCAGTTCTAATTTTAAGGCTGTACCCACCTATAAAGTATCCCTCTACTAAAGTGAATCCCTCTACTAAAAGTCACTCACTGTCTAATCTGTCAATTTACTACCATGCCCTAACACAGATTGGCCACACAATGCAAAATTCACAAAGATACGTTTTTTACTTGCACAAAAACACTTTGAACCATTTTCCTGTCCCCATCGCCGAAGTGACTATCTGAAAATTTTGCTAGCTTTCCTTTCTGTTCCAGGAAGTCTTGGATCTGCAGAGCAGTTTCACAAATCTCTCCAAATCCTGCAATTCAGCAATCGAACATTTGCCAAATACACTATCTCTGCATATTCTGACCTGTTTTGTGTCAGCACTCAGTCAATACTAACATTTTACTCACTGAGGTAAAGTTCGAGGGGGGGGTGGCGTGCCATAGAACCTTCAGCCCACAGGGCTGCGTGGGGGGGGGGTGAAATGAGCTGAACATCTTCAGGATAGAAAGCAATGGAGAGGAGAGAAAAGGAACGAAGGATAAAAATCGATCGATCTATGCTCTGAGCCTCAGTCATACATTCCCAGTGTAACTCGAATGGCGGATTGCTTTCCGGGGTAATAATCCCTCCCCAAATTTTTTATAATAATAATGTTTCGGTCACTCAATCCACGACTGTTTGTGGAACACTTAACCGTATATTCTGTGAAGTGCTTTGAGACAGCTCAATGATGTGATAAGGTGCTATATCAAATGCAAGGATTGTTATTCTAATGACTGGGTCCATTACATCTTTCAGTGAGTTATCAACAACAACTCATGCAGGGTAGAGTCCCAGAGTGCTTGACAGTTGTGGAGCCCGATACCGAGCCGGGGGGGGGGGGGGGGGGGGGAGGTGACCTTAGGCACAGTCAAAGAGGAAGGTCTTCAAGTGCGACCTGAAGATGGGGAAGGAAAGGACAAGGTGGAGGTATAGGGGAAGAGTGTTCTAGAGTTTCAGGGCATAGTGACTGAAAGCGCAGCTAGCGATGGTGAAACGGAGGGCACGCAGAACATGTAGAAGGCCGGAGCTAGTCGGGTGGAGGCAGCGGGTAGTGGGTTAGAGAGGGGCGTTAAGCAGTTCAGAGAGGTAGGCAGGGAATGAAGGGATTTGAAAACGAGGGTGAGGATCATGAAATCGATCAGTTTGGCAATAGGGAGTCAGTGAAACAACAACAAGATTGCATTTATAGAGCGCCTTTCACGTCGGGAGGACGTCCCAAGGCGCTGGACAGTTGGGTCGGGACCTGAGCAGGGGGGAAATGGTCAGGGTGAGGGAAGGGAGGGAGCGAGGAGGGGGTAGAGAGTCGAGAGGGGAGGTGAAGGCACGGTTGAAACCTGACTAGAATGGTGTGATGGGGTGTCGCAGTCACCCCTTTTGTTTTCTATGCCTGTCGTTTAAATATATTGAATACTGCTTTAAATACTTTTTTAAATATATATTTAGCATTTTTGATACTTTTGGTGCCATCAAGTCTGATTCTGGTGTCGATTTCAACAATCTGACAATTACATCAAGCAATTGGTGCAATACAATTAAACATTGGGTACCCTAATTCAGGGAGCGGCTCAATGCCCATAAAAGAACGAGTGCCATGTGCTATTTTTTACCTGATGACAGCAAGGTACGTGCTCTGCCTATAAATGAGTAGTAGTCAGAGGTTGGTTCCTTGCGCACTTTTACATTAACTTTCATTATAAGTGGCTGCTAGCGTGTGTAGTGTAAGTGTGATTTATGTTTGTTATCTCATAGTTGTGTTTGTTGATATTTATCGTGTCATTTAAGATTCAGTGCAGAGGGTTGTCGATTTCTTTGAAGCTACAATAAAATTCTGTTGAACTAACTTAAACATGCTTTAACTCAAGCTCTCTGTGTAAATCAAAGGAGGGAATACACAAACAGGTTCAGCTTAGGTCACAGAGGTATAAAATAAACCTCTGATTGACTGAAGCTTCCCAATTTGCTTTAATTTAAATAGCAATTGGTAGTACCTGTTGTCGTGGAAGAACTTGTTAGTCAAGTTATACCTAGTTGTAGGGACTTGCATTCATTAGTGAGGATTGAACAGAGGCCACTTAGTACACTGCGAGAGAGCGCGAACCATATTGTGGGTGTACATATAAGCGCGATAGAACTGTCTCAGGGGTATGGAGTTTAGTGTGGGTGAATATGAAGGCGGCGGAGTTTTAAATCAGCTGGATCTTGTGTATGTTAATAATCTCTCAAAAAAAACAATAATAAATTGATCGCTTCAATCCACGACTGTTTGTGTGCCACTGCTGTGCGCAATTGGCTGCCGCATTTGCTCATAAATATAGTCAATTCACCATTGGATGTGGGGAAGGAAGGAAACTGTGAGTCGAACCTGATGCCTGGGTTCCACACTGGTTCGGTGAGTCTGCGGGATTGGCCGGGGAGGTTGAGGAGGTCAGAGCTGCGGGACAAAAGACATTGACGGAAGCCAATGAGTATGGCTTCCGTCTCGTCAACATTTAGTTGTAAGAAGTTTGTGCCCATCCAGGCCCTGATGTCCGTCAAGCCAACCGAACATCGGCGGACCTGGAATCGCAGCTGGAGGAGAAGTAGATTTGTGTGTCATCCACATACATGTGGAGGTTTACCATGTCAGCAGACATTTACCATCGATATCTGCCAAATATCATTTCAGCTCAGTGACTAATCGAGATTTTGTCCGATCATTGCTGATGCATGAACCTCAATTGGCCACACTTTTATTTGCAATGGTCACATCTGGACAATGGTCAACATATTGGACAACTCTATCCTAACAGCAGACTGACTTCTTAGCACTTTGCTGCAGTCCCATTCTACTTTTTATTCTTCAGGGTTAATTCCACGTGGTCATAAAAATTTGATACCTTCGGATAAGACATTTAAACCAAGGTACTATCTACCTATTTAGGTAAATGTTAAGTATCCCATGACACTATTCAAAATGAGAAGGAAGTTTCTCTTGGTATCCTGGCCAATAATCCACCAAATAAAATTGGTCATTCACTGTATGGCTGTTAGTGGGACATTGCTGTGTACAAATTGGCTGCAGCTTCTTCCTAAAAGTAAACAATAACTACACTTTACACTAAATCCTATGAAGTGCTTTGAAACATCGACTAGGTGACCTGGCCCTATATCAAAGACAAGTATTATACCCAATTTCTATTGTATAAAATAGACTTCAGCATAACATTAAAACACTCACAGCTCACTGGAAAACTGAACAGCTGCAAGAAGGCATAGGAAAATCTGAACAGTTACACTAGGACACAGGAAACTGTCAAATCACTTTTCAGTAATATTATATTTAGAGTATATTGACTGTCCTGTTTCTTAAACAAAATACATAGTCAATTCACTTTACAATAAATTCTGTGAAGCGCTTTGAGATGTCTCAACATCATGATAAGATGCTACGTCCTGTAGCTCAGTGGTTAGAGCACTCACTTTGCAAGTGAGAGACCCGAGTTCAATTCCAGGCAGGTCAGGGCGAAACCTTGGGCAAGTTTCCTTACTCCACACAGAGCCTAATAATAATCCCTCCAAAACCAAAAACAATAATAAATTGGTCATTTTCATTCTACGACTGTTTGTGGGACATTGCTGTGCGCAATTGGCTGCCGCGTTCGCCCACAAATATACAGTCAATTCACTTTACAAGTGTGTTCTGTGAAGCGCTTTGGGATGTCCTCCTGACATGAAAAGCGCTATATCAAATGCAAGGATTATTATTACGTCGAATAATGCAAGGATTATTATTATTATTTATCCTGTGAAGCGTTTTGAGACACCTTGACATTGATCAGGCGCTATTTCAAACGCAAGGGTTATTATTAACGGGTGTGGGGAAGACGCAGGGAATTGCCAGTAAACCACAGGACCATTCGGCGTACCAACGGGATTGCTGAGGTCGGGCCTGTTGGAGTGTTAAGGTTGTTCTTTGTTTGGTCTCAAGAGAGACTCACCTGGAGAGCGCTTCCCGATTCAAATTCCCCGCCAGATGGCCGATGACGTGATTGAGCGTTCAGCTTCCGGTTGGCTGGCGGCCGCGCGGTGCCTGCTGGGCCGGCGAGGCGGTTGGCGCCGCTCGGCTGCGAGAGAAGGAGCGCGAGCGGACGCAGGTATTCAAACCCACCTTTTAACTACTGTCTCCCCCCCCCCACCCCCCGCCACAAAAACACACACACACACACATAAGTGTGTGGCGAGGAAACGTGTAACGTGCTGCAATGTCAGGGTTCAAGAAGGCAATCGGTGGTGCGAGTCTCCTGGCTGGCGGTGGTCGCCATGGCAACGGGAGCACTCAGGCAGCAGGTGGTTGGTGCCCACACACACACACACACAGAGAAAGAGAGAGGGGGAAGAGTGCAAAGTGCTGCGAGGTCCGTTTCCAGGTGTGCAAACGACTGCCCCGCGTGACCAGTGACCCTCCTCCCCCTCAAGTGAAGTGCTTCAAAGCGCAAACGAAAAGCCAAGTGGCTGGGAACCCCCCGGGCAGGTCGGGCAGCACGGAATGGAGAAAGGAAAGCGAGTCTCAACGTTTCGGGTCCGCGGCCCTTCGTCGGAACTGGGGCGTGTCGGGAGGAGGCGGGGGGGGAGGCTTTTAAAAGGGCGAACAAGGGAGAGGCAGGGCATGGAAGAGCAAAGAGGACAGGGGGTGGGTGGGTTGAAGATGATGGGTTGATGCACCACAAAAGGGGGGCGGTTGCAACAAAACAGGGGGTTAAAGAGGTGTTAATAATGCAAAACAAAGGGCGGGGAATTGCAACAAAACAAGCAAACCAGAAATTACAGAGGTGAATATATCCAGGGCTAAATGTTGTATTTTACGCCTCAGGCGATGGGCGGAAAAAGCTGCTATGGAAATGGATCAGCTGGGTATCTTGACATGCAGCAACCGATCACCCTGCTTAAGAGCATCCAAACCAGACTGAAAGCTCTACTGGAAATTTCCCTTTGGAATGGAATGAGCGCTTGGATCACTGGAGGGGCGCTCGCTGCTGACCTATTCCTGAAAAATAGGGAAAGTTGGCAAGAGTCAAGTTTGGAGACCCCCTATGTGAATTGAGTTAATGTGATGTTTAACCAGCTAACTGGTGCAGAGGAGGTGATTTGTGGTAGAGAAGAGGTGCTTGGCCTTTTCCTTGGTCTGTAGCATGATCTTAGATACAATGGGATTTTAGCTTTGAGAGGGAGAGGAGGTAGTTTCTCAGGTGTTTGAGCCAAATTTTGTGATGGACTACGAGGCTGTTTTTCTGCCATTTACCTTCAAGAGCAAAGGGGATTTGTATTTGAGATAGCAGAGGTGGCTGTTGTATGTGGGTGAATGAGAGAGAGTTCTACATATGTTTACCACCTGTTTTGTTGATAGATATTTGGGGCTTTATAAAAAGTATACAGGCATGCATTGTTCAGAGGTCATATAATATGTTATTGGTGAAAAACAGCAAACATAGTGTTTACAGGACTGTTAGAGGAGCAAAATTAAATGATTGTTTGGTTTCTTTCCAGCTATGACTACAGAACAAATTCCACCGAGGACCTCAGAACCATCTTATGCTTGGACCCAGGGAACCACCAAGACCTATAATCTTCCAATTGAGCATTTGGATTACGACTTCATTGAGAAATGTAAAGATGAGAACTATCTGGGAAAAATTCTGACAGTGCTAAGGTAAAAAAAACTAAATATAAAAATCATTTTTGTTTTACTTTTGTGACAGTGAAGAGCAAAATAATGGCCCTTCTTGGAGTATTAGGTGCAGGTTAGTGAGAGCCAAAGCTTGGGGACACCAGAGTAAGGTTGGGAGATTGTTACACTGCATGTCACTCAGCATGAAATGCATGATGTAATTTGCATCATCTTCTTGCCCACCACAGCCCACTGAACAATGGTTCCACCAGTTGAAAGTGAGCTGCAATCGCTTACTTCTCTGCATATCAACCATCACATTCCTCGTACCCCAAGAAACACCCACTGATTCTTACTCCATTGTTTTTTGTTTTGTTTCTCAGCCATTCTACCCACTTCTTCCTTTTAATACCGTGAATCTTAAATTTTGATCTTACTCTCTTACCCCATCAAAGGTCTGATGAATGTCCATATACACCGTGGTCAACCTCAAATAGTCAAATATACCTCTGCTTAATTTCATGATGTGTCAGTCTGACTCAGTTGGTAGCACTCTCACCTCTGGATCAGAAGGTTGGGGGTTCAAGCCTCACATTGGGACTTTGAACTCATATATTCTAGGCCAATTCTCCAATGCAATCCTGGGAGTGTGCCGCATTGTCGGAGGTGCCCTCGTTTGGATGAGATGTTAAACCAAGGTCCCTGTCTGCCTGTTCAGATGGACATTAAATATCTCATGGCTCTATTCAAAAAGAGGAGGCAGTTCCTCCCAGTGTCTTGGCCAACATTCCCCCAAATAAAATTGGTAACTCACCTTCTGGCAGTTTGTGGGACATTGCTGTGCGCAAATTGGCTGCCATGATTATCTATACAGTAAATCTTGTGAAGTGCTTCAAGATGTCCTCCTGATATGAAAAGCACTATACCAAATGCAAGCATTATTATTATTACTACTTTTGTATGCTATTTTCAAGGTCTGGCGAGGAAGGACTTTATCCTGATCTTACAGGATTTTGTGAAAAGAAAATTGAAAAGCTGAATCCAAATAGTCGTGTTCTTCGTAAAAGTAAACCTGCAGCTACTGCTGCTAGCTTTACTGCAGATGAATGGCAAGAAATCACTGGTGATCTCAAGGTATGCACCATAAGTAGATGAATTCATAGAGGTGTAAGTAATGTTATTCAGTCTGGCCGTCATGCTGGTGAATAAAAGAATCATTTGGTTTTGTGTAATCATTTTCAACACAATTTTATTGTGTTTCTTTTTGTATCAAGCCTTAGTGTTTAGTGTGGTTTGCTTACATGTAAAATTTATTAAGGTTTAAACAGTTGTATGTGTGGGGCTTGAGAGTTGGTGGAGCAATGGAGAGTTACCAGCTTTTGACAGACATTCTGTGGGAGGAGATAAGAACGGGTTTGGAGGTGGACTGTATGAGCCATCACAAAGAAGAAAGTGAGTTAAAAGCTTTCTTGGAGGTATATTTGCCAGGAATTAATTATGTTGTCTCACTGATGTGCTTGACAATTGAATTACAATTTTTTAAATTAAGTTTTGTTTCTGGTGTTTCATGCTTCATTCTCACCCTCTGTTTCTTCCTAGAGTTGGACAGATGAAATGAAGCAAAAGGAAAATGAACAAAATATTAGGAACACAACAGCAGTGGATTTCAGCTCAGAAAATAATGCACCTGTCCGTGGTGCTAATTCGTCAATTCTTTCCTACCAGGTAATAATAATAATAATAATAATCCTTGCATTTGATATAGCGCTTTTCAGTGGAAGTTTATGAATACTCTAAATTAATACTTTTCTCCATGTTTTCTCTTACTTGGATTACTTCATGGTTATTGAAATGTCATTCGGTATTCAGCAAAGAGCAGTTATAATTTAAATGTGTATATAAATCAATTTATAAACCCATTGCTTGGAATCCACGTTGATTGGTTGCAGAGAAGTACTACTGCTTTAGCTCTGCACCTCCAACAAGTGGAATCATTGTTCAATGGGAAGAGATGTGTATTCGAGCTGTGGACATGAAGATTGTGTCAATGTTCTTTTGCATTTTATGCTAAGCTGTGTTGCCCGCAGGAGGTCTTGGTGAGGGTTCAAACCTGTGCTTGTTGGATGTCAAGTGACCATCCTCTGGGGGGTGGGGGGTAATTGGGGTCTCCATGGAGGTGAACTGGCTCCTAAATGACACGTTTGTCAACGGAATATCAGAATCAAGCCCACCCTCTGTGGCAGCCTTGGTAGTCTAGTTCCTGAGTCAGGCAGGGCTGCAGTACTCCAGGGCTTGCCAGCTTGGCACCTCGAAAGGCCTTGGAAGGGCAGTTACTGGAGGCAGGGACTCTTTCCACTCTGCTCCCGTTAACCTTGCAAGCCATAGCCCTACCCGGTAGGGTGGTCCTAGCTGGACAAGTAGTGTTAAAGCTTTCAATGACAAGCTTTGTGATTTTAGCTGGCTAAACTTGAGTAGTATCCCATTGCACAATCTGAGGTCCCCAAGCCATATCTCTTGCCAACGTGCGCCTGATAATTTCCAGAATTAGGTAAGCAGGATGCATCCTTGTAAGGAGTACTGGCCACAACTGGTTTGACCACAGTGTACTGTATCTGGTTTTGGTCACCCCAGTTTAGCAAGGATATCAGGGCCATAGAGAGGGAGTGCTTTCTGCCCTTCCTGTCTAAAGCCCTAGAGTGCTTTGTTGCCACTCAACGTCACTCCCATCTTTCTCTTTAATTGTTGCTCGAGTCCCTCCTATCCAGCTATTGCCTAACCACAGAATGGAGACCGTTCTCGTCAAAATCATTATATGCTCGCTCTCTAACTTTGTGGATGAAAACTGAGGTGAAATACTGCACTGATTTAGTATCATTGCTATTCCCTCACATTTTACTACTAATGTGGCTTTAGAAAGTCTTATTAACGCCTTTATTTTGAAAATTTTCTGACCTACTTAGTCATTTTGAACTCCTTTTTTGTTGCTTTTCTATACCTGTGTTTACTTACATTGATTATAGTACTATTTATTTCACAGAATAGCGGGGACAGAAAATCAACAGCAAAGAAATGTGTGAAACCGAAGGATTACAAGGAATGGGATAAGTAGGTCAACTTAAGGTTATGTTTTCAAAATTTTGCACAGATTCTGAGCAAATTGAATGCACCACAAAGGAACTAAGAAAGCAACCATGATGGTTGTTGGTATAGTGCCAAATGACCAACTAGTGACCAGTTCTGTATCTGGACTTCTATATTTCTATTCACTTATTTCATGTTATATTTTATATATTTATATACGTTACAATACTGTGACGTGCTTTGAAACGTCTCAATGATGTGATAAGGCCCTAAATCAAATATTATTAATATTCTACGATGTCAATGTCACTTTATTTTGCTGTGGGTTACAGGTTAAAGAACAGGATTCTGGTCCAGATTTCAAAATTATTGTTTCATATAGAGGTCATAATTCCAGTATTCATAGAGCATCACATTCCAATCTCAAGCATGTCACATTGCAACCAGCTAAGCTCCAAGGAGACCTCACTCCTTTCTTTCCCCCCTCCCCCGAGTAGAGTGAATGGTGCAAATTTAACATCATTGTCTTTGAATGCTAATATAAACATTTTTGTAAAAGATTAAATATTGTTATGCTGAATGTTATTCATTCGAAGATGTATATTTAAAAAGAAAAGTTTCATTTTAGATTTGATGTGGAAGAAGAATGTGCTAAGATTGATAGAGGCAAGCAAGCAATTACATCCAAAACAATTTTCAATGATGGGATTTCTGGAATCGAGAAAGAAATAAAAACTACAGGTAATTGAATGTTTCAGGTAAAGAAAATGGTGTATGTTTGTGGCAATTATTTTAAAAAGTGCTTTATCCTCCTCTTTTTGTAAACTAGGAGACTTTGTGAAGTAGGGAACTATAAAACTGCGATTTGTAGAGGCTTGATAATGGGTGTAGATCTGAGCAGACACAGTAATAAAAATAATTGAACTGAACATGTAGTGTTTATAACAATATTTGGTGGGACGGGAGTATATTTTTAATGTCCACCCTGGTTGAAAAAAACTAAGAAGTAGAAATTTAATTTGTGGCTATATCCTGTTCATTATCTTTTTCAACCTCCTTTTTCAATTCCATAGAGTTTTAATGTCTTTCCTGACAACTTTCTTAAAGTTATAATATTTAGTCTTGCATTTGTTGCTATGTCCCTTTATGATTCTTTCTTGTCTCCTTAATATGCTTTTTAACCTGTTTCTGTACTGTCAAATTCAGCTCAATGGTTTGTCACCTTTTCCCTTCTGTTTATAAGCTTTATAAATCATTTTTTATTTATCTCCCTTTTTATTTTTCTGTTGATCCATTTTGGTGTGTTTTTGTTTAATTTGCCCCTCATTATCTCATCTATCCTTATTTTATATCCCTCACCTTTGTCTCCCTTTTCCACATACCCTGAAAAATCTCTAACATGAAGTGAAAAATCATTATACGTTTCATGCATGCTATTCAAACAAGTAGTACATTGCTGTTTCTCAGGTATGAGTGACAAAGAAAAGATGATTGCAGCTGACCGAGAAAAGGACAAAGGTAATGAAGCTTTCCGAGCTGGTGATTATAAGGAAGCTTTTGCTTACTACACCAGGTATGTTCACGGTTGATTAAATATTTACATTTAGTGCACTACCATGCAATATATAATTATTGATCTGATATTGATAAATGATTTCAATATCAGACTTATCGAGAAATAAGGACTATAACAAAACCAAAGTTTTTGATATATAAAAGGCCATTTTTGAAACGGATCCATTATCAGAAATAGTACACCTGAGCATAAATACAGTACAGCCCATTAAACATTCTTCAATATAGCATAGATTTGGTTATCATAAGATTACAGCATGATTACAACATTTATTGCCTGTGAGTACTTGTCTCTGAGTCAGAAGATTGTCAGTTCAAGTCTTACATTGGGCCTTTGAGCTCATAGTGTGATGGATTTTGTTTATTGAAGTTATTTGTTGAGTTTTTACAACTAATAATAATAATAATCATTGCATTTGATATAGCGCTTTTCACGTCGAGAGGACATCCCAAAGCGCTTCACAGAATATACTGTAAAGTGAATTGACTGTATATTTGTGGGCAAAACGGCAGCCAATTGCGCACAGCAATGTCCCACAAACAGTCGTAGATTGAAAATGACCAATTTATTATTGTTTTGTTTTGGAGGGATTATTATTAGGCTCTGTGTGGAGTAAGGAAACTTGCCCAAGGTTTCGCCCTCTGCCTGGAATTGAACTCAGGTCTCTCACTTGCAAAGCGAGTGCTCTAACCTCTGAGCTACAGGACTCCACTGGATATCTGGCTTACGTTTCTTTCCCTTTACCCCACTCCCCCGAATCTACTATAATACTATGACTAAAGCAGTAGGATTGTACGTTTTCATTATTTGGAAGATCTGCACTCATATTGTGTGTAATTTTCTCTCTCTCTCTAAACAAATTGAACAGGAGTATATCTGTGTGTCCAACTGTAGCTGCATATAACAATAGAGCTCAATCAGAAATTGAGCTTAAGGAATGGTACAAGGCTCTTAATGATTCTGAACAAGTGCTGAAATTGGATCCCGGTAATTTGAAGGGTGAGTACAGTAGATGGCAACTACTGCATGTCCACTTATCCACATTGGGCTCTGAGATGGACACAGATCTGTGAGATACTGGCAAAAAAAAACTTGTGCAGTAGCATGCTGGAAGCTTTGGTCCCATTAATGGGTTGATGGGTCACTGCAATGTTAATTACTACACAAAATCTTTCCTTCACAAAATGATATGAGCGGCACGTCCTGTGCAGCATGCAGCAAGTGTCATCGACAACTTTTACCTGTATGTAGTGTGGACGTGCATAATGCGGAGGAAGTCATTGCTTGTCGGCCTCCCCGACTCCTCCCTCCATAGGCTGCAGCTCATCCAGAGCTCTGCAGCCCATGTCCTCCCCCGCACTAGGCTCCACCACCCTAACACCCCCATCCTCGCCCAACTCCATTGGCTTCCCATTACGCGGAGGATACAGTTCAAGATCCTGGTCCTCACCTTCATATCCCTCCATGGTCTTGCTCCCCCCTACCTCTGTGACCTGACCCCCCTACCATCCTGCATGCTTCCTCTGCTCAGCGGGCTTTGACCTGCTTTACATCCCCCGCCTCCCTCACCCCACTATTGGCGTGTGGGCCTTCAACTACTCTGCCGCCACCTTCTGGAACTTCATCCCGCAGTCCCTCCACCTCGGCCCCTCCCTTGCCACCTTCAAGACCCATCTCGAGGCACTCCTCTTCGACCGCGCTTTCGATTTCCCTGCTTTCTCCCTGCCTTCCACCCTCCCCGACCCCCAGCTCGGGTCCGAAACTCTGTCCAGCGCTTTGGGACGTCCTTCTGACGTGAAAGGCACTTTACAAATGTAATTTTGTTGTTTGTTGTTGTAGTAATATCAGTTGTGCCCTAAAGGCCTGGAAGACGTGTGTTTTTAGTACGGGAAGCACTCCAGGATGAGGAGACTCGAGCAGAGGCATATTCCTCTGAGAGAAAAGTTGTCCACTTTGTAGTACAGGGAATCAGATATACCAATAAAACTTGTGCTCACCTGAGGAGCAGTCTTACAGGGCTGCCCTGTACTGACCACTGTAGAAAAGTAAAAGCAATAAATTATAATCCAAAGGAATTTATGATCACTTTTTGTAATACTTATTGCTATTTGTTGCCTTGTTTTGCAGCACTTCTACGTCGTGCGACTGTTTATAAACATTTAGGCAAGTGTGAAGATGCAGCAGAGGATCTCAAGATAGTTTTGCAAGCAGAGCCGCTCAATCCTGTAGCAAAGGTAAGTTGAGTGTAAAACAAGGAATATAAATTGATTTGACATGCTAACCTTTTCACGAAAATAAATTGTAATTTAACATTCCAGCACAGACTTGGAATTAAAATTGAATTTTGAATTCAACGAATACCTAACTAAACAATTTACAGGAAAGCTCAGAATTACAATAATAATCCTTGCATTTGATATAGAACCTTAATGCATCATTGAAATGTCTCAAAGTGCTTCACAGAATATATTGTAAAGTGAATTGACTGTATATTTTGTGGGCAAAACGTGGCAGCCAATTGCGCACAGATAGTGGATTAATTAGAATTAAGACTTCTGAGGCATTACCCCAAATGAAAGGCACCACATAAATGCAAGTTGTTGTGATAGGTTGAAAAACATACTTGTTTAAAATATATTTGAGCGTGTGCCTAAATGGGTTCAGCTTGTCTAAATACATGCCTTACCAGTTCTCATTAATAATAAACCAATCCTTTATTTTTTCTACATCATTTAATTCTTGGTTTTGAAACATTGTTGATATAGCCTCATCTAGAGGCCAACAGTACAGTGATGATACAGTATTTGGTAGGACCTCTGGTGGTGGTAAGTGTTAACACCAGGGGATTTATTTGGGTGCCTGGCAAGTAGGTCATTTCTTGCATTGCTGCACATGACAATTTTAGCATTTACTATGTTCTTAGAAAGCACCCTGCACTACAATACAAATTTTCATTTATGTAGCTCCTCTCGCATCCCAAGGCACTTGAGGAACTTGACAATTTGCCGTCTATAATAATAATAAAAAACCTTTCATTTGACATAGTCTTCGAGGTGTCTCAAAGCGCTTCACAGAACATACAACAACAACCTGCCCCTCACGCAGGATAGCGTCCCAATTTTCCCAAAACATATTGCAAAGTGAATTGACTGTACATCCCATGGAAGAAACACGGCAGCCAATTGCACATAGCATTGTCCTACAAATAGTTGTGGATTGAAGGAACCAATTTTTTTTAAGGAATTATTACCCCTAGAAAAGCGATCCGCCAATCAGCTAACTGCTAGGTAAACAGAGGAGTATGGAGCAAAGGGAACTTGGTTTCACCCTGCCAGGAACCGAAACCAGCTCTCTCGCTTGTGAGGTGAGTGCTCTAACCACTAAGCTACAGGACTCCACATATTTGTCCCCTACTATAATTCCCCTCGTCTCTGCCTGTAGTGGACCCACATTTACCTTTGACAGCCTCTTCCTCTCTATATATTTATAAAAACTCTTGGAGTCTGTCTTTACGTTCCTCGGTAGTTTGACCTAAGCTTGGAAAAATAGTTAATGGTGATGAGGATAGCACCAGACTCCAAGAGGACTTAGATAGTTTGGTAAAATGGGCAGAAACGTGGCAGATGAGATTTAATGTGGAGAAATGTGAAGTGTTGCATTTTGGTAGGAAGAATGAGGAGAGCCAGTGTAAGCTAGAGGGCAAATGAACAGAGAGACCTGGGGGTCCACATAAGCAAATCTCTGAATGTGGCAGGACAAGTAGATAAGGCTGTTAAAAAAAGCATACGGGATACTAGATTTTATAAATAGGGGCATAGAATTCAAAAGTCAGGAGGTTATGTTGAATATTTATAAAATGCTGGTTAGGCCTCAGTTGGAGTACTGCGTTCAGTTCTGGGCACTGCACTTTAGGAAATATATTAGGGCATTGGAGAGTGTGCAAAGGAGGTTTACCAGGATGGTATCAGGAATGAAGGACCTTAGTTATGAGGAGAGGTTAGTGAAACTAGGATTATTCTCCCTAGAGCAGAGAAGATTAAGAGGGGATTTAATAGAGGTTTTCAAGATCATGAGAGGATTTGATAGGTTGGACTGGGAAAAACTATTTCCACTGGCATATGGGGCAGTAACCTGAGGACACTGATTTAAGATAGTTGTTAAAAGAAACAGAGGGGAGGTTAGGAAATTCGCCCAGCGAGTTGTTCAGATCTGGAATGCATTACCTGAAAGGGTAATGGAAGCCAATTCAATAATAACTTTTAAGAGAGAAGTGGATGGGTATTTGGGGAAGATAGGATTGCAGGGCTATGGAGAGAAAGCGAGCTGGTGAGATTGAGTTGGATTGCTCTTTTAGGAGCTGGCGCAGACGCGATGGGCCGAATGGCCTCTTTCCGTGCTGTATGATTCTATTCTATGATATAGTATTGTGATAGAGGTAGTAATTTGTTTATTAAACTACCATAATTAGAAAATAATACCACCTGAGAGAATGAAGAGATGGTAATAATGAATCCTGGTTTTCTATTGTAGTGTTATTTTACTGTAGAATCCCGTTTATTATTTGTACCTACCAGAAATCAGTGTGTGCTGCCCATGCTTAAGAGTAGAAGTGCAAATGGTTGTCCTACTTTAAAGATAGGCAACTATGAACGACATTTGATAAGCACTTAAGTGCTATTCAACAAGCGACTTCCAAAGCTTTGTGTATATACAGGATATACTGTAAAGTAGAGTAACTGTGTACGTTGTGGACTAATGCAGCAGTCAACTTGTGCACAGCAATGTCCCACAAACAGTCTGAAGTGAATGACCAATTTTATTTGGGGATTGTTGGTCAGGACACTAGGATAAACTCCCTCTCATGACGTTCTCGAGTATGTCTATAATAGGACACTCCCTAATAAACCATTGAATACGGAATTTATCTTAAGCACCTGTGCATAAATCCAATACATATATTAATAGTGTTTGAATGTATGCAAGTCAAGGGGGGACAAACTGAAGCACAGTAGAGCCAGGGAAGAATACCTTCTTTTCATCCCTAGCCACTTCATCACCTAAAGATTTTTTTCCATTCCATTAAAGAGAATTTCTTTTTCAAGTTCAGTTCTAAGGAAAGGTGCAGCCTAAGATATAGGCTGTCCTCCATTGGACACCTGTGATTTAAACTGCTGATTTGTTTTCAGCTAAAGAGTGCTAATTATTTTTCTTCTACTAAACTAAAACATTGTCCAAAAGTATATTGGAGATGGGATATAACTGTTGTCCTAATGAATAACGATTTTCAGAAATTGCTTGAGGAAGTTGAGCAGAAGCTAAAAAACTCGCAGCCTCCATCCAAAACACAGAAAAAGGGGAAAAGGATGACCATCAAAGTAGTGGAGGACTCTATTGAGGAGGAGAGAGAAAATGCAAATCAAAATGAAGGTGAGGATGGTCAATGAAAATATGATTGGTAGTTGTTACATTTTACAACTTGTAGTTGTGGCTTCGGGGTCATTTTGGTGGCAAAGGCATCCCAGGGTGCTTCCTATGTGCATGAAGTCAGTGGAAAATCCTTTGAGTTTGTGTATGTGTGTTCAGTTCAAGACCTGGATATTGCCAACTTCAGCCTTTCTTGAGTTTAAAATTCTGGAGTTTAAACAAGTTTGCTGGATGGGGGCAGGTGGGGTCCAGGCATGTTTTTTGTGTTCTCTCTGATATAAATCTAGTCGTGTATTATGTTCATCTCTTGATCATTCCCTTTTTCAACCCCCTTAGAGTCCAAAAATTAATATCATTACTCTAGATAAATTTTGATCTTTTCCCCCAAAGTCGGAAACATTAAACACTTTTATGGTTCTTAATGCCAACAAAGTTCTTGCCATCTCCGACCAGAGCTGTCTCTTTGCTATTCTTGATCTGCCTGCCACCTTCTATAATACTGACCATCCATCCTTCTCCAGTCTCCTCTTCCTTGTTCCACTTCCATGGTTCTGTCCTTTCCTGGTCTCATTCTTACTTGTCCCAGTGTCTTCACTTTGTCTCCTCCAGTACTTTCTCCTTTATCCCAGCACAGTCACGTGGCATTCCTAAGGGCTCTGCCCTCAATCCTTTTCACTATCTATATGCCTCTAGTGCCTGGGCTCTCTTCTCCCCCACCCCACTCTCGAGCTGCCAATCAGTTTTGTGAAGCGCTTTGGGATGTCATCCCGGTATGACTGAATAAAAGTATATCATAATAATTCTTAAACATGCTTCGCGCATTTTGAAATTTTATGAGCAATGGCTGGTCTGAATTTGCTCATATAGCATTATTATTAATAATAATATAATAATCCTTGCATTTGATATAACGCTTTTCACGTCTTCAAAACTTCTCAATGTGCTTCACAGAATATACTGTAAAGTGAATTGATTTTATATTTGTGGATGAAACGTGGCAGCCAATTGTGCACAGCAGCGTCCCACAAACAGTAGTGTGTGGTATGCATGCTACATACACTTAAAGATACAGATGCACGCAGATACACGCACACACGCAGATACACATGCAGGCGTACACACTCAAACGCACACAACGCAGGCACACACAAAAACACAACTCAGGCGTACACACACAACACAGACGCACAATGCAGGCACAGACACACACACACACAATGCAGGCACGCGTGCACACTCACCCAGATGCGCGCGCTCGCCCAGATGCGCGCGCTCGCCCAGATGCGCGCGCTCGCCCACACACACAGTATACAGACCAATCTTGCGCTCTTTGTCTCTGTGCCGGGCTCCGGGAGGTGGTTAATGTGTTACTGTGCTATTGATTGTCTTTCTGACTGGCAGTAAATAGCCATGATCCCCAATGTTAGAGGAATGAATTGTGAGTAATGATTGGACAAGCTCGGGCTCTTCAAGCTTGAGAGAAGGTGATTTAGAGAGAACCTCATACAGGGTATAACATTTTAAATGTGATTGAAATACTAAACGCAGATTATTATTTTAGAATCAAGAGGACACAGGTTTCAAGCTGTAAAGACCAATTCAGGACAGACCCCAGGAAGATTCTCTTTAGGCAGAGGGTAATCAACAGGTTAGCAGGGAAGGTGCAGAGGCCAGGACACTGGGCCTCATTTAAGTTAAAAAGCAGCTTGATGCAGTGATGGGGGTGGGATGAAATGGGATGGGACAAGGTATGGTTGCTAGTGAATGATATTTATATAAATTATTTAAAAAAATCAAAGTGTGCTATGAATTCAGAAATGTGCACTTCCCAAATTGCAATGTATATTATTGAGATTAGAACTTTTAACAGAAAATGCTTTTTGCAGATGTTCACAAGGAAGAAAAGTAATTTCAGCTCTCAAAGAGTTAATAATGCTGCATAATGTATTGGCTGAACAACATCTACTTCCCTGAGGTTTCAGATCAGCTCAGTCCTTTCTGTTTTAACTCGCAGGTTTTATAGTATTTGACCCTTATGATTATTTGCAATTCAAATTAATCCACGTTTTTGCTGACACAGGGAGGCAATCATATCAGCTAAAGATACATACCTGTTTGTGACTTCTTTTGACAGTGTCACTGGTTTGTAAAAATGTTGTGTGTAGCTGATATTTTGACACTATTTTGCTTGTGAAATGCGAGGTTGTTGTTGCTTTAAGTTTCTAATGAGATTTTCCTAACACCCCTTTCTTAAGCACTGTAATAGTTTTTTCCACTGATGCACTCTGGTTTCTGGTATGTGGACTTCCTTATAGATTCCAATACGCAATTCGGTGGAGGTACAACAAATGCAAAGACTGTAATGGGAAATATATTGAAAAAGTTTTCAAGCAAACATGAAGGACAGTCTAATGAAAAGAACACAGCAAATGGAAAGAATGATAGCCAGAATACTGCAACACGGGGGAATGCTGGAAATGGCAGTAAGGATAGCTTACCAGCAGTGAGCAAAAATGGACCTAGTAAACATAATTCTGAAACTGGAAGTAAAAATGTCAAGAATGATACCAACACAGCAAAAAGAAGAAATCAGGATCCTCCAAAAACTGACGACATTCAGGTGTCTGCTGTCAGGTCATTTTCACCGACAGTGAGAGAGAAGAGTTTACAGGCCTTGCCCTCTGCCATAGCAAAGCTTAAGAGTGAAGGGAATGAGCTCTTCAAGAATGGACAGTTTGGAGCTGCAGAACTCAAATATACCGAAGCCATCACTGAACTCACTGAATCAGGTATGATAGATTTTTAAAAAAATATTATTGACCAGATCTACTGAACACTGTTTTTATCTTGAGTGAATAAAAGTCTAGTGCAGCAGCCCTGTTATAATGTACTTCGTAATAATGCAGGTTTGCTTCTGGCACAACTGGGTTGTGGACCACGACATTATCTTACTTAAAAATCTCAAATCTTGACATTGTGCCAGCTCAATGTGTCGTTGCACTTCAAATTGCGCTTAAAATCCAGCTGCTGTGCTTTAAAATGTTCACTGCAACAATACGATTTCACGCATGACACGCACTGGTGAAGCTGACCAGATTTTTACAGACATGTAGTGGCGTCAGAGGTCATATGGTTGGTGACAGCCTGATATGGTAGTGCTGACTGGCAGCTCCTCTTTGATGTGCGCATCCTACTTCCCCAGCATCGGTGGCCGGGCTTTCAGCCTATGTGCTCTTGGTTTATAGAACTCTATCCCGCAGTCCAGCAGACTTGCTCCTCCCGTGCTGCTTTTTAGGTCCATCTCAAGTACCTCTTTGGCCGCACTTATGGTCATCTTAACCCTCACTACCCCGTTGGCTACCACCGCCAGATCGGTTGCCAAAACAGAATTATCAGGCACCTTAGGACGTTCTCCCGACACGAAGGCTGCTATTATACATATAAATTTGTATTTTATCCACTGGAGCAGTTTATAACATGGTGGTGAAAGGGGAGGGAAAGAAGGTCCATAAATTGCCAATCAGTGCCTTAATGCGTAACCTAGGCATCAGGTTCAATCTGCAGCTGTCCTACTTACCCCACAAGCGGGCACTGACCACAACCACTTTCTTCCACCTTCATCACATTGCCCGCCTCCGACTGTACCTCACATCCAACACAGCTGAAACCCTTGACAACCCTTTCGTCACCTCTCGTCTCGACTATTCCAATGCCTTCCTCGCCTGTATATCCAGCTCCACCATCCACAAAATCCAACTAATTTAAAATTCCACTGCCCGGCAGGAATGAGCATCTTCACTTATGAGGAGAGACCAGAAAAAAACGGGAAGTTTACACTCGCCTAGAGAATGTTGAGAGATAAAGAGGTTTTAAAAGTTATTGAGGTTTTGATCAGGTGAATTCCACTGGTCAGTCAGTTGGTAGCAAGAGGGGGCATAAATTTAAGATCATTACCGAAGAAGAAAAAAAAAGGTTGGTAAAATAGTTCTTCCACAGAGAGCGATGTGGAATATCCTACCGAAGAACTGGTTGAAGCATAAGACATAGTAGCTTTTAAAAGGGAATGAGACCAATATTTGAAAAGGAAGAATATGAAAGGGTATGGGATAAAGGAAGGAGAGTGGGACAGAACAAATAACTACAGAAGAAGCTTCTTTAGCCGGACCAAATGGGTGGCCCTGATGTGTCCGACTTAAGTAGTTTCCATTGTGTTTCAGAGTATGATGATCGTTTGTGCTCAAAGATTCTAGGATTCTCATTACACTTTGTGACAACTGTTTATTCACTGATGCTGGAAATGACATTGAAAAATTAGGCTGTCACTCCTCAGTGTGTGGTGCAAAATAAAGTATGTTTTTACGTACACGCAGACATATGTTTAGATATTTCTCTTTAGAAATAAGGTGCCTGTTAAAGGTGTAATCTCCACCACTACCTTAGGCCGCTGAAACTCTTGTTAATGCCTTCATCACCTCCAGGCTCGACTATACAAACGCCCTGCTTGTCGGCCTTCTCAACTCCTCCCTCCACAGGCTGCAGATAATCCAGAACTCTGCAGCCCGTGTCCTCTCCCGCACCAAACTCCGTGACCCCATCTCCCCCGTTCTCGCTCGACTCTATTAGCTCCCTATCCTTCAGAGGATCCAGTTCAAGATTCTGGTCCTCACCTACAAAGCCCTCCATGGCCTCGCCCCACCTACCTTTGCGACCTCCTAACCCCCTACCAACCGCCTGCTCCCTCCACTCAGCCGGCTCTGGCCTGCTTCACGTTCCCCGCCCCACCATTGGCGGGAAAGCCTTCAGCCACTCTGCGCCTCTGGAATTCCATCCCCCAATCACTCCACCTCGCCCCTCCTTGGCCTCCTTCAAGTCTCGCCTCAAAATCCTCCTCTTCGACCGTGCCATCGGCCACCCCTCTTCTCCCCTCCGACCCCAGCTCTGGCCTGAATTGCTGTACATTGTCCAACGCCTTGGGACCTCCTCCCGACGTGAAGGGTGCTATACAAATGTAATGTTGTTGTTGTAATCGTGAGTTTCCCTTCCCCCCCCCCCCCCCCCATTGATTAGTACATAAATTTATCACTATAAAAACCAAGGAGCCCCACGATCAATACATCTGTGCTGAGTTAACAGATCCCAGAGTGACAGAGTAGTATGATTTGTATTAATGTCTCTTAAGTTATAAAGGAGAAATTACCAAAACTTGATCAGGAACTTCTCCTGGAAACTTGTAAGAATGGGTGACAAGAGATTCCAACTCCAAGGTAAGGTCTCCATGTTCACCATTGGGTTTAGATGTAAGGAATTGCCACTTAAGTGAAGCATGGGAGGTATTTTGCTACTGTGGAACTGCACCCCAGTTTTATGTACACGCACACACAAGATTAGATATTATGAAAAGAAGAAATAAAAATTATGCAAAATTACACTTTTTTACAATTTAAGTACAAGGTAACAATATCGTTAGAAAGATATGGAGGCTAGTTTTCATGAATTATCATGAATTTGTATGAATTTCTACCTCTGGAGGCAGTGCGCAGAGCGATGGGAAGAGAGGCAGAACAGGAGGTATGAGGCAGTTTGGCCATATTATGTACCTACTCGTAATGAAATGTATTATGCACGAAATTACACTGGCGCGAAACTGCGTAATCCCCTGGGGTATATCCAGTACAGTTTGCTGCCTTCAGGAAAGCAGCGAGTAGAAAGCATAAATCTGATAATGGTTCTAAAGCTGTCTTGTGTTGTCTATCAAGCAACAGGCTACCCAGCAGAGCTGAGCATCTTGTATTCAAATCGAGCAGCATGTTATCTGAAGGATGGAAATAGCAGTGAATGTATTCAGGATTGCACTAGGTGAGTTTACAATGGTTTGTGCATGGATATAACCGGCATTTTCCAGTAGTGGGATGTGCTGTTTTGATGTCATAACTTTTCAGTCACAGAAATGAGATGTGTAATAACCCACCTCATGATGTGATAGGATGAACTTCCCAAATGCTGGTTAGGAGGCAAGTCCTTTGCCAGAAAAGGAAATTCATCCCAACACTTTTGTATATTCTTTGTGGCCACTTACAGAACAACATTGGCAGAGGTGTGGGAAAACTCACTTCTTGCTATCTTGACTAATGAATATTGTGAAGTCCAGGATAGGGAGTATAAAACAATGCAGGAAACTTTAAAATAATTGGGGCAACATTTTAGTTAAGTGATCATTTGGCACAATGGGTTAGCTTATTGCCCTTTCACGTAAGAAACCCAAGTTCAAACCCAGGATATGAATATATTTAGTCTCTCTTTCTAAAGCACTCTCCATGAAATTAGTTTGGCCAGTTCTTAATGCATATGGGCTCACAGCACAAAGCAGTTCTAAATCCAGCACTAAATTGGCATTTGCATTGAGTCTTGCAAGTTGTGTTGAAGGTGCCATCTTTCGGATGAGAGGTTAAACTGAGGCCCTGCCTGCTGGTTCAGATGGATGTTAAAGATCCCATGGTATTATAGAAGAAGAGAAAACAGTTTCTCCCAGTATCCAGGCAAACAGTCCACCAAATAAAAGTTGGTCACTCATTTCATGACTGTTCTGTGTGTCATTGCTGTGTGCAAATTGACTACCTTGTTTGCCTATAAATACAGAGTCACAATACTTCATAATAAAAACCTATGAAGTGCTTTGCGATAATAATAATAATAATAATAATAATCCTTGCATTTGATATAGCGCTTTTCACGTCGGGAGGACGTCCCAAAGCGCTTCACAGAACACACTGTAAAGTGAATTGACTATATTTGTGGGCGAACACGGCAGCCAATTGTGCACAGCAATGTCCCACAAACAGTCGTAGATTGAAAATGACCAATTTATTATTGTTTTTTGGGTTTTTGGAGGGATTATTATTAGGCTCTGTGTGGAGTAAGGAAACTTGCCCAAGGTTTCGCCCTGCCTGGAATTGAACTCTGGTCTCTCGCTTGCAAAGCGAGTGCTCTAACCACTGAGCTACAGGATGTCTCAGTGATGTGACCAGGAGTGATGTTTAATGCAAGGATTGTTATAATAATAATATAATAATAATCCTTGCATTTGATATAGCGCTTTTTCACATCTTCTACACGTCTCAAAGCGCTTCACAGAATATACTGTAAAGTGAATTGACTGTATATTTGTGGGCGATATACTATAAGTAATACGAGGTGAAAAAGAAAATCTCCACTTGCTGCCCGCCAACACCTCCTTGTAGCTGGCTCTGATTACCATGGTTGCTGTTCCATCTCACTGAGCTAGTAGAGTTCTGTGTGACACTCAGTTCTTTTTCCTTATTTATACCTAAATTTGTTTTTCTTCAACTTCACCACATTGCCAACTCCTATCCATGCCAATGTTGCCTCCAGACTGGACTTTTCCACTGTTCCTGTTTCTACCAATCACAAGGTGTGGCTCATCCAAAATTCTGCTGCTTGTATCCTGATACATACACATTGCTATAGTATGTTGATCACTACTATGGAGATATGGAAACTCCTTAACTGAATATGCTCTTGACAACATAAAATGGTGGGGGGGGGATCATACTAGTTTCTCTGACCACCAGCCTGTCCTCGTTGAGTAGTTTTACCTGTTATCATGGCTGAATAGGTCATTGCTGTTCAATTACATGCTAACCTATCTCTTTTAACTTTGATCACTGATTGGCTCTCATAGCTACCATATTCAGTGTGCTCAATTCCCTAAGGATTTCCCTGCATGAAATTTGGCACTGCACTAAATCCAGTGCAAAAATCGTCTGCATTGTCCCTCACACTGGTTATATGGTGCTACAATAATTCCAACCCAGACAAGGTCAAATAACCTGCTAACAACCCGGCATTCATGTGGAAGATTGGTGTTCATAAAGGAATATTAGCTATATTGCATTTTTTTCATTTATCTTATGTCATTTGGAGTTATAATTTTGTTGAATTGTAATTCTTCTAGCTGGTAGGTAATAAACAGCAAGGGAATTTAAAAGCAGAAAGACTAAAATGGCTTTCCGAGTGTAAGTTGGGTGAATAAATAGCACTTGAAAGTTTTCCATTAGAACTGTAAATGGTTGGTTGAAACAAAAGACATCAAAATATATAAGCATGATGCGTACATGAGAAAGAAGGGAATTAGAGGCTCTTAGGGGAGGGGATCAGGCTCGTGTGGAATAAAAACACTGGCCCAGACTAGTTGGGCAGAATCCTTGCATTGATATCGCGCCTTATCACGTCTCCTAGACGTCTCAAAGCACTTCACAGAATATACTATAAAGTAAATTGACTAAATATTTTTGGGCAAATCGTGGCAGCCAGTTGCATACAGCAGTGTCCCACAAACAGTCATGGATTGAGTGACCAAATTATTCTTATTTTGTATGTTGTATGTAATTGTATAGATATTGTTTTGTTGTAAAACTGTTCTTGTGTTTGTCCCCTAGGTCACTGGAGCTGCAACCCTATTCTATTAAACCTCTCCTACGGCGTGCTATGGGCTATGAATCCCTAGAGCGTTACCGACAAGCTTATGTGGATTACAAAACTGCTCTTCAGATAGATAGTAGGATCCAGATAGCAAACGACAGTGTAAACAGGTGAGCATAGTTTTATTACTGAACACAGTTATGAATCCAAAGGACTTTCTTGTACTTGCCAGGAAATCAAGGCAGTTTTAGATATAATAGTTAGTTATGGTGGTTGTTAGGTAGCCTTTGGGCTAAAAGGACTTCAAAGATTTTTCTATGGTTAGTTTTTTTTTGTCTTCTGTATTCAAGCTAAATACTATCAAAAGCTTATAATATACCTCTTTGTATATGTGAAAAAGAAAGCTATATAGGTATCTTCGTAGACCTATTAATTAAGTATTATGTTTAATAAAAAAACTCTTGTGAATACCGAAACTTATTAGGGTTTACAGCCACCATCACACACATTCACTAAGCTCACAATGATTGGTTGACTATTCAATATCAATGAAGATGTCAGTAAAGTGCAACAATATATTACAATGCAACACTGTTATAAGGAACTATGGCTAATACGGTTTATGACACAGGGGCTGCAGGAGTGTAACTGATTTCTAGTGCTAACGCGCTGGTTGTCGTTCCGGGTTGTCAGGTCACCACTGATGTAACTTACAATTTGTTAACTAAGCGCAGAAAGCATTATTAAGGTTAAGGAATTTTATTTGGCAGTATTTTTATACAGACCATTGGATGCAGGATATAAGTGAATTGTGTGCATATGTGAATGTGACACCGAATTGCATAGAATGATACAGCATGGAAACAGACATTTGGTCCAATACTTTACATGAGCCTTCATTGGCCTAATTCCCTCTTATGTCTCTCTATTCCCTTCTTCCTCATTTATTGCATCAAAGTTCCTCATTTTGCTTCTGTGAATGGCCACTGGGAGGCATGGCAACGGTAGCTCTGGGTGATGTGTTTAACAATTTATTTAAATTTCCTCATCAGCCATACAGATGTGCTGGCTAAGCAAAATTGCTGATGTAAACCCAGATCCTTCCAATTACATGCTTCTGATTCTTGAACCAAGTACATTGTTTTCCCCTATTTTGGTGCTGGAAAATCTGCTACGACTACTACTGTGTGTGTTTGTCTGTCTGAGTGTGATCTCGTGCCCCAGGCTTGCAATTGAGTTTGTAGCGTGTTGTGAGAAAACACAGCAGTATTGCAAAGGCGACTCAAGCACCAGCTTTGACTTGAAACATTTACAATTGTTATGTGAATGTAATGATTGAAGTAGGTTCATTAACTATAAATGCTATCCAAAGATCATTTTTGACAGGAAAAATGTCGGCAAATGTGGAATTTTGTATTTTGTATACAGAAAGGTGCTACAAACAGCCATGAAGGCAATTTATGTGAAGGAATCTTGGTAAGGAAAATGAGAGAAATTCCCTCTCTAGCTTTGTATTGATCTAATCTGGGACAGAACTTTGATTAGCTGTATTCGATGTTTTAATGTATTTGACATGTATATAATTAACAAATATTAGGTTACGAAGGGCAGTAAATTCACGATGTAGATTATTGACTTAATGTAATGGTGTCTCACAATCACCCTTCTGTACTCTAATCTTCCCAGCTTGCGCATCCACAGAATCTAATAATAATTTGTAATGCTGATCATGAGCAGATGGAGTCTGCAAATCCTTTGTAAGTAATGATCTTCAAGGTTGTAAATGGTTTATGTTATCTTTATACATAACCAGGCAAACGCATCAACTGATAGTGTTGAATTGTGCAGGACTTTCATAGAGGGATTTATTGAGTGCTGATATGAAAACAGTTAGGCTTTGTGCAAAATAATGTATTTCAAGTGTGACGTGCTATTGTGTGAAGGAAGGCAAATTCAATCAGTTTAGGAGTTAGAAAGTTATTTTAACAGATGTTTATTTTAACAGATGGTTACTTTAATAGACGTACATCTTCCATAGCAAGGTGTTAGATTGTAACATTCTGTAATAAGCTAAAAGCTAGATCTTTGTTGGAAAAACTTTTAAACTTTGTTAATGTTATTAAGAGTCATAGAAGTGACAGTGGGACTATAACAAATCTAGGTCTCGAACCATCTGTGTGTGTGCATCAGCAGCTAGTCTGGACCTAAGCTCTCGGTGTCTCTGACTTCTGAATTATTTCCCCCTATTTTTTACTTGTTCTTTTTTTCCTTTTGTCTCTTTTCTCCCTCTTCAGCTTTCAAACTGCCCTTGTAAATTTAAATTAATGTGAGCTGCCAATATTACACCTTAATGCAAATTTACCCCACCCTAAAAAAACTAATTGATTTGACATTTCATTGTTATTTCACTGTATAGTACAGTAGAAGAGCAATAAATGTTTTATTTGAAGGGGGCCCACCAAATACTCTCTTAAAGTTACAGAATATTTGGTGGGCCTCCTTCATATAAAGCTCTTGAAAGTAGTTCCTGTGTTTTTTTCCCCCAAAGTTAGAGCTCTTAAAGGTTACTTTTAAGAGCTCCAACTGGAAAAAACAGGAATTCTTCAGATAATGTACATGGTGGAGGAAGCTGCAAAGAGGAAATGTAAAGATGACTGAAAAAGTCCTAAGAAAAAAAGATAAAGATTGTCAAAACCGTCTAATGTATGTCGCTCACATGTTTCGAGGAAGATAATATATTTCACAAAGCCACTGATGCGTCAGCCTGTCAGAATTAGTTAGTGCTATCACCTCTGAGAAAGAAGGTTGTGGGATCAAATCCCAGGTTGGGACTTTGAATCCACATAATCTTGGTGAAATTCGAATGCAGTCTTGGGGGTCGCTTCATTGCTGTCATTTGGATGGGATGTTAAACTTCTGTCCTGTCTGCCTGCTCAGGTGAACATTTAAGATTCCACAGCACTTCAAAACATGAAAGGAGTTTTCCCAGTACCCTGTTAAATCCAAGTTAAATTTGGTAATTCACTTCATGGAACATTACTGTGTGCAAATTTCGTGCGTTTGCCTACAAATACTCAGTCACTATACTTTATAGTAAACCCGTGAAGCGCTTTGAGACGTCCACACAGATGTTGTCAAACTGAGGCTGAATTTGTTTGCAATACTGAACACACCTAATTCGAAGAGGTTTGCCATTCGACCCTATCGAAAGATCAATTTACTGAGTTGAGGGTTGGATTCAACGTGTGGCTCATGAAAGCCCCTCTGCCCCTCTGCACTGTGAATGGGACTGAATGGTTTCAAGTTCAGACAAAAGAGTGGCGCTGAACAACACAGGAGCAAAACCCATTTTATTCAGGACCACAATGTCTATTTAATATTGCCCCCTGAATCAGAACTGTACTTCAAACTATTTTAAACTGGATTTATTCTACATTTTGTTGTGAGTTGTCAGCCTGGCTCAGTTTGTAGCATTCTTGTCTCTGAATCAGAAGTTGTGGATTCAAGAGCCATGTCAGAATTGGAACTTGTATGGTCTTAAGCTGACACCCTAATGCAATGCTAGGGATGTGCTGCAATGTTGGAGGTGCTGTCCTTTGGATGAGATGTTAAACCAAGGACCGCCTGCTTGTGCAGGTGACGTGAAGGATCCCATGACACTATTCGAAAAGAGAAAGGAGTTTCTCCCAGTGTCCCGGCGCACAATCTACCAAATAAAATTGTTCATTCACTGTATGGCTGTTTGTGGGACATTGCTGTGCTCGTATTGGCTGCATCATCATTCACCTGCAAGATACACAGTCACACCATTTTACAATATATCCTGTGAATCACTTTGAGACGTCCTCTTAACGTGAAAGGTGCTTTAACAAATGTAAGCATTACTATGCTTGTTATGTAACCATATAATTCCCTTTGCAGGATAACAAGAACATTGATAGAGCAGGATGGGACAAATTGGCGAGAAAAACTACCACCAATTCCAACAGTCCCTGTGTCTGCACAGCAGTATAGATGGGATGAAGCGTCTGCTTCCACTGCCAGAAATAAGACCCTTTCTACTGATCAAAAACAAATTAAATCAGACCAGGACCTAGGTATGAAACTGCTTATTTCACATATTGTTTACAACAATGTTTTTTATTGGATGTTTTGGTAATTGATTAAAACGTCTTCAACTTCAAGATCCTCACTCTTGTGTTCAAATCCATTAACTCGCTGGCACCTCACTACTTCTCTGACCTCCTCACTCCCCAATCCATCACCTGGCGCCTCTGCTCGATTGGCACTGGCCTCCTGCCTCACCATCGGAGGTCGTGTTTTCAGCCACTATGCTCCAAAACTCTGGAACACTCTCCTTTAATCCCTCTGCCTTGCCCCCTCTCCTCTTTCAAGTTGTTGTTGTTGCAAGTTGTTGTTGTCTTATAAAATTGGAAGTAGCTGCAGATAGGTGGGTAATGGAATTGCACCAATGGTTACATGAAGCATTGTCAAATGTGATTTTTTTCCCCCTCTCCCCTCTCATGCTCTTATAAACAATAGTCGCTGACTGGTAAGGAGAGATGCAAACTGTGCTTTTGGAGAGGGGAATGGATGAAGTAGTGCTGAAGGTGGGCAGTGATGTGGAGATGGAGGAAAACGGGTCAGGTCAGAGCCGGAATGAAAAGGGTTAAACAAAAAAACACTTGAGGACCTGCACAAACTCTGAGTTGGATTGGGGAACTAGAGAGGTTGATAGAGTCAGCATCCTGGGGTGAGGAGGCACTGACTGAAGTTGAGCAGAATAGCCTCAGTTTTGTTGACATTGAGTTGGAGAAAGTTATGGCTCATCTAGGACTTGATGCCTGAATAGGCAGCAGTCAGTCAGTCAGAACAACAGTAGTCTTTGAGTTGAGGGTATAGAAAGAAAATTAGATTTGGGCGTTGTCTGCATAGAATACAATAATACATAGATACATAACATTACATAAATTTCCTAATTGAATTTCTCACCAATAGTTTTTTTTATGTGCAATTCTTTCAGGTAAAAGCACAGAGGAGCTTTTTATTTCCTTGAAGACCGAAGGAAATAGTTTTGTGAAAAAGGCCCGATACAAGGAAGCTGTTGGAAAGTACAGCGAGTGCCTAAAACTGAAGCCCAATGAATGTGCAATTTACACAAACAGGTAACTACCTATAAATATATAACTTCACAGTATACAAAAGATTTGTTTTATTGCCACTACCTATTTATTCTTCAGTTACAGGAAATTTTCCTGAGGTTTGAACTCTTAAACCAGCAGTTGCCCAGCTTTCCAAAGCATCAAAACACCTTTTACTTCTTGCATTATGTGTGGGATGTTGATTTAAATGAAAAAGGTCTACAAGATTTACAGAGAAAATATAACAGTGGCCTCATAATTCTTTGCCAGTGATATACAATTTACTAATACATTCAAAAAAACAAGGAAAACCAAAGTGTTCCTTTGCATTTATAATTTTTAAAGAAAGTTTATACTACTTTGAAAGAAAAAACTTTTATTCAGCGAATGATATTGCTTCCCTTGCAACACCCCCATTTTGTGTCTATGCTTGAATCCAGAGCTGTTGCGTTGGTGTAGTTTACTAGAGCTTCCTACATGTTTCTCTGAGTGATTCTATTTGTTTGCATGGGAATCTGTTTCCTCAAATGAGATGCAAATCCAGAGGTGCCCAAGAAGAAATGATGATTGTTGGGTATTTACACATATGGGAGAAATTCTATTTACTAGTGGAAGTTTGGCTGCAGTATGCTTTATAGGAAACCCTGAAGTACTTTGATATATATTATACAATATATATATAATATATACTAGCTGTACCCGTTGTAGCTTGCAAACAAAGAATGCAATGTGGAATGTATATTGACACACAGACAGACATTTCATCTTTATACTCATCTGGGAGGACTACTGTGGAAGTTCTTTGTTCTTCAGTTTCATTTAGTGGGCCTTCTCTGTTCTGTGTAGTATTTTTACTTATACTTGAAAGGTTTGATTTTTTGCTTAGGCATCTTTATAATGATAAATATAAACATGTAATTTATAATCACTGGGACGTCCTCCCGACGTGAAAGGCACTTTTTTAAAAAAAAAAGTAATTTTGTTGCTGTTGCCACGGCTTAGCATTGTCTGTGTTCTTTATTTTGTTCCCGTTGCTACTTGGCTATTGTGTGCTCTGCGACACAGGATGGATGCCACAGTGCCATGGTCAGCTGGCCACAGCGCCACTTTGACTCGGCGGCCACCAGGTGTAACTGCAGTCAAAGACACAAAACTGAAATATATTTTAGGTCATAACTCATGAACAATAGGAGATACCCCAAAACAAATATGCCCATATCACTCCCAGATGAAAGACTTTCCAATGAAGAATAAATCATATTTCTACATCAATCGGTTATTGAGATCCTTCTTGAAGCACACACAGACAGATGTTTTATTAGTATGTATATATTATACATATTTTGGACTAGCTGGGGTTTTGGGTGTCTGCCCTGAACAAGTGGAGGTGTCCAGGAGAAGGAAATTGTTCCATTCACTGGGGCTCTGTCAACTGAGTTGTAATGAAATTGTCTGATTTTTGCAGTTCTCAAAAACATTACAACTGGTTTTAAGAATTTTTCAAAATTCTGTAAGATATTATGACTGTTTAAATGTAGGATCCCAGGAATTTCTGGCTATAGATGTATATTGTAAAAAAATATCCATATTGTTACATTGGTTCTTTTAGAGCCCTGTGTTACCTCAAGCTAAATCAGTATAAGAATGCTGAAGATGACTGCAGCTGTGCTCTGAAGCTGGAGCCTTCCAATGTAAAAGCTTTCTATCGAAGAGCTCTAGCCTACAAAGGGTTACAGGTGAGACATTTTATGTTTGTCTGAAAGATGATCAATTCAGTCACTTGCGAGAATATAATAATAGAATTTTACAGGACGCGTGGAGATCATTTCTGCCAATTGTGCCTGTACCGATACTCTGAAGAGAGCTACATTTCCACTCCCCTGCCCTTTCCATATCCATCCCCTTTTATAGCTGTTCAAATATTTGCCCATTTCCTATTAAAAATTTATTGATTTTGCTTTGACTACTGTTTCTGGTTCAGTAGGTTACTCGTGTCAAATGAGCACAAGTATTTTGAACAATTAAAATCATGTGGAATCCTGTAGTTTAGTGATTAGAGAACTCGAAAGCGAGAGGACTTGGGTTTGATTACCCCTGGAAAGCGATCCGCCAATCGACTAACAACTGGGTTCCTACTTAATACTAGGTAAACAGAGGTGTGCGGAATAAGGAAAGTTGCCTAACATTTCGCCCTGCCAGGAATCGAGCACAGGGCTCTCGCTTGCGAGGCGAGTGCTCTAACCACTGAGCTAATAATAACTTCTGCCACTCTGCCCCCACCCTCTGGAACTCCATCCTGCAGTCCCTCCACCTTGCACCCCTCCCTTGCCACCTTCAAGACCCATCTAAAGACCCTCCTCTTTGTCCGTGCTTTTGATCTCCCTGCTTCCCCCTCTGCCCGACACCGCCCCCCCATCTCTGGTCCGTAACTCTGTCCAGCGCATTGGGACGTCCCCCCGACGTGAAAAACACTTTACAAATGTAATTTTGTTGTTGTAGCTACAGGACTCCACTGAGATGGAGTGTAAACAGACGGAGTTTTAGATGTTAGGGTGCAAGAACTGAAGCTTGGCCATCGATGGTGGTGCGGAAAGTGTGGGGGACATGGAGAAAACCTGAAATTACTGCATTTTATTGATAGCAAATTGTACCATTTTATTAGTTGTTTCAAATCTGATTTAAAAAAAACACTTTGTTATAAGAATATAAGAAAACATGCAACAATTCAGCTTATCAACCCCATTTCTTCCACAGACCATACAAAAAATGCTATTATTCATTTAATTCTATCCATCTCTTGGGAAAGTTCTGCAAAGAAGCTGTCTGATCCTCTGTTAGAGCCAAACAAAAACTCTAGAATATTTATCCGTCTCCATTATTCATCCATCTTCACTGTCTCACCACAGACAATATTCCTCCTCTTCCTGGCTCCAACAGGACAGAAACTATTATGTCCCCTGGAGTATTCGTTTATTTGAGTCTGTACCTCCAATATCTCAAGGAGCTATCAGTCCAGTTTTTTGAAGGATATTATCAGTATTTAATCAAATAAATATGTTGCGCATATCTAGTGCTCTATTTTGTAACGGGTCGTGTTATTTCACATATAGCTCAATCTTTGGTGTTATAAAAAAATAACTAAATATGGTGTGTATGGTGGCATATCCCTTTTTGTATAGATTTCTTGGTGTGGTTTAGTTTTCATCATTTTTTTTCTAGAACTACACAGTTAGTATTGATGACCTCAATAAAGTCCTGAAGCTTGACTCGAACGTTGCTGAAGCTCAGAAGGAATTACAGGAGGTGTCCGAGCTTCTGAAAAAACAGAGATCAGCCAGTAGCCATGAAAAATCCAGGAAAAAGATCCAAATAGACGAGGTATTTGTTTCATTCTGAATAAGCTGACAGAACTTCAAAGCAGTGTTTGACTAGCTCGTATATAGGGATTGTTTTTACTCAGCCAGGTGTCTGACACATGAGGAAACCCATCACCATGCTTAAGAGTATCCAAACCAAACTGAGAATTCCATGCATCCCACCTACACATGGAAATTCCTGACAAATGTTGCAATGAAATGTGCACTCTCTTACCAGAGGGACAGATCCTGTTTACCTAATTTCGGAAAGTATTCAGCCCAGGTTGGCAAGTGTACATCTTGTGTTACAGTTCTACAGGTTTGATGTTTTTGCTAGAAAGTCTTGTCACCACACCACAATATTGCTACAGCTCAGAAGGAGCCACGCTTTTGGTCACATTTCCTCCTACCCAACCCCTTGGCTCCCACCTTCAGCTTGGGAGCTCACTCAGCATTGTCAAGCACTTTCTGAGATATCCTCATGATGTGAAAGGCACCATATGAATTATATAGAACGTATAATCTTTAGCTTACTTAAAAATAACTTCTACTTTATAAACTTCAAATTAGCTTGATGTTGTCACAGTTTGTATTAAACATTATCTTGTATTATATTTTTTATCATTTAAAGGTTGCTGATGGAGATGAAGAGGAGACTGGTCCCAAACAACAAGATGCCACTAAGCAAGTAGGTTCTGGGGATCCAACTGAAGATTTGCCATACATAAGAGAAGCCTTTGAAAATTCTCATTCACCATCAGAAAAAGGAGCACTTTTGAAGCCTACAAATGCTTATGAATTTGGCCAAGCCTTCAACGTGCTGAGGTCCAAGAAGGATTCAACTGCTTGTGCCGAACTGCTAAGAAATGTAGAACCAAAGGACCTACCGTTGATGATCACCAATAAACTGGAAAGTGATGCGTTCACCATGATTTTTCAGGCATTGGAAGGACACCTTTTACAGGAGGACCCCAATCGTGTGTATCAACATCTTATTCATCTGTGCAAAGTAGAACGGTTTAAGGTAGTTGTTGTTTCATTAACTAAAACTTCATTTTATTCTTTGGAATTAGTGTTGTATGGAACTTCTCAGTGCAATGAACACTATATTTATTGCATTTGGAGTTTTATTGAGTAGTTCAAACCTTCTTGACTTTCATCAGGCATGATCCAAGTTAGGTGGTATTCAAGTTAGGAGGAGTAAATGTACTGACATCACATATAAGAATAATACTTACATTTGATACAGCTACTTTCATGTCGCAAGGATTTCTATATAATATAATGATCGTTACATTTGATATAGTGCTTTATCACGTCTTCGAGACGTCTCAAAGGGCTTCACAGGATATACTTCAAAGTGTAATGATATATTTTTCTAGGCGAACATGGAACCAATTTGCACAAGCGATGGGCCACAAACAGCCATAAAGTGAATGACCGATTTTATTTGGGAAATTGTTGGCTGGGACAACAGGAGAAACTCCCTTCTCTTTTTGAAAAATGCCATAGGATCTTTATAACATTCCACCTGAACAGGCAGATGGAACCTCGGTTTCACTTCTTATCTGAAGGGGACACCTCCAATAATGCAACACATCAATTAGTGCTGTTTTGTCCTGTTTGGGTGGCAAACAATTCAGTATTCAATCAATCCATGAGTATTCTAAGTAATTTTGATTCAACTGTTGATACCAGATTGTTCTGAATCTTAAATGCCAATTGGCTCCAATCTAGGGCAGTTCTCTTTTGAAAAGATTATTCCAGATGGTGATGGCATTCCAAGCTGCACAACAATTTTGCAAAAATAAATGTGTATTTTTCATTCTCTTGTCAGAGATGATTAGATTTTGCTGGAGAATACAGTCATTTGTCAAAAATAGCAGAGTCTGAGCTGCAAATGAAGGTCAGAGGTCTGATTGTGCTGCTGAAGTATATTCAGCTGCAGATGCTCGCATTATCCTGCTTTGCATCACGCAGCTCCTGGTTTTATAATGCAGCAGTGACCAGGTGACCTTGTTCATGAAGCCTCTGTCAGTGCCTCACTGTAATGACCAGCAGGTGGTATGGAAGAGCAGTGCAGACTCAGTTGCTTCACTTTCCTCACTTTTTTTCTATGGGGGAAAAACACATTTTCTGATATAAATTATTTACAACTTACTAAATTGTGCTTTATTGTTAAAAGTCCACACTTTTTAAAAATACATTTTTCCTGGAGTTCTAACACACATTTAAGTCCGGTATATAAACTTAAGCTGAAGCGATGAACATTGTCAGCTGATTGAGTTTGCAATGTCCAATTGTTGACACACATGTAAGCAAGAATGTAAAGTTGTAATTTGTTCATCCAACCCAGGTTAAAATGGCAGTGAGTAAAGGCAGCACAGGTCTTGGCTGCACAGACAGCATCGCAAGTTTGAGTCAGTCTGGACTAAATTAGCTGATTTCAGCTGGGCAACTATTTGGGGTGCTACAATTGGGCTTCAGCACCTATGAGTTAGGGAGGGAGAAATGATCCAAGATTCCTGCTTGATTGCCATCGAGAGACACCTAATGGAAGTGACAAATGTGAATTTTAGGTGAGGACAGGATCAACTGTGATGCCATTGTGGTTGAATAGTGTGCAATTACACTCATTAAGATTCGTACATAAATAATGACTGCTCAGGCAAGTTAAGAGAGGAAGATGTACTCCAGCAGGAGAAGGGAGGCAAACTCCCTGAGGAGATGTTTTTAATGGGTTCCTATATAACTATTTTTTGTTTGTGTCTACAGGTGGTGTTGATGCTTCTAGGCAAAGAGGAAAAAGAACAAGTGCAACAACTCTTCAACAGTCTTTTACAAATGAAGAGTGACCTTTTCGCCCCTGAAGATATTCAAAATCTAGCAGAAAACTATGATATACAATCATAATTATTTTGCAGTAAATATAATTCAGATGTTTAAATTTAGAGGAGAATTAAAGCCACTGTAAACTGTATGGCTAATAAAGTAATCTATATTTTTCAATTTTCTCCCCCCCTTATATTTCGTGCCTCAATTAATAGCTCCATTACATTGTTAAGCTTGGGTCTCTTACAGCTATTTCCTCATCTCCCTCCTTGATTTTTTTAAACTAAAATGTAAGGTTTTAAAAAAATTGTTCTGTGAAAGCTGTTTTACTTTGCTTTACTCGTTAATTTATCAGGATTTACCAAACCTTATTGAATTATCAGTGCCCTAGTTCAAACTAACCAAACCCATTAATTCCGATCTTGGACTAAGTTACTATTGGAATTCAACATGAATATTTTGGCATTCCTACCGATAAATATAGTACAATAAGCATGGCCCCCAGGGGATATTTGTTATCACTACTTTCAACTCTATTCTACCTCTAGGAATGTAAGCAGTACAGCATTTTCATTTAAAAATTTTATACAAAGCTTCAAGTATCAGATATAGAAGTAATAGAAATTGGTTCTTGTGTCTCTGCAGTTCTTTTACTCAGGTTAGTGCTACAGCCTTTGTGTCCTTATCTATCCACAAACATTGACTTTGATCAAACAGGAACTAGGCTCAGCTAAGATGTGTATTTATTAACTCTTCAGCATGAGTGATTGAACCTTGAATTTTGAATGTAAAATATTAAATGCACTTAAACAGAATGCAATCTGTTTCTGTATGGATTATTTTATTGTTAAATTATTTCTAGTAACAACTTTTTGCCCTATAATGCATACCCCACGCATCAGGGAAATTTGCTTAAATCTATATTCACTTACCCATTAAAATAAACTGCACATTTCAATTTATTTTATTTCTGTTGCAGTCCCTGGGAATTTCTTCTGAAATAGCTGATACGCATACAGCAATGTAAAGATGCTCAGATAGAAGTGGTTTCCTGGATTACTAAATTACTGCATCATTGCTACTTACAAATGTACCACTTCTTGCATTGCTGGATTACCAAATCTAGCACTACTAACCTTTGCTGTAAATGTGCCTATAGTAATGAAATGATTTAACTTTAACTATTTAATATGAATGTAATGACATCTTAGTTGATGTAGGGGTTAAGAGTTGCAATACGGTGAGATCTTACCCTCAGGAAGTCAGTGGGAGACTAGACGAATTTGGCTGAGGGCATTAGCAGATCTGGTACTCTGATGATCCTTGCAAACATTAAAAGAATGGTATGAAAGAGGTAAAGGAAGAAAAATAAAATTAACAATTATATAATGCTTTTAATGTCAGGAGAATGTATGAAAGCACTTAACATTGCTGGCTGGGCAGCTGAGCTGGGGATGGAAGCCAAAGGGTTGTGTGGAGGGGAAAGATTACTGAAAGCTCAGTCCAGGAGATATATCTCATTCCCCTGCGTTTTCACCACATCCCTTTCATATTTTCATCCTTCAACCCCTTAACCAATTCCCTTGTAAGAAGTGGTAAATTGACTCTGCTTCAGTAGCCACTTGTGGCAACATGTTCCGCATCCTTGCAAAGGAAATGGAATAAAATGATGATTAATGTAGCACCAAACTGGCTGAGGCAGTTTCCTTGTGCTGTGACCACAGAAGTAACCCTCAGCTGCTGTGTGCCTCACAGTGTAGCACTGAGCAAAATCACCTGAGAGGGAATAGGTTTGAAGAAAAAAAATTGCATGCACCGCATGATGATAAGCCTTGTATTTAATATAGGACCTGCAGACATTTGCTGTAAAGTGTTGATGCATTTGAAGGCAAATGCAAGAGCTATGTCCCACAGACAAGACATGGGTGAATGACCAATTTACCCAGAGGATTGTTGGCCAGGGAGAAACTCCTTTAGCTTTTCCAGTAGTAAATGGTTATTTTTAACAATCATCTGACAAGACAGATGGGACCTTGCTACATCATCTCAGCCAAATGATAACACCTCTACCAATACAGTGCTACCCAAGTACAATGCTACACTACGAGCTCAACGGACCCAAGTGAGGTTTGAACCCACAACCTTTTGACCCAACGGCGAGAATGCTACCAACTAAGACATGCTTTGCAAGCTTTCTTATTTAATGCTGGTGCAAACCACTAACTGCCCGGTGGCAGCACACCTCGCTAAGTAAGTGGTTTCTTCCTATTCAGGCCCCACCATCCACTATTATTTTTGAATCTGAGGTGGACAGTGCTTATTTTGTACATTTTAGGCCTTGCATTGGGCTCTACCTTTTCTTCTTTGTTAGATATTTACTCCCCAGGGTCGATCTGCTGAACAGTGCTGAAATTCCCTCCCAACAAATATGCTTTTTAGCGCTCGTACAAGCATAGGCCACTTGGGCTGAATGACCTGCTTACAAGCCATATCATTCTATGTCATTCTATATAACATAACATGTAGGAGCAGGAGTAGGCCCTTCGAGCCTGCCCCGCCATTCCATCATGGCTGATTTTCTAATCAAACTCCAGCTAATATAAACTAACTCCGAGCTCTCTGGTCCTGTAAATTTTACCCATCGTGTGATTCTGTGACTGCTGTATCCTCCCTCCACTAACCTGATAAACTTTTGCAGAGTGCAACAAAAATGCACACAGCGTTAACAAAAAGAGGATTTTTTTCTGCAGCTTAATTACCCTCTTAATGAATTGTACTAAAATGGACTGAATTTGCATATACCTATTAGTCTGAATGCACAAGAGACAATTGCAGATGTTCAGAACCCTGATGTTAGTCAATTTAGCTGTAAGTTTGGTGTCTGCTTGACCACAGGTGGTACATTGAGAACAACATTCCCAATTGTGAGACCCAGACTTCTACCTAGACTTAGCATGTCAGACTATTTTGCTTTAGATTTTTAGATGATGGCAAACTCTTCAATTCAGCCTTGATTTGGAGCATTTTACTGCTCTTGACAATACCTTGATTTGAGACATCTTCCTGATGTGAAAGATGTTATATCAATGTAAATTGTATTATAAAAAAAACTTGCGTTTATATAGTGGCCTTAGAGTAGATAAACAATGTCTCAGAGGCTTCACAAAGACTGCTGGATGCTGAGTGAGGAAAGTGGGAGGTGACCGTAGGGACAGTCAAAGAGGAAGGAATTGAGGTTGAATTTAAAGACACAAGTGAGGCAAGACTGAGGGATACAGGGAGAGAGTTCCAGAGGCTAGGAGTGCAGTTGCTGAAGATTAGGGCACTGATAAAGGGATGGGGATGGCCATTTGGTGCCGACATACAAACTTAAAGATTTTTGTACAACTCTTGACTCTTAAAATTCTAAGCAAACTCAGACTGGGATTCCAGGGTCAGGGTTATACCCAGTGTCTTGTGATACCGGTTGCTCCTGGTATCTTCTCTCTCATTGCCCTCGCGTTGCTATATGCAGCACAGACTGAAATTTCAGCCCAAATGATACAACAACAACTTTCATTTATATAGCGCCCTCCACACCGGGCGGTGTCTCAGAGCCTTAACAATGGTGGAGCCCAAGACCGAGCCAGGGGGAGGGGGAAGGTGATCTAAGGCGCGGTCGAAGAGGAAGGTTTTCAGGCCGGCCTGAAGATGGGGAAGGAGGGGGAGAGGTGAAGGGGTTGAGGGAAGGGGTTCCAAAATTTGGGGGCATAGTGGCTGAAGGCATGGCCGCCGATGGTGGGGCGGAGGATTCGGGGGACACGGAGGAGGCCGGACCCAGTAGAGTGGAGGCAGCGGGTACTGCTGCGGGGAGAGAGGAAGTTAGAGGGATGGGGGGTGCCAAGGAATGGAGGGATTTAAACATAAATGTTGCTATAGGATAAAACCCAGGTAGAATTTTGGGCCTGTGATGCACTTAATTCCAACACAGTATTATAATAATAATAATCCTTGCTTTTGATATAGTGCTTTTCACGCCTTCTCGACGTCTCAAAGCGCTTCACAGAGTAGACTGTAAAGTGAATTGACCGTATATTTGTGGGCGAAACGCGGCAGCCAATTGCGCACAGCAGTGTCCCACAAACAGTCGTGGATTGAAAATGTCCAATTTACTTTTGTTTTGGAGGGATTAGGCGTGTGGAGTTAGGAAACTTGCCCGAGGTTTCGCCCTGTCTGTGTTCAGAGCATCCAGTTAGCAGATTGCATAGCAGATGCAGGAGCTGATTAATACTGTAACAATAATAATGCTTGCATTTGATATAGTGGCTTATCACATCGTCAAGACATCTCAAAGCACTTCACAGGATTTTATTATGAAGTGTGGTGACTGTGTATTTTGTAGATGAAATCGGCCACCAATTTGCACACAGCAATGTCACTTCAGGTCAAAGCAACTTAGCTTCAAAATACAAAGTCACTTTATAGAATTATACTTTGCAGTATATCACGTGAAGTGGTTTGAGACATTCTCTCGACATGAAAGGCAATATATCAAACACAGGGATTATTATTTATCTATTTACTCTCAATCAAGTGTGAATTTTCGGATAAATAAAATTGAATAATTTACAAGGCGCGGAGCCTCAGAGGAGAGTAACAAATGAACTGGAAGAGAAGATGACAGCAGGGGATGCAGGAAGAGTGTGATTTCAGTGGGGCATGCTTTTATTAACTTAAAGATTGATGGCAGCAAAGCCTGATGTTATGGCATCAATTTGTACAAAGAAGGACGTGGACATAATGCAATAATATCCAAGTTATGAAAATTGGTGTATGTGGGAGGTGGTAAAGGGCCTTTTTTTCGATCAAGAGAAGCCGTGTCATGACAAACTATGAGACCTCCCGGGGCAGAGAATTTTAATGGCTCTCTTTATTAAAGAATCTTGCACGTTAAAGCCTGTAAAAGGCTACAGTCCTGGAACTACGCCAGTGCTTTGTCCCCACATGAGCCACCCAAGTCTAATCCCACTCTGCTGCACGCTTTAATGTTCTTCCACTTCATTTCCCTTTAAATGTTCTTTTAAAAGACAATCTCCGCCTGAACTATGGCCATACCCAAACTGTGTCACCGTAATGGAGTCCGACTGCGTTATCGGCACTTAGCTGCATTTTGGGTCAATACGATACTTATCACCAATAATAATCCTTGCATTTGATATAGTGCCTTATCACGTCTTTGAGGTGTCTCAAAGCGCTTCACAGAATAGACTGTAAAGTGAATTGACTGTATATTTGTGGGCGAAACGCATTAGTCAATTGCGCACAGCAGTGTCCCACAAACAGTCATGGATTGAGGGACCAAATAATTTTTATTTTGAAGGAATTATTATCCCCAGAAAAGCGATCCACCAATCAACTAACAACCGGGTTCCTACTTACTGCTAAGTAAACAGAGGCGTGTGGTGTAAGGAAACTTGCCCAATGTTTCGCTCTGCCGGGAATCAAATGCAGTTCTCTCGCTTGTGAGGCGAGTGGTCTAACCACTGAGCTACAGGACTCACAATATAATAATAATAACTATCTTTGCATTTGAACTCACATTGGAAAATGTCTTAAGCATTTACAGCATTTACGGGAAAGTGTAGCAACTGCAGGCAAACAAAGCAGACAATTTTCACACGGCAACATTCCACAAACAGCTATGAAATGACTGACCATTTTATCCACAAAACATTAAACCGAAGTGCCATCTACCAACCGAGGCAGGTAGCACTTCGGCTTAATGTTTCAAAGCAACACCCCCTGCACCGCATTGGAGCATCAGACTAGGATCTAT